ATTTTGACGTGTCATAAATAAAAATCGGATGAATAGAACTGGAGTTATTGAGAAATACCTCCGAAATGGGCTGTTAAAAAAGATCTAAAAAAAACTGAGAGATAGGTTTTCAGGTCCCCCAACCGTAGAAAAAATCGCGATCAATTTCCAAGAGGGTGAGGGTCAGCAGTTGAGTCATTTGAAATGGAATACCTCGTATATTGAGACGGAATACCTCACAACATCTAAAGAACCAGTGAGAAATCTTCGAAATCATCCCCTCTTCACCCTTCCCCTCTAGAATCACCACCTCCATCAATCCCATCAAACAGTAGTAGCTCCAGTGGGCACATTCGTAACAACAGGATGATGCTGCTGCTCCAGGTGTTGATTGCTCGAGTAATTCGACGATGTGTGCGCAAGACTCGAAGAGCTCAGCATAATGGAGACCTGTTCGGGCAGTGGGCAGGCGATCAAAAGTTGCTCCTCACTGCTGTAATTGCTGTGCAGCCACTGGGACAATTGCGTGAACATCGCCACAATATTATTTCTAATCGGTCTAAACAGGATTGACTCAGTCTCTCGATTAGCCAAGTACAGCTGCATCGACTGTTGAATACTGGGCAGTTGAAATTTCATCAGTCTCAGCACTTCGCTCACCACCTGAGCGACTACCTGAGGCTCCACCTTAGCCGGGACAATGCCCTTCTGGGCATTGGGACTCCCTGGAGGACTCGCGACACTGGCATTGCTGCTGATGACAGAGCCCAGTGATTTATCAATAGGATCAACCAGTAACTTCGTGCAGTGCTGAATCAGCATCTGGCAAGCAGCCTTCAGCTTCGAGTCCACATGCTTCCTGGAGTCAATGAGATGCTCCTTCATCCTGGGTGCACCCTCCAGCAAAAACTCAAGCAACGCATTATTTGACAACGCAAAAACCCTGGATCTTCTCTCGAGTAATCCAAAAGCTGCGGTTTTAACTTTCGAAAAATCGAGTGAATACTCTTTCACTGTGAAGTCAACCTGAAAGGGCGCAATCTGCTCTCGCAGGATGAGCAGATGCTTTACTTGGAATAATAGAGCGTCCAGTGTTGTGGCTCGCGCCTCGATCTTCTCCTTCGCCTTTTCAATGCTCTCGATGCAAAAATTGATGGCTTCTCTGCTCAGTGACTGAAATACTGGGCGATCTAGGCATCTGTAGAGTCTCGACAGGCAGACGAGGGTCCTTCGTACTGTTGGATACCACATTCCGTGGAGATCAGCTGGGGAATTGGTGATGAGGTTGAAGGACGAGGAGGATGGGGCTGATAATTTGTGGATTGGGTCGAAGCCAGCGATTGGAATGAACTTGGGGGCTTCTAATTCCAGATTGTTTGAGGTGATCGAGGAGACTGAGGATATTGAGGAGACTGATATCTTCTTGATTTTTGCCTGGCGATTTTCCTCTCGCAGAGACTCAGCTATGTCCTCCATCATTTTGAGTTTATTCGGGTAGGCGAGGTCCCCGGGGGATGGATTGTACCCCAAAATGTCTGATTGGAGGTACAGATGGGTGCGAAAGACTAATCTCTCCTGGGCGTCGTGCAGCAGCTGGAGGCAAATATTGCCGAAGCCCTCGAGGGCCTCCATGTGGTTCTGCACGTGCTCCTCCAGCATTTCCACTCGCAGGATGCAACAGATCTCGGCGAGCGTCTCCAGGTGGTTGATGTGGATGATTGAGGGCCTCAGGATGTCGTACAGGGAGGTGCAGAGACCCTCCAGGTAGCCAGCGAGCAAGTGGGACTTCTTCTCGAAGAACTGGTTGAAGAGACGGTGCTCGTCGATGGAGGCGTGCAGCAGGAGCGAACAGGCGTGACGGACAAAACTGCAGTGATCTCCGTTGTACCTCTCTTTTACTGACTGAAGACCCTTTTGGACACTTGCGCTTATCACTCCTCCTCGTTTCATCAAGTACCTGGAGAAAGATTTTTTTTTATGATCGGTCTTCGGAGCCTGAGGACACTCATTCATTAATTCAGTCATTTTTTTACTATTTGTTTTTATTCATTTATTTATTCGCTTCGTTTTCCAGCGAATCGTTTGTAATTTGATAATCATTATTATGTGATAATAATCACATCAAATTTTTAGTTTCCCATTCGCAATTATTGTCATTTATTCGATTTATTCTATCGAAAGGCAAGGATAGGAATCGAATTTATGGGTATTCTATTCGAAAAAATATATCGATTTAAAAACTTTCCGGGGACATTGAAAAATTAAATTTCTATCTATTTTTATGTATTAAATTTTTTATTAATGAATCTTCAATAAATGAGATTTCTCACATTAAAGATCGATTATATATATCTAAAAATGAATAAATAGCGCGAAAAAATCAATTGTTTATTCTTTGTTTACTCCGCAGTCGTTTAAAATGTTAACAACAGTCCAGGAACTCCAATTTTTGAGCAATAGAGGTTTTTCTTTTTCAAAATTTTTGAAAAAATGTTTGCAATAAGAGTTACGAATAAGTTTTTTGAAATGTAACTTCTACACAGCTAATTTCGTAATTTTTTTCAATAAAAAATTGCACCATTCATGTCAAATGACCGGAAAAATGTTAGTAAAAGAATCGAGAATATATTTTTAATATTTTAAGGATAATTTTTCTGCCTATTTTACGTGAATGGCGCAAATTTGTATATCAAACAAAACAAAGTTAGCTCTGTAGGAGTCGAATTCTAAAAAACTAATTCGTAATTGTCATTGTACACATTTATCAAAAACTTTGAAAAAAAACTTCTGTAATCCCCCTTAAATCTACCCAATAGGAATCTCTTCCCAAAAATCCTTCAATTACCTCTGATGACACTCCAACAAAAGAGTGTCATATTCCTGTCGTTTGAACGATCTCTTCTCAATAATCGTGATGATAGGTTTGATCTTCGGCAAAATCCTCTGGAACCTGCCATACAACAACGCCAGAGTCTGGCTATCAGCATCCGGAGATGTTGGATCGTCCCCAGAGGATTCTGTTGGCAAAGAGCTCATAATACTGTCAGTAGCTTCGTCCAGTATATTCATAATCCACTGGTGCATCATCCCAATGACCTTCGACTGACAGTGCCTGTACTTGACGAGATAGACCGCAGACTCTTTGAACTTGTCATTCTTCTCCATGAAATCTATGTTCGTGTCGATTTTATCAGTTATGTCGATGAACGTATCACTTCGAACTGATAAATTCGCAGACTCCAACTTGTCCATTATCAGGTCAGCCTCTTTGAAGTACTTGACATATCTAGTTATCTCGTTTCCTATTTCGTTCAGCTTTTCCTGCTCGGAGATTAACTGCTCTGTTGCTGAGTGGAGGGACATTGTTTTGTTGGAGACGATTCCATACTGTCTCGATAAGGCTGACATGTCCTCCAGGGCCTTGTCGATGTCCCTGCATAAACTATTACAATCGTCTTTGCGAATATTCAGCTCTTCCAGGTACATGCTGTACCTTTTGTACTCCATCGACTCGTATCTGGACTCCAGGGACGCGTAGTACTGCAGGAGTTGGTGGCAGGATTCTATTTTTTTGCCCATTGAAGTAATAGTCCCATTATCGTTGGAATTGTCCTGGTGATCGTCAACAAACGACGTCGACGTGTCACTGTTACTCCACAATGTTTTGGACACCCTCTCCTCCAATGTCTCGATCCAGTCTCGTTGGGTGTCTGACAGAGGGGCCAGACCGTCCTCCAATTGATCCCATTTGATTAGGTTCATTTTTCACATGTGGAAAATGTTTTTACGTCTTTCGTAAAATGTAAAATGAATTATTTCAAGGCCTCTTCCGGGGTCACGGGTGACAAAAATTAATAGAAAAACCTAGCGAATTCGTTAGGCAATTTTATTAGATTCATACTTTGAACTTTCTGTTAAGTTTTGAAATATTCAATAGAAAATATTCTATAGAAAAAATCAAAAGAATTCGATTTTTTTAGGCAACTTATTCTATTCGGATATCTTCTCTAGAATTTTCTTGGCTCAAATTTTTCAAGTTTTTTTGTTTGATTATCTTGATGAGAAGAAAAAAAAATGAAATTTAACAAACTTGGAAAACTTGTGTGGAGGAAATTCTATAGGAAATATCTGAAGAGAATAAGTTATATAGAAAAATCTAATTCTATCGACTTTTTTTATGGAATATTTTCTATTGAAAATTTCAATAGAATAGCATAGAATCGAATTGGCCAAAAACTAATAGAAAGTTTAATCGAAATCCAATAGAATTTTCTAACGAATTTGCTAGGTTTTTCTATTAAAGTTGATTATCGTTGAAAAGAAAAGAAAAAGAAAATTTTAAAAACTTGAAAAACTTGTGCGGCGGAAATTCTATCCAAAATATCTGAAGAGAATGAGTTATACAGAAAAATCAAATTCTATCGACTTGTTCTATTGAATATTCTCCATTGAAAATTTCAAAAGAATACACCAAAAACCATAATTGGCCAAAAACTGATAGAACGTTCAATAGAAATTCAATAGAATTTTCTAACGAGTTCGGTAGGTTTTTCTACTGTGCAGATTCTTTGGATACTCACGTGGAATGTAGATTTTTTAATTCAGGAAGCACATTGAATTAACGAATTGAGAGATATTGGTGCGATGATTTCTAACTGATTTTTGGAGAAAATGTGAACGTGAGTTGAGGATTTTTGGACTGACAGCAGATGACACATGCACAACTCATCAGTTGCACTCACACGTAGACCATTTGTCCAGTGTAAATAGCATAAAATGAGCTACTACGTGGAACCAATGTAAATATTTCTGTTATAAAACAACTCAGAGCATAAATAGTCAAAAAACACATGATTTTTTCAGTAGATTTCAGGATTTTAATCGTAAAAAACGGTCCATTTTACCCCACTTTACCCTCCACGAGTATAAACTGTAGTGAATTTATCATTGAGCTACAATATGTGCTATTTTGAGACAAATAATGTCGGAAACTACTTGTCCGATGGAAATTATGAGGATTATGACTGGTGCCGCCATCCAGCCAACAAAATGGGCAGAGGAAAGAGTAAAAAATTTCTTTTTTCGCAAATATCTCAAGAACGAAGACTTCCACGAGAAATCATCACAAGAGCTTTTTTGTAGTTCGTAAAATTACCTACAAAAAATATTTCTTGAAGATTTCTCCTGGAGCCCTTCATTTTTGAGATATTCATGAAATAATGGAGGGGTCGATTCTCCTCGAGGAAGATTCCCTCTCCAACTCATGACATTTCTCGTGAGCCCTTCGCGTCTCTTGCGGACGTCAAACCCCCTCTCAATTTGACAATTCTCCCCTCCCTCTGACCATAAAATAGGAAGAGCATGCAGTGAGCTTCATGCACTTACTTCATGCTCCTTCGACTGGTGCACATCAAAGTGTCTGCTTCTAGCTGATTGTGACTCAATGATCCTATCAATCTTCATGTCGTAGTCAGTGTCGTGGGTGTAGCACACGTATTTACACTGTTGCAGATACCCCTGATTAATAATAAACACCGTGAGTACTGTGAATTGTTCAGTATACACGAATATGTGCACTTGGAGCATTTGTGAGGAGTTGATACAAAAAAAATTAATTTGGTTGCAGCGGCGCACATAAAAACAACAGGAGTTATACGTGAGTTTTGGTTAATGAGTGGGGTCACTATCAGTGATTAGGATAATGAAGTGGCAGCAGTTGCGAGATATTTGGGTGACATTCGTCACTGTAAATCACAGAATTTTCGAGTATTTTGGGAATTATTTAGCCTTCTCTGAGGTTATAGGGGAGGGTGGGGTAAAATGGACACTTTTGACTTTTTTAAAAATATTCATAACTCAGAAACAGATTCATCAGTTGAACTCAGTCTAAGCTAATCACAAGGGGGAATCATTGTCCTTTCAATTGAAAAACAAAATTATTGCATTTCATGAACAATTCAACACGTTATGAACATGTTTAAAAAAGTCAAAAATGTCCATTTTACCCCACCCTCTCCTACCTTTGCCAGAAGAATAAAATTAGGAAAAATTCATGTTTTTGTGTCGTGATAAATAAAACAACAATTCGATTTTTTTATTTAAAGCTGGAGAAATGAGATTGAAATTCTGTAATCGAATAGGAAGATAAGAATAATAAGAATAATTTTCAGATTATTTTTTAGACATTTAAAAACCGTAGGAGTTATACGTGAGTTTTGGCTAATATTTTAGGAATTATTTTGGATTTTATGAGGTTATACATTTGCTAGAAGAATAAAATTAGGAAAAATCCATGTTTTTGTGTCGTGATAAATAAAACAACAATTCGATTTTTTTATTTAAAGCTGGAGAAATGAGATTGAAATTCTGTAATCGAATAGGAAGATAACATGAACAATTTTCAGATAATTTTTTAGACATATATAAAAACCATAGGAGTTATACGTGAGTTTTAGTTAATAAGTAGTGTCACTATCAGTGATTAGGATGATGAAGTGGCAGCAATTGCGAGATATTTGGGTGACACTTGTCATTGTAAATCACCAAATTTTCGAGTATTTTAGGAATTATTTAGCCTTCTCTGAGGTTATACATTTCCCAGAAGAATAAAATTACGAAAAATTCATGTTTTTGTGTCTCGCTAAACAAAACAACAATTTGATTTTTTCCTTTGAAGTCGGAAAAATGAGATTGAAATTCTGCAATTGAATAGCAAGATAACATGAATAATTTTTATATTATTTTTTAGACATTGAAAAACCGTAGTAGTTATCCACAAATTTTCCAAGTTTTTTCCGCTGGATTTATTTTTGTTTTGCATTGCAGAATCCGAATGGAAAAGACTTATAAAATTGATGCCTAAGCATTCTTACAGAAAAAATCACAAGAGAAAACTTCAAACAGAAATTTGAAATTTATTGACTGTTTCCTATCACATCATATGTGATGCAACTCGTAATTATCTTCATTAATCCACAGATAAATTTCATGAGCCTCAGACTCCCGGAACCCCCTAAAAAATGCCGAGTAATCCACTGACAAATTTATTAGAGCAGTACAACTCAGACACTGATGACGAGGATGGCCGCCAGTCGAGCAAAGTTTCGAAAACCAAGTGTCTGGATAAAAAAGTCGACGACTTTCTGAAAGAAATCCAGCACATAACACCGACTAATAACCAACCTGTGGGTCACAAAGATCAGGAGGGCCAGAAGAGTGGATCGCCCTGGCAGGAGTGTTTCGACGATTCCACGGGTTACCCCTACTACTGGAACATGCAAACTAATCAAGTGACGTGGGAAATTCCGAAGGAACTCGAGTCGATGAAAAAGGGAAACAATCAAGATGCACCACAAACATCAAGAGGATTTCAGCCCTACGGGGCGCCGAGGCACAATCCACCAATGAACAGATACAAATTATTGCAGGATAAAATACCAGAGGGGATGATACCAAAGGAAGTCGTTGAGAGAAGTAAAAATAGATTTAGGGAGAAGAAAAAACTGATTGTCAATGACAAAGTACAAAAGAAGAGCCGGAGTAGTTTTAACGAGAGTAGAGACAGTGATTCTGATGACGGGAGGATAGAGATGATCACGTCCTTTGGGAGTGATGGCAGTGAGACTGAGGAGGAAGACGACACTGTTTCTAAATCCAATAATTCACCTGTAAATATTAATTCTGAGTTGAGTAGTGCTGATAGTAAGAAGCAAGACGTTAGGATTGGGCCTAGTCTCCCGCAGTTTAATGTAACCTGCAGCAGAGAGGAGAATTCTAGGGAAAATGGAGATGAGAGGAGCGATAGTTTAATGAGTAATAGTAATAGGTGTCAAGCGAATGTAAATTTGGAGGAGCAGAGGATGAACTTCTCGCTGGTCCCTGGTTATGCTGATGATTCTGATAATGACGATGAGTCTGTGGTGGATAAAAGTCGCAAGACTTTGTTCCCCATCACTGAATTTGAGGATAAAAACTCGGGGATTGTTAGGAAATTGGTGAATCATAATTCGGTTGAATCGAGCGATTCGAGTTGTCCCAGTAATGATAAGAAGTCTGCGAAGATTGAGGAGAATTCGAAGACAAACAAGTTTCTGGAGACTTCTGAAGCACCCACGAAAGCATTCCAGAGGAAACGACGGATTGGATTTGATGTGAGGCCGAAAAATGAAGTTAAAACTGTTGAGAAACAGATTGAGTCCAGCAATGACAGTGGTGAGCAGTCAGAGTTGATCAGGGGGAATGATGAGAGACTGGGTTTTGGGTTCTCTAAGAGTCCGGTGGCTGTTGAAAGTACCGAAGACAATACGAATACTAATGACTCGGACAAGAAGTCGACGGAGTCGGAGAAGAATGAGAGTGGTATTTCGTTTGTTCGGGGGGAAACGCTGAATTTACCACCGGCTGTTAATGAAAAAACTGAGACGGAGAAGATTGAGACGAAGCAGGAGATTGACAACATTTTGGAAAAGTTGAAGTTCCTGTCGGAGGGGTTTCAAAGTGCGTCGGCGGTGCAGATTATGACTATTCAGCTTCAGGTAATGTTAATTATCAACATTTTTGTTTAAGTTTTGTAATGGGCTGATTTCGCCAATTATTGCACGCACGAGAAAAAAAATATAGAAAAACCTTGCAAATTCGCTAGAGAATTCTATTGAATTTCTAGTAGTTTTTGGCCGATTCTTTTGAGATGTGGCAGTTTTTATAGAATTTTCTTGGCTCAAATTTCTTGATTTTTTTTTCATTGTGTTTTGCTTTTCTTTTTTATCAAGAAAATCAAAGAAAAAAATTTAGAAAATTTAAGCCGAGGAATTTCTATAGAAGATATTTCAGTATTTAGTAACGTTGTTTAAAAAAATCGAATTATGTTGAATATTTTCTATTGAACATTTCAATAGAATTGGCCAAAAATTAATGGAAAGTTCAATAGAAATTCCATAAAATTGTTACTTATTCTATGATATATTTTCTATAGAATTTACTCGGCAAATTTTGCAAGTTTTTTAATTTGATTTTTTTGATGAAATGAAAAGAAAAATAGAATGAAAAAAAATCGGAAAATTTGAGCCGCGGAAATTCTATCAAAAATATCTTAATTGAACAAATTGTATAAGAAAATCGAATTTGATTGCCTTTTTCTGTAGAATATTTTCTATTGAGATATTTTCTATAGAATTAACTCAGTAAATTTTCCAATTTTTTTTGTTTAATTTTCTTGATGAAAAAAAAACGAAAAAGAGAATGAAAAAACTTGGAAAATTTGAGCCGAGGAAATTCTATAGAAAGTATCTTAATAGAATAAGTTGTATAAGAAAATCGAATTCTATTGACTTTTTCTATAGAATACTTTCCATAGAATGGGCCAAAAACTAATTCGAAGTTCAATAGAAATCCAATAGAATTGTCTAGCGAATTCGCTAGGTTTTTCTATGAAATTTTTTCAAAAAAGGATAATAATCAAAATCGACTTGAACCGCTTTACCACTTCGCTACTGCACACCTGAATCATTACTCCAATTTCCAAATATTTCAGACACTTCTGACTGCCTGGGAATCCGGTGACCTAAAGGATCGTTACCTCGACAACTGGCTGAGTGGAACGAGCCGTGAACTATGTCGTTTAGAAAAGGCAGCAGCCCCTTCGGGATGGAACTGTCAGTGGGATAGGTATGGTCATTCAAAAATGCCACAAGTTAAAATTCAATCTAGTTCTATAATTCACACTTCTTTGATCTCATGCGATTTATATACATCATGTAATCAACATGATGAAAAAACTCTCGAAGACTCATTAATCGTGTTGATGATAATAAAAGACAAAAACAAACTCATTTAACTTTATGTGAAAATGTGTCAAGAAAAACCACTGATTTTTATAATATACATTGTACTGTGATTTTTCAGGGAGTACGTATTATACTATAAACAACTGTATAATTTTTCGTGATTTACGCTTTGTCTTGCTGTTGTAGGTCCACAGGAAGCGAGTATTATTTCAGTGGATGGTGTACCGGAATGTATGATAGTAGTGGCGGTCATTGATTTAATGTTTTGACCCTTTTACAATTGTTTATTGGATGGCAATTCATTTGACAGAGTCAATCATTGTCAACGACATTGATTGACGTTAGAAAAAAAAATAGAAATATCTATTTTTATATGTTGGACGTGTTTCTACGACATTTTTGTCATCCCTTTGGTCACCACGAACATCAGACTTTCAGGAATGCATTGCACTCCGTATTTTCTCGTTGATCACCTTCTTTTTCAATTTCACTCACATCTGTGATTGGAGAATCTGAATGATACTTTTTTGTTTCATTGATTTTACCATTTACACGTAAATGCCATTTTTTACCCAATCCAGAGAAGCAGGTAGGGATCCTAGTGTACATATAATTATATATGAGAATAATAAAGACCAAATGTCGGAAATATGTCTTTTAAAATAACAAATAAATCTGCTGGTTTATATGGCATTCTCATTATTTTGCGTTTGGAAACTGGGGGTTGTTTCTAGGTCTCATAAACGGTACTATTATCAAAACGAAAGCACCGGTGAGACGAGGTGGAATTATCCGGATGTTATTGGGGGAGCAGAAGAGATGGAACTGTGCACTACACCTCCACCAACGGATAATGAAGTTGAAGAGATGGAGGAGGATAAAAGTGGAATCGTTAATGGGGTTGATGCATCGAGAGTGGAGGGGACCAAGGGGGATGTCGATTTGGTGATGAACGAGGCGAAACCACCAGGTTTGTTCATTGATTTTTGTTCGGGAAAAATATTTTCGGTGGGCAAAATTGTGCTTGGATTGTTGAGAATAGATTTGCATTCATTTTCATCTGTAATTCGACGAGTTGGGTCAGGGAGGAAGTGGTGCGGATCGTGAAGATGCGGTTGAAATGAACACACGAAGCAGCTTGTAAATGTCTGGGGAGTAAAAAGGGGTTGGGGGAATTTGTCAGAAGTTTTTTCGAGGAAGATTCTCCGAGGAGTATCTACGAATCCGAGCGAGATTTCGGAATTTTTGTTATGACCTTTTTTGTAGAGCGAATTGAGAGCTACAAAAAAGGTTTTGACAGGGATTTTGCTATCTGCCTTAGATTCCGAGATATTCATTGAAAACTGACCAATCGAAATTGCCTTAAAGTAGCTCTACCCTTATGGTAAATTTAAAAATTATTGAAAACTGCAAAAAACCGCAGAAAACTCGATTAGATTCGGAATCCTAATTTTTTGCTCAATTTAATTCTGTAGTGAAGTGGTAAACTAGGATAAGTGCATTTTTTTTTATTTTTCAATTACTTAAATCGAAAATTTGCTCAAACGTGGTCAAATTTTTTAATTCTCCTGATAAAGTTCCATTTTTGCACTTATCCTAGTTTCCCACTTCGAAGAAATGTTTAAAAATCAGGATTTAACCCAGTGTCCTATGTGAAAATCAACATTTCCATCGTAATGAAAGATTTAAAAAATTAAAATAAAAAAATCAATAAATGTTTTAAACCTCAAAAAATGATCTACCGTTTTGCAAACAAGTTCTATTATTTATCGATAAGAAGGAAATGTTTGAAAATATATCAATATTGCGTAAAATTTAATTTATATAATAACTGACTGGGTATGAATTTTTTTCAAATTTTTTCTATGCAATTTGGTTGAAAATTTCAAAACTGAAAATATCCAGAAGTGCAGCGTAACCCGACCGAAGGGTAGAGGTACTTTAAACCGATTTACCGCTTCCCTATTGAAATTTGTCTTCATTCAACCTGCAATAATACTAGATTTTAATTTTTCTCTCCGATTTATAGGGAAAATTTTCTTGAAGAGAATGAAAATTTCTGTTATTGCATACGACAATTTATTTTCTTTGTTTTCATTCAAAGATAAATGGCTCTTAAAGAGTATAATCTTTCTAATTTTAATTCCGTCAATATTTTCACAGAAATCAATGACGCATCAAAGGAAATGATTCCCCCACCGCCACCACAAATTTCTAGTCCAAGTCCACCGCCGCCACCGCGGATCAATGCGGAAGATCTGAAAAAGGGAAAGAAAACTAAAAAAAATGGTGAAGATGAAAAACAAATTACTGGTAAATGGAAACGAGATTTATATTTTTTAGTCTGTTCTATCAATTCGGTTTTCATTGACAGACGATAAGACTTCCACCCCGGAAACTCCTGAGGTTTCGCTGGTGGTTCCACCGTTGGTGGGATCAGAACCACTTCCACCTGGGGTTGACTCCCCGGAGATAGCCTTCTCGATTGCAGGACCTCATCCGTCGATCGAGCCCACTGTTATTTTTGCTGCTACACCGCAGTCAACGAATTCGCCGTCCATGTACGCAGCAGCGACGATACAGGATCCAACGAGTGTTTCTATCATTGGACATCATCATCCGGCGTTGCTTCAGAGCCAACTGGTGCACTATCCAGCCTATCATCAGCACTTGCACAATGTAAATTGACTCACTTTCATTTGCTTGGCCATTCGGATATTTTGGTTACACTGAGGAACACAAACGTGTCCAGAATGGAGATGTAGGAATTCAATATTTTTTAGGGAATTGCACTTTGCAGTAGAATGTTTATTCGTGCTCGAAACCTCGTATTTTCGAATGAAAGAGTTTCTAACTTTAATCAAGACTTGATGGAGTCCAGAAAAAAAGTTAAAAGTTAAAAAGTTACCCAGAAAAAAAATTATTTTGAGATTTTAAAGATGTCAAATTGAGAGTTGAAAATGTCAATTTTAAGCTTCTGAAAGTCTTAATTTGAAACTTTCAAATCTCAACTTAAGACTTTTAAAGAATTTAAATTGAAATTTTCCAGTCTTAAATTGAGACTTTCGAAATCTCAGTTGGAAATTTCAGAACTCAATTTAAGATTTTTAAAAGTTTCAATTTGAGATCGTAAGTTTTAAATTAAAATGTATACCATGTTCGTAAAAAATTAATCCATGATAGATTGGTAAATTCCGAATGCGGTGAATTTTTTGAAAAATTTTGTACTACATAGTTTCTGCGATATTCAGTCCTAAAAAAAATGAAATTTCATAAAAAAATTTCTTATTTAATTAAAAACATTAATTGACAAATGATTCATTTGATTCAAGCAGTTATTGTTGCCTTTATCAACAGCACATGAGAATAGAAAAACTCAATAATGAGAATGCAATAAATTAAGTTATTTAGAATTTTTTCCGGAAATCCATAGGGACTAACTTTTGGGTTCGATTATCTTGGAAAGTACTTTAACTTGAGACATTCAAAAGTCTCAATTTGAGGTTGTAAGTTTCAAATTGAAATATATTCTTTACGTGAGTGTCAAGTAACGAAACGGTTTAATTCAACGTTATCTCGTTAATTAGTAATCTTCGGAAAGAATTCAAGAAACATTTTCTCTGTGAAATTTCCTCAACCTGAAAAAAATCTTGAGTACTCCTTGCACATGATAAATGAATGGAAAGATGATGGAACTCGTCAAGATGTTGAACATTCTCATAATTATGCAATTATTTCACAAATGAATTCTATTAGAAGAAATTCTTAGATGGATTTCTTTTGTAGAAAGTTTTTTAAGCTTCTGAAAAATGCCACTTGACATGAAATTATCCAAATGAATGAATGAATAAAATAATTCAATTGTTTAAGATGGAAATACCATTTTAAAGAGCTGTTTTTCTTAATTATTTTTTAGCAAGCAATTCTCGCCGCCGCCAATAGGCTCACCGGCCAGGACACAGTCCAGTTCGTCCTGGATTTCCCCCGAATCTACACAAATACTCAAGTAATAGCGAAACCACCGATCACGACGAATAAAGAGTCGCTGGGTTCGGCGCTCAACTCATTCTACAGTGACATTGCATCATTAGAGAGACCAGTGGATGAACACCAAGCGATTCCATCGCCCCAATTAATTCCTGTTGAACCACAATCCGTAGCAACAACGATACCAGAAACGACGGAAAAATTGTCAGTGGTCGCTGATGCTTATAAGGAAAAAAGAAAGAAGAAGGTATTTTTAATTTGGCGTTTCTTATTTTCAATTAATTGTTCTGCACTTTTAAGGATATACAAGTACTTTGGCTATTTTTTCTCCATTGAAATACTTTTATACGCTTGTAATCGAACATCAGAGCAGGGATGGCAATCTTCTGATCTTCAATATTTCGGATGTTTAGCCATTTTCAGCACATCTTATTTTTTCATGTTAAAGGAAAACTATAATTTTTTTGGCTGATCGCAGAACATGAAACTAACTTCTTTGATGTTAAAAAAAATTAATCGTAATAGTCTCGCCAGTAATAAATCAACAAACTTTTCTTTATACACGGGCTCTTATGGGATTTATGTTGAATTTTATAATTCACCTACTAGAAGACTCGAAAAAAAAGAAATAAAAATAAAAAGTAATGTACAAAACTATACTGAATCGAATGGCTAGAGAAAAATTTGGGGTATCCGCGCAAAAAGTTTTACTCTACCGGTAATTATAGTTTATGAATATGGCTATCCCTGCATCAGAGCTTTCATTTGACCCTAAGTTTCCGGACATTTTACAATGATTTTATTATTTAAAATTTGCAGGTCTGAGTTTGAAACTCGCTAATTTATTCATTCATTTATGCACTACAAAAAAAACTTTCACTTTTTCATTTTAAAAAAAATAAACTATTGAAAATATTCTCGTTCACGTCATCTCCTTCAATAGTTTTATAATAGTTCACTAATTAATTCTACATGGGTTTATGTTTCAGGTGAAAAATGTAGTCAGCAAAAAGCAAAAACAAGTGTCTTCGATGGTAGCAAAGTGGCAAAAGGCTCAAAACTACGAGGGATCCAATTGATACAAAGAAATACCAGTTCTAATAAAATTCTACTCACACATCAAATACGATATTATTTTGTAATTCCCTCTCCTCGATTAGTTTGTTGACAGTAACGATTGTATAAAGATTGAGAATAGAGGTATAAATATTGAAGTTCACCAGTGTAGAAAGAGAAAAAACACGAAGGGAAAAAGAAAACAAATAATATTTTTCATTGGAAATTTGTAGTTTTTATTTAATAATAAAGAGTTTTACATGTTACGCCACAAGAGCACTTGCAGTGGAGCTCTCGTATTTCCAGGTTGGTGGAAGTGATCCCTTGGATTTGTAGTAACGAGCGAGCCTGTGGATACGCGATTCGACAAGAATCAGACGGAATTTGCTGTCCTTGTCCTTGCGATTTCTCTCCAAGTGCTTGCGAATGGCAACCGCTTTCTTGATGAGGTAGTAGAGATCCTCAGGTAGATCAGGTGCAAGCCCCATGCTCTTCACGATCCGAAGGATTTTGTTTCCAGTACGGAAACGAACCTGGGCGACGCCATGTGAATCTCGAAGGATGACACCTTCATTACGATTAAATTGAAAGAGAAAATTATTAGACGCTGTTCAAAGGAATCGGATCATTGGAATTAATTATGGTTATGTTAAGGATGTTCAGGTACTTTGGCTATTTTTTCTCCAGTGAAATGCTTTTCTACTTGTGTAATGGTACATCAAAGCTGTTATTTGAGCCTAATTTGACCCTAAGTTTCCGTACATTTTACAATGATTTTATTATTTAAACTTTGCAAATTGCAAAAATTAGAAAGCTTACTTTCGGAAGAGGATTGATAAAATAATTTAAAAATTGAAATTTTTGAAAATTACGAGCATTTTTTACAAATAATTAATAAACAATCAATTTTCTAGCATAAAAATTATTTGTCCCGAATTGTAATAAATTTATGCATATTCAGAATTTTACCAGAAATCGATTTCATCCCTAGAAAATAACGTTTCCGAAAGTTTCAACAATTTCAATTATTTATTTATAAACAACGAATGTTTAAAAAATAGTAATTCTGTGCAAAATGTAATTTCAATGACGCTAAATATTCATGATTTTTTTTCATATTTTTCTCACACAATTTAATTGACAAATTATTATTATTGATTTTTTTTTATGAATGATGAATAATTTGATGATTGAAAATGGTTGAAGCTAGAGTGGGGTCTGTACCAAACTGTAAAAGATACTTGGATATCCTTAAACAATTACAAATCATCTTGTATGAAGATCAAATCGCAAATTGATGACAGAATTTTGGAATGAATGAATTCAACGGAACATCTTCACGTTCACGTGAGGATTTTTCTTCAGTGAGTGACTTGAAGAGAAAATATGAACTCATGAATTTGTGAACTTCATGTTGCCGGATACCTATAGCAAACTGCACGAATGATCCCGACAAGTTTGCCTCAAATTCCGACAAAATCTGTTTGCTGTAGCAAGAGAACATTATTCAATAAGTTTTATCTGAGGAAAGAGTTGAATTAATGATTCATCTTTCCCAGAACTCTTGCATCAATAGAGATATTTCTCACTTCATCAAGGTAATTTTATAAAAATTAATGTTAATAAGTAAACAAATATGTAGCCAAATATAAGGATTTCAAGCCTGTAAAAAACGGAATAGGGAGAACAGGCCAATTGCTGGACGGGAAATAGGATGAGATTAAAAATTATGTAAAATTTATTGAAGCGAAAATAACAAAACAAAGAATAATTCAATTAAGAAATAGTTGAATGCAGCCGAAACCCCTAATTTCTGGAGGACAGGGCCATATTTTTTTTATTCATTAAATGTCGATCAATAAAAAAAATAATTAATCACATGATTATACGAAAGTAATATTATTGAAAGGTGAAATAATCAGTACAATTTTCATTTTATTTATGGAATATTCAATGCAAGTTGAAATTGTCCAGAAATTCACCTATTGAGCTCGCAGATTATTTTGGAAATATCCCTGAAAGTGCTGACTTCACAGAAAATAGTCAAAAGACAGTTTCCTTCCTAATAGTGGAATAATGCACAATGGAACTTTCTGGAAGGTTCCTGGTGAATCCTTTCACTTCAGAGATATTTTCAAAAAGATACGTGACGAAATATTTCATTCCTCCCTTTAGTCTATTCAATCGCGATTAAATGTTGCAAATGAAATAATTACCAATTTGGGATGGAGTGTGGCCTTTTTTAGCAAGTTTGTAAATCAGGTCTTTGCAATCCTCAGGCGTGAGTTTCAGCCATGTCGGTACACTTCGTCTGTATGGTAATGCAGACTGGGAGATACCCTTTCTAGAAATTCCAAAGAAACAATCATAAATCATCAACTAATTTACACCTGTATAAACTCCAAAAATCCCCCTTCTCAGGCCCTAACCAATGACTCTCAGCAATAAATTGCCCCCAAAATCCAACTACTCTAAAAAAACCTCGCTTGACAATGGCCGGAACACATGGTCGAGATGTCCCATGCCCCAAAAATCCCTCATCCCTCCCATCACCCGCGATTATCCCCCGTTTCCCATAATTCAATCGCTCAAAAAAAAATTCTGAATCCCAGTAAACCCCTGATAACCCTCGAAAAACTCCTTCAAACCCATATTTTTGTTATTTTACATACCCAGGAGCGTGCATGCGACCCATGATGGCGGCTGTATCGTGGACAAAAAGGCTTGCGTTCACTGAAACATGAACTACGCGACAAGATGGGAGAATACTTGGGGAGTCGAACCGCCAATACGTGGCGCTGATATAGCCCTAAAATTTCCCCGCCAATTGTCGCCCACTTCAAACCAGAAAATTGGAAAAACTTATGAAATGTGAAAAATCCGGTATAGTGAAAACAAAAAAATTATTATAGCATATTAAACTCGTTATTCTTTAGTGTTTTATGCAAATTATGTTAACATTGCTAGGAATATCTATCAGGGTTCAATTTAACAAGAGTCAAGCGTCTAAAGAGTCCAATTTAACAAGGGTCACGAGGGTCAAGCATCTGAAGGGTTCAATGTCACACGGGTCTTGTGACTCTCATGACCCTGTGACATTCAATGTCGCAAGGGCCTCGTGACCCTGTGACATTCAATGTCGCAAGGGCCTCGTGACCCTGTGACATTCAATATCACAAGGGCCTTGTGTCCCTCGCGACCCTGTGACATTCAATGTCACAAGGGTCACGAGGGTTCAATTTAACGAGGGTCAAGCGTCTAAAGAGTCCAATTTAACAAGGGTCACAAGGGTCAAGGACCTGAAGGGTTCAACGTCACAAGGGCCTTGTAATCCGTTCAATGTTACAAGAGCCACGAGGGTTCAATTTAACGAGGGTCTAGCGTCTAAAGGGTTCAATTTCTGAACGGTCACAAGGGTTCAATTTCGCGAGGATCAAGCGTCTAAAGGGTTCAACTACGCGAGGGTCACGCGTATCAAGGGGCTCAATTCCACGAACGTCAATTATCCTACAAGCTGAAGTGAGTCAACTCTGGGTTCATGAAAATTTCCCAGAGTTTCTCTCTTTCTTCGCTGGGTTTTTTCCATAAACCCAGGATTGACCCAGGGTTAACTCTGGGTTTAATCTGTCAGAGCTAGAGTATATTATTAATAAAAAAAATCGTGTGGTAAGCATATAGCCCACTTAGCGGGTTATAGCTCGGAGCAAAAATCTGCCCGCCAAAACGCATCCCAAATAGCTCAATTGGCTATAAATGCCCCATGACGACCTCACTACGCCGCATGTTGGCCCAAGCCACTGTCGCCATCTCTCGTTCCCCTCAGAACCCCTCAACAAAACGCATTCACTCCGGTCCCCCTCCCCTCGCCCATATAAAAATCCACTCGGCGTTTCACCCCCTAATCACCGACTGCGTTAGTCAATCTGGAAACCCACAACTCTTAATACTTTCCCCACAACTCAATTCCGACGAATAAATGTTGTAATAAATAAATAAAATTCTACAGTTCACCGCCGACTATTGAGAACAATAGATACCGAGATTTTAGAGAAACACGTTGGACAGTGTTCTTGAAGTGATGCGTAAGTCGAAGATAAAAACATAAATGACTGGTATAAAAATGTTAAAAGAGGGATAATGGACTTAGCGAGTAAAATCGTCATTCATTTATTCAGTCTGATTGTTGGGACGGGGCAATATCGGCGCGGATGGGCATTATTATGATTAGTTGTGATACACCTCGAGTACTACGGTTGACGCCATTTTAATTCGTGCCCCATTTGAGGCCTGAAAAAAAAGGCATCTTCGGAGGCAAGGGGCCAACACTCTTTTGACAATTATGTGTGTGCGTGTATGGACAATCGACATAGCCTCGTAACGTCGTATCGCAAGTTGGCGTCGTGAGTCAAGATGTCCGGATATTGAGTAAGGTTGATGGAAATTCACTTCGATATATTCGATTTAGATATTTGTAGTTTGGGCTCAGGGCTTTTGCGGCGTATGGGCACCCCGTGGATGCATCATTCCGTGTCATTCGGGCGATTGTGTTGTTGGGGGGAGAGATTCTGCGGGGGTCCACTGGGGGATCGATTGGTTTTGAGGTTTTTGCGGGGCACAGCGTTATTTTGTTGATCAAGAGTGAGTTTCGGGAAATTAGGGGCCGAGGGTGGGATGAGGGCTGAGGATTTTTAGAAAGTCAGGCATGAGATGCAGTTCGAGACTGGACCGGTTACGATGGGCCTCCGTGGGGGCTTCCATGGCTGGGGAACAGTATCAGTTTGGAATGCTTAGAAATTTCAATGAGAAATACATTAGTTGAGAAAAAAGTAAAGAAGGCATAGGTTTTTTTAGATTTTAATTGCATTAAGTTTTCGTTCACGTTCTTGGGTGATTCTATTGTTCAATTTTTCGATAATGAATTGGTTAGGGCAAGCGATGGGCCAAATGCTCCGCAGAATGTCTCATTGTTGGGATAATAATGGGGGCTAATTTTTTCAAGAGAGAAAATGCTAGGAAATATTGACATTGAAGAACTAATGGGGTGATAAGAATAAATGAATGCCCTGATGAACACTTTGTGTGCTCGAAACGTCGGCAAATGGTGAAAGAATTGTTTTTTCTCTTGCGATTCTTTCCTTTTTTAATTCTAATTAAAGTTGCTCTTATCACCGTTAATGGCTGAGGAAGTGGGAGTTTTTTGAAATTGATTACTGATTAATATTTAAAAAATGATCTTGCAGATTCCCCTCTACAGTGCGAGCATTGGATGAGTCTTTTGATGAAAATTGAGTGAAATTTTGAAGCAGGAAAGAGCGGGATAAAATGTCGAGTGACAGTGAGGATCTGTCAAGGCCATCGAAGAAACGTCGATATATCATCGACGATAGCGAGAGCAGCGATGACTCGGTTGTGACTAAAAGCAACCGAAAACGTAGAGTTTTTAAAGTTGTTAGTGATGTTGACAGTAGTGATGATGACAGTGATGTGCCCAGGCCAGTAAGGAGGAAAAATGCTACGACCAAGATCATCGTCAGCGAGGACGAGTCCAGCAGCGAGAGTGATGATGCTGGATCATTGCAATTGGGTAAATTTTGCTTGAAGTCGAGATATTTAGGGGAATCAGCCATTCTTTTGGGAATTAATTCGCACCCTCAGGTTTAATGAAGAAAATGGCTCACTTGATATTTTATCTAAACACTTTCGTTGAAGAGATATTTTCAAAATTATCTGGGGATGTTTTACCGGAAATTTCATGCAGACTATCTTGGAATATCTTTCCTACTACTGACTACAGGAATGTCCCAATTGACCTTTTTGTAGTTCGTTCATTATTCTAAAAGTCTTTGTTCTGATGATAAACAAAAAATTATCTGCAAAAAGTTTTTTTATGAAAACAAAATTGTTCTAAAATTGCACAGAGACAATTATCAACTACCTTTTTAATATCGTGTGCTAAATGGAAAAAGGTAAACCTAATCTAGGGAACATGAAATCTGAACGATTTGGGCTCTCTAGAATTATTTTAACCCAACTTTTGAAGACATTTTTTCCGCAAATTTTTATCTAATAGAAATTTCTCTAGAATAATGTTTAATTCTTTAAAAGTACGACCGAATATCAGAAAAGTGGAGAGAAAATAGTGAAAAGATTTCTTCATTTTTCCACTATTAGAGAAATATTTGTGGAAAAATGTCGAATACGCAAAAAAATTGTCCTAATCTAGTAAATAAAAATGCATCTAATAAATAAAAGTAATAAAGGTTACACAATAAATTTCCCTAAAACTCCTCCATTCGAAGACATCCACAAACACCTAAAATGTCACTTCAAATCTATTACGTTTGAGAAAATAAAATGATCATCATCTTTATGCCATTGTTTCATGTTTTTCTCCAGAGAGTGACGAGGCCTGGGAATCGGACTGGCTGAGCACAGATTCGTCAGACGTGGATGAAGTTCTCCCCAAGAAATCCAGGGTCAAACCCAAGACACTCGATCCATCGCCCTCATCCTTACCACCCAAGCAGAGTGGCTCAGACTCTGAACAGAGTGACGGGCAAACGGAGAAGTGTCCAATATGTCTCCTACCATTCAAGAAACAACAAGTGGCAACGCCAGCCACGTGTGATCATTGTTTCTGTTTATTGTGCCTGACTGAATGGAGTAAAAATGTCAATACCTGTCCTGTTGATCGTCAGCCATTCACTTCCATCAATGTCAGATTCCACCTTAATGGCAAAGTACGTCATTAATTCTTTATTTTTATTACAAAATGACAATATGGAAGAACCTGAAAATTCTCCTGCAGAATTATTTGCAAATATCTCGCCCATGACGACGCTTACGAAAACTTATTTGATAAAAATTTAAGCAACTAATTCGAGTTAATTATTCATAAATGGAACATGATGTTATGGACTTTAAAGTTTTAAATATCTGCATTATTTGCCTGGGTACCCCAGATTTTTCCTTGACGCCCTGTATTTTCTTTCTCATTCTTGGAGTCTTCCAATAGGTGAATTATTAACCCATTAACCCTTCGTAGTCGTGTATTTTACGATTGCGAGAAAAAACAAAGTTGAACAAAAACAAACTTATTCCACGTTCACAGGTAATTTTGAACTTTCAGTGAAGAGAAAATGGGGTATGGAAGCGAAATAGTTGTCAGATAGTCCAAAAACTTAATTCGAAAAAGTGCGAACTTTCGAGGTTAAACATGGGGATAATCCATTGTTGTAAGTCTGGAAAAAAAGATGCTAATGTGCTCCATACCTTTGAAAGTAGGAAAAAAATTTTGATGGATTTTTCATTCACCAAGTTGTTTCGTAAAAATAAAAAATAAAAAAACAACAGGGATTTCCTCATGCGACCACTTGAGGGTTAATTTGAAAATAAGTCCCATAAAATCCCAAGTATAAAAAAAATGTTTGCCCTAATTTTTATCAACTGTTAGGAAAGGCGTTTTCTCATGTTTCTCAATTAGTCTAAAAAATTACATAATGGAAAAAAATTTTAAAATGTCTTGAAAATAAGTCCCGTAAGATCTCAAGTATAACAAAGAATGTTTGCCCTAATTTTGATCAACTGTTAGGAAAGTCAGTTTCTCATCTTTTCCAAATAGTCTAAAAAATTACATAATGGATAAAAATATTTAAAATGTCTTCAAAGTAATATCGACGAAAATTATAAATTTTTCTCATGTCCTTCCAGATCGTCCAGAAAATCCCAGTAGAGTCTAAAAACTCGACAGAGGAGCACATTCAGGAAGACCCAACATTCTGCGAAGTTTGTCAAGAGTGTGATCGCGAAGATCGCATGCTCCTCTGTGACGGTTGTGACCTTGGCTTCCACCTCGAGTGTTTGAATCCCCCAATGGACCGAGTGCCAATGGAGGAGTGGTACTGTCCCACTTGCACCGAGATCAATCCAAGCCTGGCTGAATCCATAGAAATGGACCTGGACGAACTGCCAGATCTGATGGCTGAGGCTCGATGCCTGGGCACCACCTACGGTCGCACTCGTTCAGGCGCCCCCCAGGACTTTCCCCACCCCCCAATGCACACCCCAGGCCCATCCCACAGACGCATAATTCCACGAACACGTCAGACAGAACGAGTGAGAGCTAACATTCGTGCTGATCGCCGCAGACAAGAAAACACTCGTCATTTCGATCCTGATCAGCCCTCAACATCATCTGGAATTGAATCCGTCTACGACAGCAACAGTCGCAATGATCTCATTGCATCTGTCATTCAGCGTGTGAGCGCTGCAATGTCGAGGAATGCCAGGGGCAGAGTCAAGAGTAAATCAGCCAAGAAACCTCGAAGAAGGAAAACAGCCAGAAAGACTTCGTCAAGAAGCACTGGAAATTCCGAAGTTCGTGAAGTTCGTATTCGTGAGATTAATGAGGATGGTGAGGAGAAGGAAATTGTGACTTATGTCAAAGTGAAGACATCCTCAACCAAGAGGAAGACCAAGCGTACTAAAAGAACGCGCAAGGTACTGATTTCATCGTAATTACATTAAAATTTAACTCCACCTATAATGCATAGTGCATAATCAATGCGGGAGCACAATTTCATTAATTCATCCACATATTAATATAAATCACTTTTTGTTTTTTTTTCTTTCTTATCTCACTTATTAAAACCATTTTTCTCTCAATTTATGTTCACATCTTTTTAGTACCAACTATTGTAATAACTTGGGTGTAATGATAAAGCAATGACAAGCAAATTCATAGTGACTATTCTGTCTCAAGATGTCAAATGAAAAGCAGAGAAACAAGATACAATGAATTTGGCATTGGAATTTGCATTTTTAACTGTTCTCTAATTGAAATTATTTCAAAATAAAACGAAAATATTAGAAAACCAAAAAATAAAATTTGTCTTTTTCATTCTAGAAGTTAAAACGTAAAACAACAAAACGACATGCATTATCCTCCCTATATGGTAAGGGTGTTAAAAAAAGACTTGCTATAACATTGGGAATGGTTAAGGGAAGGGCCAAAGTACCGAGTGTCGCTGAACCAGTCGTTAATAATCAGGGAACAGTGAGGAGTGGAGTTGTTGAGCTAACTAATTCAAGATTTCGAGCTGGAATATCACAAGTTAGCTTGTTTGGAAATAATTTGGGGCTTGATTACAGTCCACCTGGGTAAGAATTAATTTCTTAAATTAAAAGGAAAAAAAATATTAGCATTATCTCGAGAACGAGTTGCTCTAGCCGGAATTTATCGCTGATAATTCCCCCTAAACTGACTCAGTACTGAGATAATTCCACAATTATTGTAATTCAATAACGTCGTGCCCATCAAGCCTGAGAAAATCTCCCACTGGAATTCCCAAAAAATCAAAATCATTAAGAAAAGATAATTGTGAACAGGTCCGATGACGAGACGATGCTCGACTCTCCCGGCTTGACCCTCGGCTCAATAGTAGGAATTCAACGTCGAAATGTATCAATCTCGTCGACGAGAAGACGACTAGCCCTCAAGGGAATGCTCCTAGAGCCTAGATCATCACCCCCAACAGACCAACAGCTGCAGTCTCCCATGGATCTCCTGGACAGCATAATGGGTAGCCAAAAGTTGTGGCACTCCAAGTCCAACAAGATCACCCTTAAAGCTAATGGTACCCTCCTCCTGCCATCCGACCTCGACAAAAAATCCGACAAAGACGAAAATGACAACAACAGTTCCAACAAAGACCTCACAAAACGCCTCGTCGATAATTCCGACACGATAATAGACAAGAAAATTGGCCAGCCCCTGGACCTCTCCAGCATAAGCTCAGAGGACATCACCCAGGCCCCGATGTACAATGGCTCCCGAGGGGGTGGGGGTCCACGGGGAGGTGGAGGCGGTGGAGGTGGCAGAGGCCACAATTACCACGGAGGAAGGGACTCCTACTCCAACTATTCAGGTGGCAGGCAAAATTACAATGCCAGAGGCACTGGAATGTCCCCACGTGGTGGCTTTGGCCATCGTGAACGTGGACAATCACCCGGAATGACTGACTTCCCCCCGAACTTTGATAATCGCATGAATCACAACTTCAACTCGTCCTTTCGCTTTCGTAATTCACCGAATTTTCGAAATGATAACAGACCACGTATGCCTATGATGCCAAATATGCCGAGACCACCAAATCACATGTTCAGAGGACCGAGTGACAATATGAATCCAATTTTTCCAATAACACAGTCGATTTATCCACCACCACTGCTATCACAGCCACCACCGCCACCCCCTGCCGAGTGTCCTGTTCCCAATGCACCTCACAAGGATTACTCAGGGGATATGGAGCAGGAGAAATCAGACGTTCCTGTCGAGTCCTCGTCCTCAGCATTACCTTCGCCATCACTTTCTGCAAATAAAATCGATAAAATTGATGATGCAGCTGGGGTTGATGCTGTGGGATCCTCAGTTATCGAGGGTGGAGCTGAGGCACAGGGGAACGAGGAGGACTGCGATATCTACGCGGATATCGAGTCGAGAGACGACAATCGAAAAAATCTTAGGAATAACGAGTCCTCTGAGTGTGAGAACAGAGAGGGCAATGAGGAGGGGACGAATTCTGGTGATTGTACGTCCTCAATTCTCCTGCCACCCCCCGAGCCGCCCTCCGAGCTGCTGCTGGACCTCGAGGAGAACCTGAAGAACGACAGTTACGAGACAAACAGCAGAGGATCAGACAACGAGGACCTGGTGATCGACGACAGCCACAAAGAGCCTGAACGAGAAGTCAAGGAGATCGAGAAGGACGAGAAAACCGAGACGAGTGCGCCCAAATACTACGACAAATACGATCCCTTCCAAGAGGCTGACTCAGACGAAGAGTCACAGGCTGATTGTCCAAACTTCTCAATTTACTCGTCTGAAACGATGGACGTTGCCAGACGTGCTGAGGAGCAGTTATCGCAGGAGATTGACATTGGCCCACTCGAGCCCCCACCACTGCCACCAGACATCCCTGACGATGACCAAGAGGACTTGAGTCCTTTTCAGGTGCACGACGACCCCGAAGAGCCGCGTGAGGCTCCACGTGAGGAGGCACCACGTGAGGAGGCACCTGTTGAGAGAGTGGACACACCAGACATCCCCGAGCCCCCACCAACCTTCGATCCATACGTCGAATCTCTCAGAAAAGAGCGACAACAACTCAGCAAAATTCCGTCTAAAAAAATATCCACCGATTGCAGGGGAAAAATCACCTTCAAAATTGGAAACAAGAGCAAAGTCATGAATAAACTGAGCTCTCTGTACGACGAAATAGATGATAACATTGAGACTATGATCGAGCAGGAGAGGGAGCTGGAGGCCTCAGTTGTTGAGCCTCAGAGTTCTGTGAGTGAAGATCCACCCAGCGAAGACATTTCCTCTGCTCCTAAAAAATTGGATGAACCAGTTGAAAAAGAGCCTGAAGAACAACTTCCTTCCCCCGAGCCCCAGCCAGACAAGCCTGAGGAGAAAGCCCCCGATGAGGGCGACGAGGAGGAAGTGGAGGGGGAGGTTGACAAGAAAATCAGTGATAAATCTGACGACGAAGACCTGGAGACGAGTCAGCCAGTTGACAAAGACGAAGACCCCGAGAAGCTGAATGACTCGATGTCAACCGAGGGCAGCGACAGAGGTGGGACTCCCCCACTCGTCAACGAAGCCAAAAGCAATTCCGATAACTGCAGGGTGAGTGAGAGCAGTGACGTGATTAACGAGGACGAGAGCATCCTGAGCCAGGACTTCCAGCTCGAGAAGGACGAGAATCCGAGCAAAGAGAGTGAAATTGAAAAGAGCGAGGAGGACAAAAATTTATCGAACGAAGTGAAGTCCTCGGTGGACGACAACATGGAGGGCTGGTACTCGGACGGTGCTTACACCCCATGCAAGGACGAGAATCCAGTGGCAGAGAAGGGCCCGACCAAGTCCCAATTGGAGAGTGGATTGGAGCCGATAACTCCGCCGCCTAAGGACCGCAACAGCGACGATCTGGATCGTTGCAGGACGCCAATAGGCTACGCAGGACTGGGGACGGAGGCCATTTCGGAGAACGACGAGCCGATCAGCTTCGAGGACGACCGGTCAGCAGCGTTGTCCCCCTCGATGCGCAAGGACAAGGAGCTGGAGGACGGCGAGATCACGATGGACGAGGGGCGACCCCCCAAGAAGAAGAGAATGGCCTTCGACTCGGATAAAGAAGGCGAACGCGAGGGGAAAAAGCGAAAGGATCGGCGGGACAAGTCCGGCAGTAACAAAGACGCCGACAAGAACAAGGAGAACACCTCCGACAACAATCAGGTCTCCTGGAAGAAGCTCTCGAAGAGCACGAAGGAGCGCCAGTACCGGGAGAAGCTCAAGCGTCATTCTGCCTCGAAGGAGCGTCACCGGGAGCGCAATCGCAACAGAGATCGCGATCGCGAGCGGGATCGCGACTACGAGAAGGAAAAGGACAAACCCGGGAAGAAGAGAAAATCCAGGGATCGGGCAGCGGCTCTCAGTGCCAAAAACCTGGCGAGGAAGAAGGAGAAGCGGAAGGAGCTGCCAAGGTACGACGTCCGGAAGATCGTGGCTGAGAAACCGGCACGACCCAAGAAGGACGAGTACGGGAGGGACGTGAGGACTGCGTCCTCTCGCAGCAGGTCCAGGGGGCGGAGTTTGGCGCGGGGGAAGAGCCACTCGTACTCACCAGCGAGGAGATCGTGGCCCAGACGATTGTCTCGCTCGTGGTCCAACCACAGGAGGAGATCACTCTCGAGGGCCTCGAGGGCGTCCTCGCGGTATTCTAGGTCTCGATCGCGATCTCGCTCGGCTCGACGCTCGCGATCGCGCTCTCACTCTCGCTCGCGATCGCGATCACACACGCGCTCGCGATCGCGACGAAAGTCACCGGTTGCCAGGCGGCGATCGCTCTCGCGTAAACGATCGCGATCGGCTTCCCCTCGTCGCGGCAGGCGATCGCTGTCCAATCAACGCGCGAGGAAGAATCACTCGAAGCGAGTGCCCACTAGGAAGCGCAAGTCGCGATCGCGATCGAGGAAGAAGGAGAAAGTTAAGAAGTACAAGTCGAGGAGTCGATCGAGGCGACGCAAGCGCACGTGGAGCAAGAGCCCGCAGCCGGTGGTTCGTAGGGAGAAGGGGAAGAAGAGATTGAAGAGAAAAATTATGGTTGGAAAATCGCGATCGCGTGAGAGATCTTTATCGAGAAATTGGGAGAGTATGAATATGCCGCGATCCCTCGATCGCGGGTATCCAATGAGGAGTTCAGCAATCACAGGCCCGTTGACGTTACTGTCAGGGGGAATGCTTGAGACGGATCAGATGAACCACACGACAGGGCAAAATCAGTCGACGTGGAGTGGAGCCCAGTGGACTCCCTCGTGGTCGCGATCGAAGACGAAATCGAGGTCGCGATCGAGATCGAGGTCCAATGGGCCAGGGCTGGAGCCAGTCCCCCCCAAAAATCTCACTGTCATACTGACGAACAAGGAGGCTATCAAGAAGAAGAGACGAGAGAGACGACTGAAGGAGGGGAGAAAACGCAGGGACGATCCTGACAGGGTCAAGAAGAGAGACAAACGCAATCGCACTCCACCCCCCTCCAAGGAAGTATTCGCCAGTGGTGATAATATTTTGGTGAGCGTTTGCTTCAACAACGACAATATGAGCGATAACAACGACAAAGCCCCGATGTCCGTGCCCAATGGTGACAGCATCAGCAGTCAGCTCGCTGATACAATAGCCTCGCTCACCAGTAAAAAACGTAAACGCAGGAATTACCGAGAGGTGGGAATGGCACCTATGGGGGTATTGTCGAAAGAGCCACTGTCGAAGAAACCAAAGAAGGACAAGTCCAAAGACAAGCGGGGAAAATCACCGGAGCCCAAACGTCGGAGGGAAAAGAAGAAGAAGTCGAAGGCTGCGGAGATTGCTGCGAGCAAAAAGCCTGTTGCTGTCATCGATCTGGACCAGTCCCCCTTCAGGGAGCAAACCCCCTCGCCGAAGGATATTATTGTCCTCAGCGATGACGACGACGACGACAACGACTCGACTCAGCAGCTTCAGCAGCAGCTGCAGCAGCTGCAGAATGCGATATCTCCAGCGATTTTGCATCAACAACAGCAGAAATCATCGGACAGTCGACACGACGAGCAAACACAGCAGCAGGAGATTCAGAACGATAATCTGGCGTCGCAGAGGGACGAATTTGTTGGCCCTAAAACGCCACCAGAACCGCAGGTCAAATTCTCTATAAATAAACAGTCTAATAACATGAGACCCAGCATGATGAATCCCCTGTTGGACGAAGAGGAGGACGATGAAGACGGCGACAATGAGGACGCTGATGACGACGGTGACGATGACGATGACAACACAAACGTCCAACATCAAAAGATCAGCGATGATAAGGACAGGAATAATGCCAACAAATCAGGGAAGAATGACGCCAAATTGATAAATGATCTGGCAGCAGAATTACTGAACTCGAATGACCCATCACGTGAGAATGAGCACACGGGGGCCAGCGATGGTGATATAATCATCGTTGCTGACAGTAATGAAGAGGAATTGGATGATCTGGAAGCCTTAGAGATACTTGAAATGAACGAGAGGACTCATGGCTTGTCCCAGCAGACTGACAATGGCAATCAGGGAGAAATGGACAGTATGAAGCACGATCGCTCCGAGGAGAGGAGGAACCAGGACGAGCTTGACATGAGACTGAAGATTGGCCCGAACACACCACCAGAGCCCCCCACGTCGCCCCCAACGTCGCCGGACGCTTACGATCCGTTTGACCCGACAAAATCACGTTCTCCGACGCCTACAGCCTCGCAGGAGACCTCGATAGGAATTGACTCGGCGTTAACGTCCAATGATTCCATGAAGCTGTCGGTGTCCCAGGGGAAGGAGAACTTCTCAAGCGAGAAACGAGAGACTGCAGACAAGCCGAAGATCATATCCATGGTGACGATTAAGAGGGCGTCGTCACCATCAGCAGCTGGAAATATCATTAATCTTGAGAAATCGGAGGATGGAAAGGCCAAGGCTAATAGTGGCATCTCCACGAGCATTGGAAATCCTTTCACCACTATTAATCCGGTTTTGGCAACAGTGGCTGCTGCTGTTCAGAGGATTGGCATCCAGAGGAATCTCTCCAATGCCCAGATCAAACAACGAACCAGTGGTGCCACCAATCAGGTGTCCAATCTTTTTATGAATTCGGTTAAGGGAATGACTTTGAGGGGGTCCAAGGTCAATACTGGGTCTAGTAAGCAGAATGGTAATGAGGGGACTGAGGGGGCTGATGCAGTCGCCGCAGGACCGACGATAGACACGTCCTCGCCGTATTCACCTGGATCGAGCCTGAGTGATGGCTTCTTCGATCCACCACCTCATCAGTATGGACATGTGTCCAGCCCCCCTGGCAATTTGGGGATTGGTAAGGGGAAGGGAAAGACTGGGGGGAAGACTGACAGCAAGAAAGATGCGTTCGATGCGCTGTTCGGGGCTTCACCGCTCATTAAGAGTGGCAAGGGGCGGGGGAAGAAGACCATGGACAAGAGGAAACGGACTACGAACTCCAAAATCGGGGTGAGGATGGATGAGAACGAACTGCAGATTCTTGATGATCTGCCCAGCTCGGCTGTGGAGATGCAGGTAAAGGACAAGTTCCTGAAGAAGCTGAATAGGCAGGAGAGGGTTGTGGAGGAAGTTAAGCTTGTGTTGAAGCCGCATTACACCAAGAAACATGTCACCAAGGAGGAGTACAAGGATATTATGAGGAAAGCGGTGCCCAAGGTGAGTTCTGGTTGTTTATTTGTTTAGTTGGTTATTTATTTCAGTAGCGAAGTGGTAAAACGGTAAGTCAAGTTGGACTATTGACCAGTTTTCAATTAATATCTCGGAATCTAAGGGAGATAGCAACATGTTTGGTATTACCTTTTTTGTAGAGCCGATTGGGGGCTACAATAAATGTAATCACGGAAATTTCGCTATCTGCCTTAGATTCGTAAATATTCCTCAAAACTTGAAGTGTTTTATCACTTCGCTACTCATTTATTTTTTAAATAAAATCAGTGCATTTCGTGAAGCGGTCGAGGCTCAGCTTCTGAAAAACAGAGATAGACAAGATCATAATGTAGACTTGAAATTATTTCATTGCAGGCGAAATCAGTGAAGTGTATTGTTCAATTTTTGAATTTTTATTAAATTTCGTCAATCAGATTTTTCTAATTTTCACGTATTTTATGAGTTAGTAATTGACTTGGATAGATTGACGATTATTTGATCAGTTGAAAAGTCACATTCAGAGATTTAGATATAATTATTGAATAATAATTGAGAATTAAAATTATTGTCAAGTTGCAATAAAAATTAGTGCATTTCAATGAATTTAAGAATATTTTCATTTTCTACTTTCGTAATCGGACATCAGAGCTTTCATTTGAGCCCCATTCGACCCTGCGGAATCATTTGGATAGAATTTTTGAAGTTTAACACTCGCCTGCAGAATTCTTTATATTCCTTTGAGTTTTTATATTCAATGGATCTTTCTTTTGTGATTGCAGATATGTCATAACAAAACTGGCGAGATAAATCCAAAGAAAATCGCACAGTTGGTTGAGGCATACGTGAGGAAATGTCGGAGTAATAAGAGGAAAGGTACAAACGTGAATCCCTTGGGGAATTCGATGGCGAAAAATTTACGACCAACGTAAGTACTCCATTCGTCCATTTTCCAGCATATTTTTTTTTTTAATTGCACGCATCTCCAGCGTGGAGAATTGAATTGAAAATAATCAATTTGCCTTTTTTAATTGATTTCAGAAAAACTTTGTGGAGTTGATCGCAACGGGAGGACACTTTTTAATAGATCAACGCAGCGATGCAACTCCATCAAAACCGTGGAAGAATCACCTGAATGATCCATGGTGAATCAACAACGTGGACTATCCGGCAAACCTGCCACACTGTATTCTGTGTAAATATTTCGAGGAAGAGTAGATGGGGAAAAATTCAATGGATGCGCAATATTTGTATTTAATTATTTTTTACATTTTTTCTTTGCGTTTCTCGTAAGTGATTTGAGTATGAAGAAACAATGGAGAACTAGCGAGAAAATTGCGATGGGGCATTTTACAAATTTCTCCCCATTTTATCACGATACTAGACGAAAAACAAAACTATTATTAGGCTTATGAGGTGAAGCAGTGAGGAGCTACGAAAAATATTAATTTACCGAAGTTGACAATGAAGAGGAAAAAAACGCTCAATCAACAGTTTCTACATAGAATATTTATTAACGAAACATTTTTCGTTTTCTAGACACGAGAATAAGACAAATGCCTATTGGATGATTTTCAAAAAAATTGTTTTCATTAGTGAAAAACCAGACCAGACATTTTAGAATTGTTAAATAATAAGTTTCGTGCTATTTTCACTGTTTTAGACCTTATGAAAACTAATACAAATATAAATAATGAATTACGTTTGTCGTTTTTCCTCCTGTATAAGAAATGAATAAATTATTGAACGTATCAAAAGCTCGTGTTTATTAACTTCCTGATACGAAGGAAGTTTTTATAATGACCCCGAAAATCGATTGTGGAAATTTCATGATTTCTTTCGAACAAACGATGCGATTCAATTTTTTTTTCACACAATCGATGTGTTTTCGTGGAATTTAGTTCTGATTAGATTCTGAACAACATCGTCTCAGCAGTTTTTTGAATATGGATTAATTTTTGCTTCCGAATGGAAGCATTGTAATCGTTCAAATTTAAGTTTTGGGTTTTTCGTGTTATGTCGATCCATTAGGATTCAAAAGTCCGAAAATGCAATTTTTAGTTGGGGAGGGTGGGGCAAAATGGAATGTTTTGTGATCTCTAATTACCGATATTTTTGTTTATAAATGAAAATATTGGAATTTGGAGATCACAAACCGGTCTATTTTGCCTCACCTTCCCCTATGTAAATAATTTTTTCTTCCATTGTTCGCTAATGAATCGATGGAATTGAATCGTTTTTTTCCCTCAAATGTCGGTATTGTTGAACCCTATCAATCTCCGATAATTAAAATTTAATTCATTTATTTTTTTTTTCAATTTTTTAAATTTTTCAAAAATTGTTTTTTTTATAACTAAAAAAAATGTTCTGAATTGACTGAATGATGGCTTAAAAAAATTGTTTGCATGTTGTTTAGAGCGAGTCCGAAGATGAAGGCGATAGCAATAATCGTTATTTTGATTTATTTGAAAATTACAAAAATTCTGTATTTTTTGAAAATCAGAATTCCCGGGATATCTTTGGATATCACGCTTCAAATGAATTCCAGTCATAGCTTAAAATGTTTGTTTTAATGCTATTAAGTCGACGTGAAGATTATTATGATGGCTATATTGGTTGATTTGATTTTAATGGTGATTGTTGAAAATTTCTAATTTTTCATGAATTTTCCTGAAAGTGAGCGTTCTGATGGTTTCTTCAAATGTGATGTTTCACAACAATAAAAAAAAAACCTCATTAACACGACTGTTCTCGCGATGAATCCCCAATAAGAAAAAAGCAAAATTGACTTTGAAAATTCCCAGTTCTCTTCATTTCAAAACAAAAACAGATTCCAGCTTTACCAACCGCCCCAACTAAAGCAGTAACAATTCTCATCGAGCGAAAGTTCCAATTTTTCCATTTCGATTACTTAATTTTCAGCGTAATGTGGAAAGCATCACAAGGTGATTCCACAGTCTCCACCTCAAGCCTCTCCCAGCATTAGAATCCCCAAGACTATCGACAAATTCAATCACGTGTTTTTAAAAAAAACTCCAGTCCATTCCCTTGTCCCCTCGCTTATAAATACCTCATCAGTTTGAGTTCTGTACGTGTACTTCGCTCATTGTGGCTCATTGCCCCTCATCATCCGCTCCCAATCACCTCTAAACAATCAACAGAACCCCGAGAATAAACGAACAATCATGATCAGAACTCCCAATAGTGCCTGACAGTGCCTAACGCCAATTGAAATTAGAGAATCCGTTAAAGCCAGTGCCAAATCAGATGTTTGGTTAGTTTTGAATATCGATACCAAGGCGACGTGAGCCACTGCAATGTTTCATCATTGATTTGATGAAAGGAAAATAGAAATAATTCATCATCCTCGTTACATTCGTGATAAAGCCTCGTGACGCTTCCCATCGCTCCCCTCAGCCATTCTCACTCCTCAAACCTCATCAAACTATTAAACAAACTCTAACAAAACAATGCATAGGTAGTTAGTCAATAAAAAACATTGCAGTAAACGTAGAAAAAAAATAACGAGTGTCAGAAGCTAGTGAATAAAGTGTTAAAACTGTAAACAAATAGACATGGAAGCTTAGTAGAAGTAAAAATTTGTGGTTGTGAGTATTTCAGTTTAGCAGAATTGTTTTACGTGTTCATAAGTGCGATACATGTGCAAGCAAATGGCCGACAACAACTGGACACGAAACATTGTGTGCCGGTGAGAAATATACACGATAATATAGTTTTCATGGGATTTATTAATCGTTGTCTCGATAATCGTCGAATTGACTGGGGAATATTTCATCGTATTTCACCAAAAATTCAGGGAATCGTGAGGATTTCATTTTCCAAGGATTCTTGAGGGGTCGTAATAGTCCAGTCTTCGTGCACAAGGTACCACTGGGACTTTAGGGGAATGAAATTCCGAGAATTACGTGTCCCCCACTTTACTTGCGCTCGGAGGGGAGAATATTTTGATTTGATATTCTTCGGACAAGACACTAGGCGATTTCCATTTTTCATGATCATTTGGGTGCGATTCCTGATGTGGAATACTAATGGTTGATAGAAGAAATATTGTTTCTTTTCGAAATAACAATTTTGAAACTCGGAATAAGTTAGTTTATTAATAGAGGCCTGTGAGGCAAAATTGAGACTTTCAATGGAACTTTGGTTTTCATAAAAATTTGGTTGAATTTTGTTTTGTTTTGTCTATTTATTCGTTCAATAAATGGACGTAAACACATGGTGCACATGTAAAAATGGATATTTTATCAAGTTTTATGACCAATGCGATTAATTTTTTTTAAGAACTGTTACGAGTGCCCATTCATTTTGAAATTCAATTGATGTGCAATTAGTTCTAGATCATACGTGCATATGAGGTATTCCATGTCAAATGAGTCGACGGCTGACCCTCATCCTCTTGGAAGTTGATCTCGATTTTTTCTACAATTGGGGAACTAGAAAAACTATCTCTCAATTTTTTCACATTTTTTCGACAGCCCATTTCGGAGATATGATTTTTTCTTTGTTTTTTTATTTTTATTCAATAACTCCAGTTCTATTTACCCGATTTTGATTTATGACACGTCAAAATTGTTGACTTTCTACCATCTATAAGAATATTTTGACTATTTTTTTTCAATCCCTAGGTACTCATAATACCGAATTTAAAGAAAAGTTGAAAAACTTGGATTTTCAAAATTATGCCTCGTTTTATTTTTCTCGTCTTTTCCAGTAATTATTGTAATCAAAAGAAATATTCTGAGCCGCCAAACAATTTGGGTTTTGTCCTACATCTATTTTATTTTCAAATTTTTCTTCCCGAAATTTCACGGATTTGGTTAAAACACCCCAAAATAGCGTTAATTGACTTTATAAACAGTATGAAGCGAATTTAAATGTACACTTATATGTTACATATTTTTTCGATACACAATCGAAGTCGTTTTGGGGTGTTTTGACCAAATTCGCGGAATTTCGAAAAGAAAAAATTCAAAATAAAATAGCTCCAGGACGATATCCAACCTGTATAACGGTTCCACATACTTATTTTGATGAGAAGAGTTACTGAAAAAAATATGGGAAAAATAAAGTGACATAATTCAGAAAATTCAAGTTTTTCAATTTTTTTTTAATTCAGTATTAATGAGCACCTCGGGATTGAAAAAAAATTACCCAAAATCTTATAGATGGTAGAAACTCGAAAATGTCAAGCTGTCATAAATTAAAATCTGCTGAATAGAACCAGAGTCATTGAAAAAAAACGAAAAAACAAAGAAAAAAATTGAGAGATGGTTTTTCCAGCCCCCGAATCGTAAAAAAATCGAGATCAAGGTTGAGGTTCAGCCGTCGACTCATTCGTCATGTAACCCTCGCACATTTCCAGTAATTTCCGCAATATCTCAACTCAATTCCCCTCAACTCTAGCCCCTTTGCCGAGTACCTTGTCCGGAGAATGCGAACCGAAAAACAGCAGCCATCATCAAAATAGAGATCAAAACAATAACAATATGTTTACATTATCCCTAATCCCTTTCAGTTACTACAAGAACGGCGCCTGCAGAGAGGAAGAGAATTGTCGTTATCGTCATGCTGATGGCAGTCGAGATTCGGACATGGAGGACAACGTCAGTATGTCAGAGACATCTTCAAAGGCATCAGGAAGTGTTCCCTGTCGTTTTTTCAAATGGGGCACTTGCAAATTTGGCAATCGATGTCGATTCAATCACGTGCAATCCAATCGTGACCAGAGGCCAGAGAGAGAAGTGAAGACAAACGATCAGACAATGGCAACTGCATCGTCATCGTCCCAAGGGTCTACCAGTAGCACCAGCAGCACGAGCAGCAGCTCGACGTCACGGGCTTGGAGGGAGAAGGAGGGAAGTCGTTCGAATAAGAGGAGAGGCGAAGAGATCGATGGAAAGGAGAGGAAGAATTGCAAGCCTGATGAGTGGGTCAATGCACCAGAGTTTGTACCTGCCACTGGGCTAGGGGACTCTGGGAAGGGCGAGGAGAGCGAGCCATCCACACGAAATCCACCAGCGTCGTATGCCAAAGCTGTCAGTAATACTGGGACGACGGAGAATCCTGCCTCGATGCCGTTGTGCCCCTATGCCGAGGCCAGTGGCGTCTGCAAGAGGCTTGATTGCCCGTATTTTCATGGAGATATCTGTGAACTTTGTGGCAGGGCTGCACTCCATCCGTTTAATAAAGAACTCAGCCAGAAACACACTAATGTGAGTATGAGAGTCTCAGAAATTCAACCGCTTGCTTAAGGATATCCAAGTACTTTGGCTATTCTTTCTCCACCGAAATGATTTTCTACTTTTGTAGTCAAATGTGAGAGCTTTCATTTGAGCCCCATTTGACCCCAAGTTTCCGGGCATTTCACAATGATTTTATTATTTAAACTTCGCAGGTCTGAATTTAAATCTCGATATTGAATCGTTAGATAAAATTTTTTTAATCTGAAATAAAATTAGAAATTGTACTTTTGGAGGAAGATTGGTGAAATAATATTAAAAATGTAATTCCGTGGGGACTATAGTGAGGAATCTATAGTGTGGTCTGTCCAATGATAAAATTCACTGGACTTGAAAATACATACGGGACCTGTCACAGCGTATGGATTATTAGACTCGGGACAGCGCGATATGAAACCACTCCACTCCATAATCTAAATCGTGTATCATGTGGATTTAAAAATGAACGACTGAATTACATGAATTTAAATTAATGTATTGAGATCCATACCTTTGAATTATTCCTGGTGACAATGGAGAGAGACCATTAACACCAATGGAAAACCAATGAGACTTTTTTGTGAACGAGAAAATTTTCTAAAAAAAAATTTATGTTTATTATTTTGCCTGGCCTTACTTGTTATCGGGATAATTGCAGAATTAATGATTGGGGTGTATCGTTGGAACTGGTCAGTAGGAGTGGACAAACGATGAATACCAACGACTTCCTGATTAATCAATGATTCAAACACTATTTAGTAACGAAAGAATAAATTTTAATTAGTTAAATGTTAATAATCAGGACATTCTTGCTGCGTTCAAATTCTAAATTATCAACTAATCAGTAATTTAGTTAGGAAGATTGACGATTATTTGGATAATCGAAAATCCCTTATAAGAAATTTAGTATTATTTACTTAACAAGAAATTTACAGGTGCATATTATTAAATATTTAATTCATCGTCAATTGGAAATTGACATTATCAATTATTTTACTATTATATTCTTTTAAGGCCCGGGTGTACTATCTTTCGAACGTTATCTCGATGTTTTTTTCATCTTTTGTCATCTGAAATTGTCAGTTGAGTCCTGCACCATGCAGAAGTGTTGGAAAATTATGAATGAATAATCAAAAAAAAGTAGAAGAAATTCTTAATTTTTTCAAAGAGCATTTTCAATTTATATTCAGAATAAGTTGATTAACAAGAAATTGAAAAATGTATCTGATTTACGGTGACAAATGGCGGCCTGTCACCCAATATCATGCAGGGGGAAGACTGATTTCGTAAATCTGTTCCCACACTGCACAGAGACATTTATTACGGAAAAGGCTCTTTGAAAAAAGTTGTAATATTTTGGAGAATTTTTTAATCACACTCTTATCACATAAAAATGGCAGATGACTACATACGACTGTTTTGAAAATTGAGATACCTAGCTGTCACTTCCTATGAGGAGTTAGTGTTTTGTTATCCACCATGGAAAATGACAGCTAATAGATAATTTACCACAGCGAATCAGATATTTGTAATTTCCACTTTTTTCAACTCATTCTGAATCTCAATTAAAAACGCTCTTTGAAAAAGTTCAGAATTTTCTCTATTTTTTTAATCATTCTATCATAATTTTTGGGAATTTCTACATTATGTACCACTCAATTGACAATTTTGGATTACGAAAGATAAAAAAATCCAGATAACATTCGAAAGATAGTACACCTGGGCCTTAATATTGCAGAATCGTAAGATTGATGGCCATCCCTGGAAAAATTTTTTTTACAATTTTCTGTTGAAATCGCTTTGTGCCAAACTGATCCAATATTCAGCAAAATGTAAAAACATGAATTTTCATGTTCTATTACCCCTTGGAAAATGGATATGATCTAACCGCTGAATGCAAATAGAAGGCTTTTGTGTAATTCAGATCCTTCGAGATATCGATCAGAATTGACCGAGAGATCCCCCACTTATTCACCTGAAACATTGGAATAATCAAATGCACTGTATTCTATACATTCCATTCCAGGCTTGCATAAAACAACACGAAGCAGATATGGAACTGTCATTTGCCATTCAGCGCAGTCGAGATAAAGCGTGCGGTGTGTGTTTCGAGATTGTCATGGAAAAATCCTCACGAGAGCAGCGATTCGGTATACTCCCCAACTGCAATCACTGCTTTTGTCTCAGCTGTATACGTAAATGGAGACAGGCAAAGCAGTTTGATAATAAAATTATACGCTCATGTCCAGAGTGTCGTGTTGCCTCTGATTTCGTTTGTCCCAGCACTTACTGGGTCGATACTAAAGAGGAGAAGGAGAAACTCATTGTAGAGTACAAAAGTGCTCTTAGGTATTTACTTTTGCGCTTTTTTTCATTTATCAGATCATTTCTGTAGTGAAGTGGTAAAACGACGTAAGTTAACTAACTCTTCGGTGGGTTTTTCGTAAATATCTCCGAAACTAAGGGAGATAGCATAATTTTTGTGATGACCTTTTTCGTAGCTCTTAATTAGTTCTACAAAAAAGATTTTGACAAAAACGTCGCTATCTCCCTTAATTGCAGAGATATTTCCGAAAAACTCCACGAAAAGGTAAGTTAACTTAGCTCGTTTTACCACTTCACTACAGATTTCTTCAGCTGTAACTGGGAAGGAATTTTTAATTATCTGAATGATGGATCAGAGCAGGGATAGCCATACCCCTAAATCATAATTGCCGTTGACTTTTGAAGCTGTCATTTAGTTAACATCACTCTTAATTTTTTAATGATTTTAGTAGTCATCAATTTAAATGTTCAAATTCCGAACTATTTTATTAACCAATAATTTAGGTAGGAAGATCGCCGATTATTTGGTTTGTTTAATCGGTAATCCCTTTCGAGAAATTAGAATTATTTACTTAATGAAAAATTCACAGTCCCATATTATTAAATATTTAATTCAGTAGTGAAGAGGTAAACCGGTATAAGTCGATTTTACTATTGCCCAGTTTTCAATGAATATCTCAAAATCTAAGGGAAATAGGAAAATTTTTGTCATAAACTTTTTTGTAGAGCAAATTGAGAGCTACAAAAAAGGTAATTACAACAATTGCGATATTTCCCTTAGATTCCGAGATATTTATGGAAAACTGGCCAATAGTCAAAATCGACTTATACCGGTTTACCACTTCGCTACTGAATTCATTGTCAATCGCAAATCAAAATTATTAATATCATACTATTTTTATATTTTGGTGGAAATATTTAAACCTTTATCAAAGTAAGTCGCAAATTCCCTTAATATTGATGAAATTTGATATTGATGGCCATTTGGAGTGCAATAAAAGCACTCGTAAATGACAATTTGAAAAAATTGCTCTCATCCATCATTAAGATAATTAACTGATTATGGAGTTAGATATTATTAAGGAATATTTTAATAGTTACGTGAAATTGATTTCTCCTTCTAGCCAAAAGGATTGCAAGTACTTCAATAAGGGCCAGGGGAAGTGTCCATTTGGGAATAAATGTTTTTACATGCATGCTTTACCCGATGGGACCAAGACCGACGTAGGACCACCAGCTCGTCAAGCTTCGAATGGTGAAGTTGATCTTGATTTCTTGCAGGTAACAATTTTTACCATCATTATAATAATTTAGTAATTAAAAATTTAGATTTTACATTAGATAGTTTAGTTTTGGGGAAAGGCTGTATCCATAAATTATAATTACCGTTAAATTATTAAGTAATCATTAATATCACTCAACTTTTAATTATTAGGCAATAAATAATTATTCATTAATTAATTAATAATTTAGTTAGGAAGATTGACGATTATTTTGATAATCGAAAATCCCTTCTATGAAATTTAGTGTTATTTACTTAATAGAAAGTTTACAGTTCTATATTATTAAATATTTAATTTATCATCAGCTGGAAATTAGGATTACCAATTATTTTACTATTTTTCAATTTAGTTATTTCGTTAATATCACTCTTAAGTTTTAATTACTGAAGTAATCATCAATTTAAATATTCAAATTCCGGATTATTTATTAATCAGTAATTTAGTTAGGAAGATTGACGATTATTTTGATAATCGGAAATCCCTTATAAGAAATTTAGTGTTATTTACTTAATAGAAAATTTACAGTTCCATATTATTAAATATTTAATTCATCATCAGTTGAAAATTTAGATTACCAATCATTTTTCTATTTTTAAATTTCGATTATATTTAAACCTTAAGCAATGTAAGTCGGAAATTCTTTCAATTTTTCAATATCCTTGTTTTTATCCCAACAAGACTTGTTTGGAAACGTATATTTTTTTAAATGTCAAAAGTCTTATTTTTACTCACCTGTTTTGCAAAACGATTATTCATGAAAATTCACCAAGTTTTAATTATTGGTGAATTAATTAATTTGCTCGTTTGTTGTTTCAGCAACTCCTCTTGTGGAATTTTCTGGAGGAGAGGGAGAACGGCTGGATCTACGTGGACGATCACGACGAAGTGGTCGTACTCTTCTCAGACTCAGAAGATTCTGATTGGTCACGACTGGGTCCCTATGACTAACTAACTCAATTGTTAACCACATTTATTACAATTTTTTTTTGTTTATCATTGTGCCTATTTCGTATTGCCTCGAGGAACGTAAAGACACCATTATCAGCATTGGCTATTTTGATGCATATCTCATGAAGAAAAGGAAAAAGAAATGATACTCATTACGTCCGCTCTGTACATTCAAACACACGAATAACTTTTTCATTTTTTTGTCAGAAATATGAGATCACGAGATAACTAATAATCTGTGATACAATATAATTCAAGAGTGTGGTTGCACCGTATGTTTCTCGTAATTAAAAAATATATAAAAAATAGCAGATTCTGCCCTCTCCAGTTCGATCGAAGATTCAATTACAAGATGCATATTTAGTTGAAAAGCCAATTCTCGTTTTCTCTGCTCATAAAGACTCAAAATAATGAAGAAAAAAATGAATAAAAATAAATAAAAAAATGAATAAAATAGAAAAAATACAAAAATAAATAACGCTGATAAGGGACTATAATCGTAGGCACGCTAAAAAGTCTCGTCCATAATTTTGTTTTAGAATATATTTTGTTATAAAAGAAAAAAAAATACATGTGTATGAAATAATTAAAAAAATAATCATAATTATTGGAAGTTCGAAGAAAAAATTGTGATCAGGAAATTAATCGTACGACGGAGAATTATTACATCCCCAAACAATTAGTGATTAATCGCTATAGGCTACATTGTTATTCAACGTATTCTCTGCACAGCAAGGTAAATTTCCTGTTATTTGAGGATAAAGAAGAGACAAGGGAGAAGAGAAGAAAATAAAGCTTTAGATCTACCCGATGATGAATATCAATCAATAAATAATTAAAGTCAACTTACAAAATGTGAAAATACTTGATATCTGAAAAATATATCGTGTATGCCTTAACTAATGTGTCATATTTACAATTGTATTTTTTTAAGGCCACAAGTTTAGACTTAGACAACAGTTGAGTCTTTTGAAGGTACTCTGCAGTCTTCTGCGTTGGTCCATTCACGATTTCCTTCGTTTTTCCTGGAAGGAAATTTCGAAATCAGATGTGTTTTATATTTTCAAATTATTTCCGTAGAGTTAAATGAGTAGCAAGAGGATTGCATTTATCAGTTATGGCGGTTCATCAAGCATTCAAAATTAATAATCCTTTGTCATAATGTTCTTATTTAAAAAACTAGAGGGCTACGCCCCTGACCCTCACGATCCTTATTCTGACCGTTGTGACCCGTATTTTGACCCTTAATTTTGGAGTCTTCATTTCGAGTACCAAATGTTCATTCGCAGAAATCGATTTAGATTTTTATAGTATAGAGAGATAGAGACCCTTATTTCAACCCTTGTGACCTTTAGTTTCTGAACCCCGTGATTATTATTTGGACCCTTAATCTGATCCTTGTGACAGTTGTGACCCTTATGCTGACCTTCACGACCCTTATTCTGACCTTTGTGACCCTTAATCTGACCCATATGACTGTCGTGACCCTTAGTCTGATCCAAATGACCGTTGTGACCCTTATTCTGACCTTTGTGACCCTTAATCAAACCCATATGACCGTTGTGGCCCTTATTCTGATCTTCCTGACCGTTATTCTGACCTTTATAACCCTTTATCTGACCCTCTGAGCCTCATTTGAACCCTCGTAATCCTTATTCTGACCCTTATGACCAATATTTTGAACACAAGTTCATTTTTTGAAATTCGACTCCACACCTAATTGTGTTTTTTTTATTAAAAAAATTGCACCATTCATGTAAAATAGCCAGAAAAATGATCCCCAAAATATTTAAAACATATTCTCGATCCTTTCAGAAATATTTCCTGACTATTTTACATGAATGGTACAATTTTTTATATTTAAAAAAAACGAAATTGGCTACGTAGGAGCCGAATAAAAAAAAAATTAGCTCGTAATTATTTTATTTTATTTATTCATCTCTTTGGTGTTACAAATGTTATTCTTTGTTTTACACCCATGTAGTCCTCCTCCTCTCCTTAATAATTTGTTAACATCAGTTATATAAAATTTAGCTCGTAATTATTATTGTGCACATTTTTTCAAAAATTTTGGAATTAAAACCTGTAGCTCAAAAATTGGAGGCCCTGGACTATTTAAAACATTTAAGCGTCTACGCTGCAAACGAGCAACAACCAATTAATTCTGTTCACTAATTATTCGATTTTAGACACATAATTTATAAATTATAAATATTATAAAAACTCATAGTAGTCTCTTTAAATTTACCTTGCCATTATGCGTGCAATCATATGCGTGTCAACCCTCCGCCTCGTGACGTTCAGCCCATAAGACCCCGAGGGTGCACTCTGAAGATGCTCCTCCGCATTAATATTATTATTAGCAAAGCTCGCATTGTTATTATTAACAATTGTATTCCCATTACTAGTCCCCTTTCCCTCCAGCCTCTGGTTAACTTCATTCTTCTTCCGGAATTTCGTCGAGTACTTGTAGAAGTCACTCATCTCAAACGGTTTCGTCACCTCTCGATACGGCTGATACTTGATCGCATGGTTCGCCGTTTCGGCCGGTATTTCCAGGTCCTTCTCAGTGCTCTGCGATATCTTCCCAGGAATGTCATTGAAAGAGGGCGAGGAAGGGGGCAGAGGCGACGTGGGGGGCAGCAATTTTGGAGACGACGAGACAGAAGACGGAGAAGGAGATGCTGGAAAATGTCGTTGAACAGGTGGCACCTGCTGGTACCCAAGGTCCATCGACGTCTCGTACCACTCCTTCTCCTTCTCCTGGTGCCTCTCCATCTGATGCCTCTCCCCCTCCCCAGGACCCCTTCCCGCAGTCCCTGGTAATGCAGAAGCCCCAGACTGCCAGGTCTCCACACTCCCCAGTGACTGAGTCCTCAGCAACATCCTGGCATGCGGCGGTGGAGGAAGAGGTGGGGGTGGAGGAGGCGCAAGATGCTCCAGACGATGCTGACTGCTGAGATGATGCTCCCTCGTGATCCCTGGCTCCCGCATCATCGTCGTGTGTTTCCTGCGGTCTAAACTACCGAAATTATCCTTGTGCTGGTAGTTATCGACTGGTGGGGAGTACCAGACGCCCTCTTCCACACACCAAGTGGAGCTCTCGCTCGATTTTCTCCCCCTGTTTTTACGTCCCATCGTCTCAGAGGCGTTCCTCCGGGGCTGAATGAACTCGTGCTCCTGGTGTCTTTGGTTCTCCATGAGGGGGTGGGGGAGGACGTTGTGGTTGGGACGGGGTGGGCAGTGAAACTGAGCCAGGCTCTTCATGCTTGCAACGTCGGGGGAGGTTTTCTCTCTCGATGACACTTGCTCGTGGTAGAAACTCTGCTGGGATTTACTCTTGAATTGCTGGTGCTGGTGCTGTTTGTACTGCAGAGAGTCGATGTGGTGTCGTTGATTGGGGCTGTACACGGATGGGTAGTAGTTGTGCTCAATTAATTTCTTCTGCTTGAAGTGGTCCTTCAGGCGGGTCTCAGCGTCCAGCGCGTACATGTCTGCAATTTTTCGGTAGTAACGCTCGTCAATCTGGTTGGGCTTGAAGTTACGGAGTGGAGGGGCCGATGATTCCTCCCATTTTCCGTGGGAGTACGTTCGAATCCGGTGCTGATCGTTGTACGAGTAGAGGTCGAGGTTTTCGTTCTGGTCGACTGTGTTGAGGGCTGGGAGAGTCCCCGAGTACCAATCGGGCTTGATGTAGCGCGATCTGGTGCGGTGCCAGTCGTTCAGCTGGGTGGCAGCTGGCATCGTCGTTATTTCAGTCTCTTGCCATTTTTTGTCGGTCAATTTTGGATCCTCTCGGTCGGTGGCCTCCAGGGGCGGCCGGGGTTTCTTCGTCTTGTGGTGTTTCGTTGGGCCTTCTTGGTCAGCCTCGTCGTCGCCTGGAGACAGGGGCCAGGTGTCCGGGACTGGGGCACTTGAGCGCGATAATTGACCGTAGCCTTGGCGGAGAAATGTCAGTCGAGCCTCCAGGTCTTTCAGCCTCTTCTGACTTTGTTGGTAGATCAGACGGTGCTTGCGGCGCACTGCTTTGCTCTCGGAGAGATCGTTCACGATTGCGTACGCCGCTGTTGCAATGCCTGCTTGCACTTGGCGTTCGAGCTCCAGGGCAGATTCCTCCTGAAAGATTGGGGTGATTGTACAGGGACGGAAAAAATAACGAGTTCTCGAGTCTTGTTTGGGGCAACAAAGTTGGGAGTTGAGAATTACTAGAAGAATAATTGTTTGGTTCGAATTTCAAAGGTCAAACATGAGTTTGAGATAGTAGAATCCCCACAGAAAACTAGCGAATTCTATTAAAATTCATTAAACTTTAGCGAATAGAAAACTTTAACGCTTTTTCGCTAAATTATAGCGAATTCTATTAAAATTCGCTGAAGTTTAGCGAATTCTGTTAAAATTCGCTAAAGTTTAAAAAACCAATAGAAAACTTTAGCAAATTCTATTAACATTCGATAAATTTTAGTGAATAGAAAACTTTAACGCTTTTTTTTACTAAACTTTAACAAATTTTAGTATAATTATTTAAAGTTTTCTTTGGAATTTTTTCATACGTGTGTTCCCCAAATCTATCACTGTTAACACGAATCTACAACAATCGCTTTGATCATTCTCAACACTTGATTGGTCTTCAATTTATTGATAAGATTCTGGGAGATGTGTATAAGAGACGGTTTTAATAGAATTCGCTAAAATTTAGCGAAAAAGCGTTAAAGTTTTCTATTCGCTAAAGTTTAACGAATTTTAATAGAATTCGCTAAAATTTAGCGAAAAAGCGTTAAAGTTTTCTATTCGCTAAAGTTTAACGAATTTTAATAGAATTCGCTAAAATTTAGCGAAAAAGCGTTAAAGTTTTCTATTCGCTAAAGTTTAACGAATTTTAATAGAATTCGCTAAAATTTAGCGAAAAAGCGTTAAAGTTTTCTATTCGCTAAAGTTTAACGAATTTTAATAGAATTCGCTAAAATTTAGCGAAAAAGCGTTAAAGTTTTCTATTCGCTAAAGTTTAACGAATTTTAATAGAATTCGCTAAAATTTAGCGAAAAAGCGTTAAAGTTTTCTATTCGCTAAAGTTTAACGAATTTTAATAGAATTCGCTAAAATTTAGCGAAAAAGCGTTAAAGTTTTCTATTCGCTAAAGTTTAACGAATTTTAATAGAATTCGCTAAAATTTAGCGAAAAAGCGTTAAAGTTTTCTATTCGCTAAAGTTTAACGAATTTTAATAGAATTCGCTAAAATTTAGCGAAAAAGCGTTAAAGTTTTCTATTCGCTAAAGTTTAACGAATTTTAATAGAATTCGCTAAAATTTAGCGAAAAAGCGTTAAAGTTTTCTATTCGCTAAAGTTTAACGAATTTTAATAGAATTCGCTAAAATTTAGCGAAAAAGCGTTAAAGTTTTCTATTCGCTAAAGTTTAACGAATTTTAATAGAATTCGCTAAAATTTAGCGAAAAAGCGTTAAAGTTTTCTATTCGCTAAAGTTTAACGAATTTTAATAGAATTCGCTAAAATTTAGCGAAAAAGCGTTAAAGTTTTCTATTCGCTAAAGTTTAACGAATTTTAATAGAATTCGCTAAAATTTAGCGAAAAAGCGTTAAAGTTTTCTATTCGCTAAAGTTTAACGAATTTTAATAGAATTCGCTAAAATTTAGCGAAAAAGCGTTAAAGTTTTCTATTCGCTAAAGTTTAACGAATTTTAATAGAATTCGCTAAAATTTAGCGAAAAAGCGTTAAAGTTTTCTATTCGCTAAAGTTTAACGAATTTTAATAGAATTCGCTAAAATTTAGCGAAAAAGCGTTAAAGTTTTCTATTCGCTAAAGTTTAACGAATTTTAATAGAATTCGCTAAAATTTAGCGAAAAAGCGTTAAAGTTTTCTATTCGCTAAAGTTTAACGAATTTTAATAGAATTCGCTAAAATTTAGCGAAAAAGCGTTAAAGTTTTCTATTCGCTAAAGTTTAACGAATTTTAATAGAATTCGCTAAAATTTAGCGAAAAAGCGTTAAAGTTTTCTATTCGCTAAAGTTTAACGAATTTTAATAGAATTCGCTAAAATTTAGCGAAAAAGCGTTAAAGTTTTCTATTCGCTAAAGTTTAACGAATTTTAATAGAATTCGCTAAACTTTAGCGAATTTTAATATAATTAGCTAAAGTTCCCCAAATCTATCACTTTCAACACAAATCTACAACAATCGCTTTGATCATTCTCACTTGTTTCGTCTTCAATTTATTGATAAGATTCTGGGAATGCGTGAAGGATGTTGAAAATTACTAAAAGAATAATTGTTTGGTTCGAATTTCAAAGGCTCAAGCATGAGTTTGAGACAATAGAATCCCTCCTATAGAAAACTAGCGAATTCTAATAAAATTCGCTAAAGTTTAGAAAACTAATAGAAAACTTTAGCAAATTCTATTAAAATTCGATAAACTTTAGTGAATAGAAAACTTTAACGCTTTTTTTTTACTAAACTTTAGCGAATTTTAATAGAATTCGCTAAACTTTAGCGAATTTTAGTATAATTAGCTAAATTTTTCTATTGAGTTTTTTCATACGTGTGTTCCCCAAATCTATCACTGTCAACACGAATCTACAACTATCGCTTTGATCATTCTCAACACTTGATTGGTCTTCAGCTTATCGATAAGATTCTGGGAATAAGTGAAGAATGTTGAAAATTACTAAAAGAATAATTGTTTGGTTCGAATTTCAAAGGCTCAAGCATGAGTTTGAGACAATAGAATCCCTCCTATAGAAAACTAGCGAATTCTAATAAAATTCGCTAAAGTTTAGAAAACTAATAGAAAACTTTAGCAAATTCTATTAAAATTCGATAAACTTTAGTGAATAGAAAACTTAAAAGCTTTTTTTTTACTAAACTTTAGCGAATTTTAATAGAATTCGCTAAACTTTAGCGAATTTTAGTATAATTAGCTAAATTTTTCTATTGAATTTTTTCATACGTGTGTTCCCCAAATCTATCGCTGTCAACACGAATCTACAACTACAATCTACAATCTACAAATCGCTTTGATCATTCTCACCACTTGATTGGTCTTCAATTTATTGATAAGATTCTGGGGATAAGTGAAGGATGTTGAAAATTATTAAAAGAATAATTGTTTGGTTCGAATTTCAAAGGCTCAAGCATGAGTTTGAGACAATAGAATCCCTCCTATAGAAAACTAGCGAATTCTAATAAAATTCGCTAAAGTTTAGAAAACTAATAGAAAACTTTAGCAAATTCTATTAAAATTCGATAAACTTTAGTGAATAGAAAACTTTAACGCTTTTTTTTTACTAAACTTTAGCGAATTTTAATAGAATTCGCTAAACTTTAGCGAATTTTAGTATAATTAGCTAAATTTTTCTATTGAATTTTTTCATACGTGTGTTCCCCAAATCTATCGCTGTCAACACGAATCTACAACTACAATCTACAATCTACAAATCGCTTTGATCATTCTCACCACTTGATTGGTCTTCAATTTATTGATAAGATTCTGGGGATAAGTGAAGGATGTTGAAAATTATTAAAAGAATAATTGTTTGGTTCGAANTTTTTTCATACGTGTGTTCCCCAAACCTATCACTGTCAACACGAATCTACAACAATCGCTTTGATCATTCTCACCACTTGATTGGTCTTCAATTTATTGATAAGATTCTGGGGATAAGTGAAGGATGTTCCCACACGTTTCCTAAAGATCGGAGGGCTCTCGCCAGGGTCCAACGGTATCTCAGGAGGCAAAACTCCCGTCAGCTCTGCCTCACTGATGCACAATTTCTTGAGTTCGCTATTTTTACGTGCAAGTTTCTCCTGGAGAGCTTCACGCCGCTGCTTGAGCCATTGGAGTCTCGATGCTGGTGAAGTGGTTGGATCGAGTCCAGAAGTGGCCAGAGGCCCTGAAGCTCGTTCACTTTCCGCCATCACTACCCACGATAACATTCATTTTATTGTCTCCCACTTTGTTGATATTCATAAATTACCAATTTAGGATTTTATCTGAATACTTACGTTGATTTGTGACACCAGTGTATGTCATGATAACGAGTACTTACCCATATTAACGCAGGTTTTACTCCGTTTATCTTCTGTGATGCACAATCAGATCCACGAAACTGCATCTCCGTGACGAATCAACGATTGTTGATGTGTACAACCATTATTTCCGTGAAATTCACGGGAGAAAATTAATTGAAGGCATACACACACTAAATTAAAAGGGGGGATTGAAATAAGAAGTTGATCAGACCATCGAACTCATCGAAATGATAAGACTAATGATAAAAAGACAAAAAAAAGATAATCAACAACAACTCCCATCGACTCTCATACCGTATTACTCACACCCTCACAGGTAGAGTCGCCCCAGCGAATGTGTTTCCTTCGGGAATCGGTTCCGCATGCCCGAGCTCGACAGTGGTAGAACAATACGGCCCGATAATTTCCGAGGAGCACTCACTTGCTGGGTTCAGTATATGTTATGCACATGATTATCCTATGCATGTACCATCCTATAGGTTTACGGTCCACCGTCGAAGAGTCGCCAATTGCGAATAAACCGCGATGTTTTCGGACAATGGAAAAGACCGTTGGAGTAAGGTGGGTGACGATGGTGGATTATTTTGATTACCGGAAAACACCTCGACCCGACGCGGAAATAAGCCGTGGAAATTAATCGCCACTGGAGCACCTGGTCAGCCTACACAATCACCGTACACATTCATCAGTAAAATTGGAGTAACGAGTCAATTGTAACGACGAATTGATTGTCACTTGACCCGCGATCAAGTGCGCGCATACCCACATCTATACGTAGTATTACCTACATACGTATATAATCGTACATTCCTCTGACTGATAGAATCACAAATAGGGTGAAAAATCCAGTGTCGTTGCCCGTACTAACCCATTTCAACACTCGTAATACCTTCGATACCCACGAATTTTCACAATGGAGGCTCTCATACCAGTGATCAACAAACTCCAGGATGTTTTTAATACAATTGGAGCTGATGTTATTCAATTGCCGCAAATTGTCGTTCTCGGCACACAGGTTAAGTCATTTTCTTTGTTTTTCTTTATTCCTCAATGATTTCCCCTTCTTTGTCATCGAAAACTGCTTGCACAGTCGAATCAAGTGGACTTTGCGCCGCAAAATAACCCCATTAGTACTCAGTTACTGTAATTAATATTATTCCTACATGTTTATTCAGAGCTCCGGCAAATCATCGGTAATCGAGAGCCTCGTGGGTCGTTCTTTCTTGCCCCGGGGTACAGGTATCGTCACCAGACGTCCATTAGTGCTCCAACTCGTCTACACACCTAAAGACGATCGCGAGCATCGCACAGCTGAGGATGGAACCCTGGATGTTGACGAATGGGGGGTCTTTCTTCACGCTAAAAATCGTATATTCAAAAATTTCGATGATATTCGTAGGGAAATTGAAGCTGAGACTGATCGTATGGCTGGTGGTAACAAGGGCATCTGCCCTGAGCCCATTAATCTGAAAATTTACTCGTCAACAGTTGTTAATTTAACCCTAATCGATCTCCCTGGGATAACAAAAGTACCAGTGGGTGATCAGCCTGAGGATATAGAGGCACAAATTCGTACTTTGGTTTTGAAATATATTTGCAATCCAAACTCGATTATTCTAGCTGTTGTCACTGCCAATACAGATATGGCGACGAGTGAGAGTTTGAAGTTGAGTAAGGATGTTGATCCTGATGGCAGAAGAACACTGGCTGTCGTCACGAAGATGGATCTGATGGATGCTGGCACAGATGCCATTGACATTCTCTGTGGAAGGGTTATTCCAGTGAAACTGGGGATTATTGGCGTTGTTAATCGCTCTCAACAGGACATAATGAATAACAAAACTATTCAGGAGGCTCTGAAGGACGAGGCAGCATTTCTACAACGGAAATATCCGACTCTAGCCAGCAGAAATGGCACTCCATACCTCGCGAAGACCCTCAATCGTTTGTTAATGCATCACATAAGGGATTGCCTCCCTGAGCTCAAGACCAGGGTCAACGTCATGGTCTCACAGTACCAGATTCTCCTGAATTCTTACGGTGAAGATGTCTCGGACAAGAGTCAGACTCTCCTCCAGATAATAACGAAATTCGCGAGTTCTTATTGCTCGACTATCGAGGGAACTGCGAGGAATATCGAGACTACTGAGCTCTGCGGAGGTGCCAGGATCTGCTACATATTTCATGAGACATTTGGACGAGCATTGGACTCGATCCATCCCCTCGCAGGACTGACTAAAATGGATATTCTTACTGCGATTAGAAATGCCACAGGACCAAGACCTGCTTTATTTGTCCCTGAAGTGTCGTTCGAGCTTCTGGTTAAGAGACAGATTCGAAGGCTGGAGGAGCCCTCGTTGAGGTGTGTTGAGCTAGTCCACGAGGAGATGCAGGGGATTATTCAGCATTGCGGCACAGAGGTGCACCAGGAGATGCTGAGATTTCCAAAATTGTATGAGAGAATTGTCGATGTTGTCACGCATCTCCTTCGCAGACGACTGCCAACTACCAATTCAATGGTGGAGAATCTCGTGGCTATTGAGCTTGCATACATCAACACCAAGCATCCAGATTTTCACAAAGATGCGGCGTTGGTCTCTTCGTTACTTAAAAATACTAATGTCGATAATGCTAATCGTGGAAAGGGCCATGTGTCGAGTCACATGTCTGTCGGCTCGGCTAATGGAGTTGTTGTGGCTAATCATGAGTCTCATGGGAAGAATGTCAATGCCAAAGACGATTTCACAGTATTCAATGATCAGGGTAAGGAGCAGAATCAGAATCACTGGTTGTTGAGCAATTTGTTGCCGCAGGGGAAGTCTGACTCGGCGAGCACAGCTGAGAGCTCACCTGTGAGGAATCGAGAGGGGGCGACTTCTCCTTATCCCAATAATTTTGGGAGTAATGCTGTTGGTCTTGAGCAGTTGACCACACCGACACAGCAGAAACCGGTTAATTTGTTGTCCGAAGTGCCCATGCAGACTAGCAGGAAACTCAGTGATCGAGAACAGCGGGATTGTGATGTCATTGGTAATTATGAAAAAACTGACAACTCCCTTAGACTTTATTTTCTATGACCGAAAATTCACTATTCATTATCAACGGAAAATAAAAATGTTTCTTTTTGTCTTTACAGAGAGGCTCATCAAATCGTACTTCTATATCGTTCGCAAATCAATACAAGACAGTGTACCAAAAGCTGTGATGCATTTCCTCGTGAATTACGTGAAAGATAATTTGCAGAGTGAACTTGTTACGCACTTGTACAAATCTGATCAAGCAGAAGCACTGTTAAATGAAAGTGAGCACATTGCAGTGAGGCGCAAGGAGGCTGCGGATATGCTCAAGGCAAGTATTGGGGTAGGGTAAACAGGTCAATTTCTGGACGGTTTCAATTTCCATTGAATATTACGTAAATAATAAAATGAAAATTCTACCGATTACTTCACCTGTTAATAATAGAATAGAATGCTTTATTTCTTTGATGCTTCTATTGCGGTTTTACATCTGCACAAGCTATAGAAAAATTTCTCTAATAAATTATGTTTTTATATCAATAATTCATGATAACGAATGATAAATCAGTGTCGCAATGTAGTCTCTCAACACTCTCTTGCTTGCACAGAGAATCACATTTTTTTTAAACGAGTCAATCTATTTTTGCAGTAAAAATGTCAAAAAATCAGCTTTTGATCATTTTTAACAAACGATTTATTTGGCACAAGTAAGACTTGCTTGAGAACTATTGTTCTTCACTTAGTGTGTTATTGTTCATTATGTGGTTTTATGATCTAACTGGATTATGTCACTGATATGACGCATTTTTGAATTACAGGCACTCACACAGGCTGGTCACATTATAAGTGAAATAAGGGAGACACACATGTGGTAATAGAGAGATGTCAGTGTCGACGTGTGCTGCCACTTTGCTGCTAGTCATGGGCTAGGTATTATCATGAAACACACAAAATAATGACACTTTCTGCAAACTTTAAGTAAGACTTGAGATTAATAATAAATCAATTGAAAAGCAAAATGCAAATGCAAATTTATCTGTTTGCACTTATGTTGTTGAATTTGGCAGGTATTTTGTTTTTAGTGATCATGGATAAGATCAAGAACAAGAACAAGTATATATTTTCAAGTGTATTTGCTTCTTTTCTTCTGTTTTTACATTTTGTTTTATGATGAAAGAAAATTCAAATGATGAAGAATAAAAAAAAGTGAACACTACACTGGACTGGTGATACTTTGAGTTTAGAAAGTTTGAATGTATGTTGCTTGCTCCAACGTGAAAGAAAAATTAGTAAATTTTTCACATATTGCAATATTAAGTTGCCTTGATAGTGAGTGATTTCAGAGAGGAAATTAGCAGAACAAATTTTTACCAGGGATTCATTCAGCTGCCAGAAATGATATTTACCATTTTTTGTATGGAATAAATGTCTAAAAAATCCTCCAAGGAAAACTCATTTTTTCATAATGGACAAACATCCATCGTTCGGTGCAGAAGTCTTGAATTTTTTGCTGAGTCTGCACTAATAGGACTCTCGGAATGCGCTGAGAGGTTTTTTTTTCTATCGAAGTGGAACAGCTCAGAGCTGGAAATCTCAATCTCAATGTATATGACGAAAAAATGCGAGCTTGTGTGAAATATGTGGCACATTTCACCAACCATTGTTCTTAAAAATTCTCCAGAAATTTCTCGAAAAATTTTTTTTTTCGAAATTTTGTGACTAATCAAAATTTTCACGTTGGAACAGATGAGTGATTTTGAAAAAATTATAACTCGATAAATATCAATTTTAGTGAATAGGTGCAAGAGAACTTTTTTATTCAAAAATGGTGTAAGTTTTCGGGGGAAAAACTGGAGTTGAAAAAGTTCAATTTACAATAAAACATCCATGTGATCCATGTGTTTATTGATTAACATGTTTGTTAATCAATAAACAAATTTAAAAGTTAATAACAAATCATGAGGGCATGTTGCCAAAAATCGAAAAAATATATGTTATAGAGTATGTGTTTAATAATTGCTAGTACAATTGGCGTTCGCTAATCTCAAATTGTTCCCGAGATATTGAGTTTTTTATGAGGCAAAAAGTAACGGTCACATGCCTTCTGTCGGATGGGCTCGAACCCGTGCTTGTTATTATTGTATATGTAAAATAATGGAGCAGAAAAATTGAATGGACAACTTTGCGTACTTAATTTTCTACGAGATATTAATAATTCAAGGTTTATCTTTGCTTTTCAGAAAAAAAAATCACGGAAAAGTGCAGTTGTGAAATCAGAGAATGAAATGAATTCCTTTTTGTTTATTCTGTGGCAGTTATTGACATTTATATAATAGAAATATAAAATCTAATACAATATGTTCTCCACTGAATCAGAAAACAGTATTTCATCATTAATGAGAGAGAACCTCTCAAGGCATAAAATCGTAATTGGTAACATCGTCGAATTGCTGATTCTGTTGATTCGTCGGTGCCATTGGTCGCGTGCCCATCTGCCCTCGTGGGCCCACCATCTGCTGCGGCATTCCAAGAACCTGTTGCCTATATTGCTGGGGTTGTTGCTGTAAATAATAATAAATATAGCCTCATCATCTCCAATTTTCAAGTAACTTTTCAAGTGTGCATTAGAACATTTTTTGAATATTGATTTTATGCATCAGAGTGATAAATTTGTTTTTGAGCGCTCAAGTGTATATCATTGTAAAGTTCAATATTTATCAGAATTTTCCATGGTTTTTTCGGAGATTTTTTCGTTGAATGAACGAAATAAATATTTCCCCTAGATTTCCAGAATGAAAAGGTCCCTGAAATTCACAATTTTCCGAATCATTTGTTCAAATAATTTTCTTATGAAATATGAAAAAAATCTATGGGTTACAAAAACATCCAAATTTCATTATTTTTTTTCTTCAAACTGAGATCTGAAAAAGTGCAAAAATTCTTAATGATGCAGGGTACTCAGAATTTTCACTCGTGAATTTTCCAACGTTTTTTAATTATTTTGACTTTTCAGGAGAAACGCCTTAAAATCTAATCGCACATGGCAAACATTTAACATGAAATTTTTCACGAGTCTGGTATTTGGAACAAATTCGACAAATATGCAGAAGCGTTTCCGACACTTAATTATTTCAGATTTGCTCTTCATATACCTAATACAACACCTATATAAAATTTGAAAAAAATCTGGGTTGGTGGAGTGTTTCTGCATATTTACCACAAATTCTCACCTGCTGCAATAAATTTCGCAATCCAAGATTATTCGTCATAGCAGGTCGCATCATCCTCTGGGTATTGGCTTGTTGTCCAATGATTCCCGAATTTGCGCTCAATGCCTTTTGCGCCTGCTGGATCTGTCCAAATCAACGATAAATATATTGCACTCAAGTCCATATTACCCCAGGTCCCTTAATAAATGATGCACCTACCTCCATTTGCAATTTGTACTGCATTTCCTGTTGCTGCGCAGCCTCCAGATTTTGTTGGGTCTGGAAAACCGAAGAATACTTATGAATAAAAATGAAGAGGAAAGGCAGCTTCCATTCATATTTCAGTAGCGTAGTGGTAACACGGTGTAAGTTGATTTTGACTACACTGAGAGAAAAACAAACACGTTATCAAACAAGTCTTGTTTGGGCCAACAAAATCGCTAGTTGAAAATTGCCAAAAAAGAATTTGTTCGGTTCGAATTTGAAAGTCTCAAACATGAATAATTGCTCTGCTTTCGAGAGCAACGAAATATTTGGCTCAAGAGGCGGATAATTCACACCAGACGGTGCCTTTTCAGGATGAAAATATCTCATATAGAGGAAAATTTATCAACAAATATTTTATCCCTAAGTTACAAGATTGCTATCATATCACTATTATTGTTTCATTTAAGGGTTCATTTGTTGTCTGTGATTATTAGACAGCCGAAACAAAAAACTACTATCCCTTGTTCCGCATAAAACAAAGATTTTTCGGGAGCAAAATACGTATGGGAGTATCGAATAACGAAGGAGTAGTCCTAGAAATGACATTTCTTGCGTGTACAGAGAATGAAATTTTTTTCAACTACTAAATCTATTTTTGCGACAAAAATTTTTCATTCCGGCGCACTCTCTTCATGTTTGGCTCAAAAAATCCTTTTTTGATCATTTTCAAAAAACTATTTTCTTGGCACAAGTAAGACTTGTTTGAGAGCTTTGTCGTTTTTCTCTCAGTGTATTCGTCAGTTTTCAAAGAATATCTCGTAATCTAAGGCAGATAGCTAAATTTTTGTTACGACCTTTCCGGCAGAGCCAATTAAGAGCTGCAAAAAAGATGTGGACGAGAATTTCGCTATCTCCCTTAGATTCGGAGATATTCCTCGAAAACTCAGCTGAGAGATGAGTCGACTTGAATCGTCTTACCACTTCGCTACTGATTTACATTTCATTCGTGTAAACATACGTCTAGCTGCGTCTGGTAGTGAGCCTCCTGCTGTTGTGCAGCTTCAAGTGTCTGTCTCAATTGATGAATCTTCATGAGATTCTGCTGTCTAGCCATGTCCATGCCATCGAAATTCGGCCGCTGCTGCACCATCATCCCCTGGACTCCACCGCTCGGCTGCTGTTGCTGCTGCTGCATTCCCCCCGACTGTATATGGATTATCTGGTTTTGAGGGGTTGAATTAGCCAATCCCTGCTGGGGATTATTCGTGGGCACAACGTTCTGCGTGATTTGTCCACCTCCCATGGCTATTGTATTAGTCTGCGACATTAGAATACCTCCTTGAGATATCGGTGATGTTCCGGGAAGTGTGCCAGGTACGTTGTTACCTGGTGGCCCAGCGCCTCCCTGTGAATATATCTATTTTTCTCGTGGGTTTTCACAGTATCTACCATCTCCATGCTTATTTATCATCTCATCCCTTTTGTTATGACGAATAGTGGATAAAATGGTAGGTGAAAAAATTATACTGCCGTGAAAATAAATATTGGTTGCTCAGAAGAATCGATATTTTCTTCGGTTCGGAGATTCAACACTCGAATACGAGAAATTTATTTTTTAATAGAATAAGTGTGACGAGGGCATTACAATCGTGGAGATTAGGACGAAATATTTTTTGGGAAACTTCACTTTAAGGGGAGAATGCGATTTCTCATACATTGAAGATCTATTATATATGTCTAAAAATGAAAAATTAGTTTTTTATTGTTCTCTTGCCCCGCAGACGCTTAAAATGATAAAAATAGTCCAGGGCCTCCAATTTTTGAGCTACAAAGGTCTTTTTTTTTATTTTTGAAAAAATGGGTACAGTAACAATTACGAATTAGCTTTTTGGAATTCAACAACTAATTTCGTTATTTTTTTTAATGAAAAATTGTACCGTTTATGTAAAATGGCCCGATAAATGTTTCTGAAAGAATCGAGAATATATTTTAAATATTCTAAAGATAATTTTTCTGCCTATTTTACATGAATGGCGCAAACTTTTATTTTAAACAAGACGAAATTAGCTGTGTGGGAGTCGAGTTTCAAAAAACTCATACGTAATTATTATTGTATATATTTTTTCAAAAATTTTGAAAAAAAGGATATCTTTGTAGCTCAAAAACTGGAGGCCCTGGACTATTTTCAATATTTTAAGCGTGTGCGGGCCAAACGAACAATAAACAATAAATTTTTCAAATATATTTTTTAATATATATATTTTTTTAATACATATTTCTCGAGTGAAATATGGACAACACATTATTCACGTCCATTTTCCAAACATCAAACTCATTGTTCTTCCTGAAATTTCGTTCCTCATCTTTTTCCTCGACATTTTTTCCCCAACTTTTTCCCTTTCTAATTTTCTGATTCAATTTGTATATTTTGACGTACATTTGGTCAAAACAGTTGTTGATTGTAATGATTAGTGGGGATTATCCTTCTTTTGTAAGCCTCGACCGAATTACGATTTTTTTTCATTCACTTTACTGTTTGTAGGGATTATTATTTGCTCAGGTATCAATGGGAAAACGAGGAGACAGTACGTTTTAGGAAAATCTTTCGGGGAACCATATCTTCTACCCGATATGAAATACTGAAATGACGAAATGATGAATGAATGCAACAAGAGACTCACCTGATTCTGCCTCAAAAGAGCTTGATTATTCTTCTGATGCTGAATGACCTTCCGCAGACGCTCGACGAAGCCAGACTGATCATTCGGAATGAACCCCAAATAAGCCCTCTTCTCCGCGGTATAGAGCAGAATGAGAACCTTGATATCACAATTGGGAAGACTCGGGGACGAAGGGAAGTGCACACATCCAGCGAATCCAGCGCTCATGACCTTCGTCAAGGAGTCCAGGGCCTCGCAGGGAGTCGGGTGGAACAGAACAGACTTGGAGTTCTTCAGATACGCCCCACCAATATTCCCAATCAACAATTTCGGCACGAGTTGCAGAAGAACCTTCGGAGGCCAAGAGTCCGCCTTCAACTCGGGCTCTCCATCCTTCGTATTCGCAGACACATGACAAGGAACCTGTGGTATTTGATTTTTAATCAGAAGAAAAATACAGCGAAACAAACTCGGAAAATTCACGTAAAATAATGAATTTCTTCATTAACAAAACGTCCTCCATAAAAAAATTGTACTAAACCTGTCGAGTCTGCTTCTGCGGATCCGTAGGATTCCTCGCCTTCTCCGACCACTCCAGGATCCCGTGCCAAATGGTGGGTCTCTCCCTCCCAGGTGGTCCAATCTGCGAGACCTGCTGAATCCCCCCAACATTCTGGCCCTGATGACTCATCTGTTGAGCAGAGGAAACAGCCGGTGGAAGATTGCCAGCCACACTTTGCTGTCCCTGACTGGAGATAGTCTGACTCATGACACTGGAGGAAACGGCCTGATTTTGTCCAGGCGGAGGTTGATTCATCGTCTGCATCCCCTGGTTCTGCTCCTGCCCCTGCGCCCCCTGCGGCGGCGTCTGCTGGGCTTGTCCCTGAGCCTGGCCCTGTCCCTGCGAGGGATTTCCCCCAGCAATGGGCGACTGATTGGCCTGATTGCTCCCCTGCCCCTGCTGATTGCTCATAACAGCCCCATTGGCATCCATCCTCTGGTTGAACTGAATATTCAGGCCTAGGGAGGACGGTGGCTGGGTCAGCTGTGCAATGAGGGCACTTCCCTGATTGTTATTTTGAACAGCTCCACCACCTGGTGGGATGAACTGGCCCTTCCACCTGGGCTGTGCAGCTCGTGCTGCGTGGTAATTGGGAGGTCCAGGCAATTGTGGATTGAATACAGGGCGTCCAGGATTAATTGGGCCGATTGGAGGTGCCACAGATTGATGGGAATTGAGGGTTGCTGGTGCCTGACTCCTGAACGCCGGGTTCAACGGTGTCTGGGACTGAGTTGTTTGCGACAGGGCCTGGCCTGATTGATTGGTGTTGGGACTGTCGTGACTTTGCAGTGGACTCAAGGGGATCTGGGCAGCGCTGGCACCTGTCTGGTGGACAGGTCCACCAATTGGTGGACTGACTGGACGTTCTTTCAGGTTGTAATTACGAAGGAGCACAAGGTGGCGGGGGTCTTTAGCGTAGTTTTTGGTCTGGGAGGTCTGGAGGTCACCCCCAGCTTTCTCGAAGAGCTTGAAGAGGGCTGGGATCTTTCGCGGGGACAGGATCGAGAGGATTATGTCACGCTCTTGGAAGACTGCAGCTAAATTCTCAACTGTGTGCCCTGCGAATTTGTGGGACTCTTGGACGACGGTTTGGTAAGGGGGGGAATTGCAGACTAGGATGCAGTGTTTCTGGGAGTTTGTGGTGGGCTCTCGTTTTATCTGGAGGTCCTCGAAGCAGAGGAGGGCGGTGGCCAGGCCCTCCCCGATGTTGGCGTGGGACTCACCCTTGCCACCGACCATCTCTAGGCGCTCGAGGGAGGAGAGGAGCTTGTGGGGGTTCGAAAAGGGGCCGCGGGTTGTCGTTGTGGGGGAGGGGAGACAGTCTGCTGCGTGGTAGACCACTATGCCGTAGAGGGTCGTACTGTTCTGTGGAGGAGAAGGTGGGGGGAATTATTCTAAATGGAGTTATGGATGAATTGCAACTGGAACTGTATTGACACAGCAATAAAATAGCAACGAGAACATCATGCTTCATCTTGTCTGGCATGACTGCGATTCCTTTGGCGCCACGATTTAACTTGTCTTCTGTAGCATTTTTCCTCAGGATTACGGGAGAAATAATGAGAAAATTCCGTCTCCATTATGGAGCTGAAACTAGCAGAATATTCGACGGCGGAAAATTCAATTTAGGGGATAATTATGTGTAGGAGAGTCAAATAATTATATCTACAAATGTCTTTCAAGTGCAAAAGAGTTTGCATGTACATTACTTAAAAACATTTACACCCCTAGATTTGCCTAGGACAAATCTTCTGCTGTCGAATCTTTCGCTAGTTTCAGTTTTATATCTCCATTATTTCTTTTGAATTATGGAAATTCTTACGGACAACCGGGTTTAGATTGGAGTGAGAGGGAGAGAAAATCTACCTGTCAGCTCTTACCTGACCGTCACTGGTCACGAACTGGTCGTCTCGATGATGATGAGGTTAACGATGTTATAATTACCTTCTTTTGTGAAATCTAGGGTGGGACCGTGATGTTCGGGATTAAGTATTAAAATACAACAACGATATTCCGCGTAAAGGAAAACACTGACCAAATTATACCGATTGCACTATTTATTTCGTAATTGGAGTAATTTCACGAAAACCCAGGGTAAAAACCGTCGGAGGGAAAACAGGAAAAGAGAGAAATAAATGAGTTGGATAATTGTGGACATAGACACTTACAGTTGGTGGAAGGGTTGGACAGGGATTGCTCAGTTAACGCTCAGCGGGGGTTCAGTTGAATCGTGTGACTCAGCTTGGCTCTGCGTGATGACCTTCGGTGGGTGGCGAGTGGGCGCTCGATAATCGAATCACTCAACAGGGCCGGAGAGGGCCTAGGAGTTGGTCGTCCTCGCTGAATGGTGGTGGGATAGCGGATGCTATCGACTCTGGCCTCAGAGATTCTTGCAGTTGACTCGTTCAGTTGAAGTTAATTGGGGAGCACTACTTTGTACTGGGTGGTTTTAAGACACTGATGATAATTAGGACCTCCTGGTTCTGAGTTCTCGGCTTCGAACTAACTCTCCCTGGCTCCTGCAGCCATTTTTATAGTAAAAACCTGAGGTTTTGGGCTGTCTTATGAGTCCTGCCTCCTGTCTTAATTAGGCCTGCGCATCCAACCAAAAGCTTCTTAATTGTCCGATTTGACTAGACAATTCGATGATTGGTCACAACTCCGCCCCAATTTCCACTTCTATGTCACCGGTAGCCCTTTTGGGTGGGTTTTCGGCTTTTCCACGTTTCCATGGGAATAGTTACCACAACACTAGCCTGGCTATTAATTTAAGTGCAAAAGCCCATTATGGTCAAACTTCTGTTGATGGTTATCTTATCTTTATGGCCTAGCCGCAAGTTATCCACAGGATCAGATGTCAGGTTTTTCCAAGCAGTTGGATAGGCGCGTGCCACCTTGGCTGTTCCTCCTGGTTTTTTACCTGGCGACAGTTGTCTATAGTCTTCGTATCAATCCTAAAGTGCTCCAACTCATTAGTATGAATCACCCTTTTTACTCTCTATTAGGCCACTTATTGTGATGCTCTTGATAACCGGAGTTTCATTAACTCTTCACATTTGTCATATCACATTGTGACATTAACGATACTGCAGCGATAAATAATTCGAGGTAACATATGGGAATATTCTTCGGTTGAAAGAATATAAAGAAAAACAAAATTGAAACAGTTGCGTACGTCGTATGACCCACGTACAGGGTACGTAACAGCGTTCCACATCTTGTGGCGTCACTGGATATTGCTGGATAGGATTTTGGAGTAGGTATGAGGGGAAGCAGGATAATTCTCAATATCAGTTGACAAGACAAATTTACTGAAAAAATTCGAAAGCCCAGACTGAGATTTGAACCCGGGACCTTCCGATTATGTATCAGGTGCTCTCCCAACTTGAGGTAAGGTCACAAGGGTCACATAAAAAAAAGGAGCCGCTAGGGTCACGAGGGTCACAAGGACACTGCCTTGATTGAATGCGTTTTTGACTGAAAATTCTTTTGTCGCAGATTTTGTTGACTGAATTTTTGCAATTGTTGTTGCAATTTTTTCAGAAAAAAAATTCAATTAAAAAAATCTCCAACAAAAAAATTTCCATTAAAATTGAGTTTTGTTGTTTTGATGTTGGAAATATAATCATTGAATTCAAATGTGGGAATGTGAGGCTTTATGAAAATACGAAGTATACGAATACGAAATTTCGAACACGAAAATACGATAAGTATACGAAGCTTTATGAAAATGTTCGTATCTTGAAAAATAATGATTGAAATGCTTATATCCCAAAAACTAATTGAGAGGGAATTTTTTCTTTACTTTTCTAGTATTCCTGAGGACAAATGGTAAATCACAAAGGAATCGTAATCTTCCCTCCAGTCTCCATGGATCTCAGTACAAGATGCCTCACCCCACTTCTCTGGAGGTATCCACAGAGATTAAAATGTAGAAACAACAAACGATGCATTAAAATTTCACATTTACCTCCGAAACATATTCCCGATCCTCGATAGTCCCCTGGCTGAAGTACTCCACCGTTGGAATCAAGTAATTCGTCTTCAGGTCATTCAAATAAGCTCCATTCACAGCTGTTCCCTCGATCACGAAGATCACGTCGACCTGGGGGCCGTGTTCACTCGGCACGGGCACCATAGCTTTTATCATCAAACAACTAGCAATAATCACTTGCCACCACTTCACCACTAGTAACCCTCAGGGGCACATCAACTCCACTATTCACAATTCATCCAGATGCACTACATCATTCAGAACATGTTGATCCACAGCTCATATTCATCATTCCCTTTTATTCCAACTGAATTGACTCGTCAAATTGTCTACAACATAGCACAAAATGCTGTTGAGTGTTGAAATGCTGACACCAGCTGACACTACGCCAAGAAAATGGTCAAGGGGTGGGGGAAATGGAAATTGTGTGCAGTCGTTGAAAAGGCGGCTTGCTGTCCACAATTCAAAAATGGGGATTACATGTCAATTAACACACGAGTTTTTTACAAGTTTTTTAAGTTTTTTTCAAGTTTTTTACAACCACAAGAGAACGTTTTGTTGCTGCGCATGCGCAATGGAGGGCTTTGAAAATCACGTGGACGCAACGCATGACATGCGCTGGAGGAAAGTAAAACAGATAATCGAGAGGATGGTGTAACTCAATCTGTCACTGTCAATAAAAAAATGCTCTTGAGGCAGTTGTGAAAGCTTTGAGGTTCGGGTTGACATTATTTAATGAGACATTCCGTTATTTATTGATCATGGGACCACTCGCGTATCTTACTCGGAGGGAAACTATTTCCGCGTGTCACAGACTTCACAGGTAATTTGAATAACAGGTGGGGTAAAATGGGCTTAGTGGAACTATGAATCTGTTGACTCAGTTATACGATTTGAATGAATCTAGTCTTATTTATAATAAAGAAAAAACCTTGGAAATGAAGAAACAATTATTCTTGAACATATACAATAATAATAATTATTTATTAAAATTTAAAAACTCTCTATTTCAACTTTTTTTAAAACTGAGAATTGAAATATCTTTTAGAACAAAAATTAGGAATGATAATTTTTGCAGCCCTCATCTGACTGATGAAGAGAATCAAAAAGTCTATGGAAAGTGCAATAATTACTGGGGACATGGGCATAATTACACTGGTAAATAAATTCGATTGAAAAATTGTAAGTGTTAGTTTCAGTTTTGTGGGTAAATTTTTTATTCTCCAGTTGAGGTGACAGTGAGAGGTCCAGTGGATTCCAATACTGGAATGGTCATGAACATTGCCGACCTCAAGGTCTACATGCAGAAGGTTTTGATGGACCAGTTGGACCACAAAAACATCGACAAAGATGTTCCTTACTTTGCGAATATCGTTTCAACCACTGAAAATGTTGCTATTTACGTGTTCCACGAGTTAAGGAAGATCATGCCTGATCCTTCGTTGCTTTACGAAGTTAAAATCTATGAAACTGATAAGAATATTGTTATTTACAGGGGGGAAGAATAAAGAAACAAATGTTTCCTACGAATTTTTGTCATCATTTGTTTTTTATTTATGTAATAATTAATAAATGAAAAATTATACAATGTGTTGATATGTCTGCGCGCAGAAAGAACATCTAGAAATTTTCGAATACGTCAACTAACATATTCAGATCTTTAACATAATTCCTCTTCATTCAATGTTGTAAATCGGTGATCAGCCTCATTAGCCTAGTGAAAGATGGAGGGCTGGGGCTGCTGGACTGACCAGTATAAGGCGGAAGTTACAAAAAATCGTACGATTTAGGTGACTCTGGGCAAGAAATTGATCGGCCGCAATATTCTAAATTCTAAATGTTGTAAATCCTATTCTAACAAAAATATCTTTCTTCTTATTTTTTATTTTCCTATTTTTTTCCTGTTCTAAAAAGAACATACACTTAAAATCAATAACTATCGATATCTCGCAAGTCTGTCACGCTTATTCCTCATTGATTCTAGTCGTCTGAGGCGGCAAATTTAATTCATGATTAATTTAATTTTGAGATTTTCAATTATGATTGTTACAATTACAGCGCGCTGTAACGCGCGTTCGGTCTCGTATCGTAAAAAGTACACTTAAAGTCGATAACTATCGATATCTCGCAAGTCTGTCACGCTTGTTCCTCATTGGTTCTAGTCGTCTGAGGCGGCAAATTTAATTCAGGATTCATTTAATTTTGAGATTTCCAATTATTATTGTTACAATTACAGCGCGCTGTAGCACGCGTTCGGTCTCGTATGCTATTCTAAAAAGAACATACACTTAAAGTCGATAACTATCGATATCTCGCAAGTCTGTCACGCTTGTTCCTCATTGGTTCTAGTCGTCTGAGGCGGCAAATTTAATTCATGATTAATTTAATTTTGAGATTTTCAATTATGATTGTTACAATTACATCGCGTTGTAGCGTGCGTTCGGTCTCGTATATATAACTGATAAGAAGAAGGTTCTGTTCCATGCTATTTCCTAGCCGCACGCGCGGCTCCTCGCTCTCATAACTCCAATAATTTTTATCAATAAAATCCTATAATAAGAATAATATCTAAATTTACTATGCACAATGTATGTTTTTGATTTGATCCTGCATGTAATTGGCTTTATGCTGTTGAATCTATATACACTAAAGAAATAAATAAATAAGAATGTATAAAATTAAATTAATCTCATTGTGAAGAGGGAAATGGAAATGAAATATAAAATAGTATAAATTAAGTAAAGCCTTAAAGTAGATATTTACAAAAGCGATCCATAAACTAATTCTCCTCATTATCATCCTCGATGTTTGGAAAAAAAGAATCGAAAATCGATTAATCGGCGGTTGAAAACGTCGAATGAAAAAAATCGATGTTTGGGTATGAAAAACCATGCTTTTGATTAATCGACAAACATCGCCCATCCCTCGGCGCCAAATCGCAGTGTTCGATTGCCGGCGTCTTGTCAAAGTGCATTTATTTGTGTTGAGAGGAGAGTGAAATGGAGTCGGTGGATGTGTTTTTGGATCATCTGCAGAAGGATCAGCAACGTCGACAGCATGAGCTTTTGGAGAAGGAGAAATTGAGGAAGGAGGAGCTGGAAACACTCACACAGACTTTGAGTCAGCTGAAAGGTTAGGTCAATTTGTGTGCTGAAACATTGGCCGTGGTCAGGGAAAATTTTGTGGAATGTTGTGTTTTACTTGGGATTTAAATACGTTTGGACGAGGAAAAATCAGTCAATTCTCGAAAAACTCAGTGAAAATGCATTTTTTATGTGATTTTATAATACAAATGCTTGAAAATCATGAATAGTCGCAGGCTCAGTGCTCCATATACGAAAAAAAATCAAACTTTTTGATTTTTCGTTCACCATTTAGGCATTACCCAGTAATTTGATCTCAAAGTTCACTCACAACAATCGAAATTGTCATTCTTTTATCAATGTAACTTCAAGAAATTCAAAACAGTGACTTGAAACTAAATAATAGCGAAGTGGTCAAACGGTTCAAGTCGATTTTGGCTATTGGTCAGTTTTCAATGAATATCTCAAAATCTAAGGGAGATAGCAAAATTTTTCTCATAACCTTTTTAGTGGCACTTAATTCGCTCTGCAAAAAAAGTTATTACGAAAATTTCACTATCTCCCTTAAATTCGGAGATATTTCCGGAAAACTCAACTAAAAACTAAATTGTCTTAAGGTAAAACGGAGCCCCTGTGACTATATGAACTTTCAGAATTATATTTTCTCCTGCAATTATTATTTTTTATTTACGAAACGTCTTCATTGACTCAACAATGCAATGATCGAGTCGAAAAAGTAATTTCACAGATATAAAGTAATAATTCAGTAGCGAAGTGGTAAAAGGAGATAAGTCAGTTTTGACTATTGACCAGTTTTCAATCAATATCTCGGAATCTAAGGAAGATAGCAAAATTTTTGTTATAACCTTTTTTGTGGAGCCGATTGAGTGCTACAACAAATGTCATCACAAAAATTTCGCTATCTCCCTTAGATTCGGAAATATTCCTCAAAACCTCAACTAGGAGATAAGTCGACTTATCTCCGTTTACCACTTCACTACTATTGTAGGAAAAAACTCAATTCTAAAAATTCGTATAGACACAGGGATTCCGTTTCCCCTTAAACCGTTTGACCACTTCGCTGATGAATGGATTTTCACCCCATAAATTACCATTTGCAGAAGAGAAACAACAATGTGTGCTGGCAATCGACAAAAACCTGAGTTCCATAACTTCCTCCAAGCACAGCATTCACAAAACCGTGCGGGAGACGAAGGATGACGCTGGACTACCAATTTCCAACACCTCTCGAACGTGAGTCCAATGAAACCCCAACGAACCTCTCAAAATAAAATTTCTATAAATTCTCTCATTTCTCAGACATGCCCTGAATTTCTTCAACGACACCATGACATTCATCAACTCCCAGAGTGAGAATTCAGGAGTAATTGGAACAGAAGAGAACGTGAATACTCAGAGATTATCAGCTGCAATAGTAAGTCATTGAGATATAATCCTAATGATTTAAGCTTCAATCGATTTGATGAAGAAATACATACAATTGTTTATCCATAACTTACAGCAAAACTCAAACGAAAACTCTAAAAAGGAGGTTGTAAAGGTGAATAACAAAGTGGCAGCTGTACAAACAGTGATTGAAAGCATTCCTGTACTTTCGGGGTATATAACCTCAGTGAATGATCAAGGTAGGCGATAGTAATCACATAATTTTCACTGGAGGGACGAAATACCTCTGCCAAAGGAAGAGCTCAGTCACGAAAAAATTTAATAGAAAAACCTATCGAATTCGTTAGAAAATTCGATTAAATTTCTATTAAACTTTCTATTAGTTTTTGGCTGATTCTATTGACATGTTTAATAGAAAACATTCAATAGAAAAAGTCAACAGAATTCGATTTTTCTATACAACTTATTCTTTTCATATATTTTCTACAGAATTTGCTCGACTCAAATTTTCCAAGTTTTTTTCATTCTATTTTTCTTTTCTTCCCATCAAGAAAATCAATCGAAAATACTTGGAAAATTTGAGCCGAGGAAATTCTATAGAAAATATCTCAATAGAATAAGCTATATAGAAAAATTGAATTCTATTGATTTTTTCTACTGAATATTTTGTATTGAACATTTCAATAGAATCGGCCAAAAACTAATAGAAAGTTTAATAGAAATTCAATAGAATTTTCTAACGAATTCGATAAGTTTTCAAGATCATATTCACTAAACAGAAGTATTTTTGTCCTCAAATAGTGAATTTAATAATCGGCAGTGACTAGATTAGGTAGTTTACATAAATGTGTCTGTTTCAGAGGAGGAACCACAGTTCGATACATCTCTTACGTTAATCTAGACTGATATTCGTATTCAATGAATTAATATTTTTAAAAAATTATTTGCTAGCCTACTGTCTGCATATCACTTATCAATTGATTTGATGTGTCCAGTTTATTGTCTAGATTTAATTTCAGCAGTAGAAGTTGAGGATCCACGACATCCTAGAGCATTGAAAATATTAGCATTCATTCTTTTTACGAAAATAGATTAATTTATTCTTTGTAGAAGAGCTAATTAAAATCATTACCCGGAAATGTGTTTGCATTTGAGACAGGTAATACGGTTGGTGGACCTGACTGTGGAATGAGTTATTAGTCACGTCCTTTTCTGGTTTCTCTTGATGGATTTTTACAGCCAATCTGTCCCTTTAGACAATAAAATGTTTTTTTAAAGATTATTCTCGTATTTTTAAATGAATAAATTCATTGATTAACTAATTAAATATGTTTTCATAGTGTTTTTACCTCGCTAAAGAAAGTTTTTCAGTCGCTATTTTATTCTCTCGCTGTGCCAACAGTTCCATTTGCATCTCCAATTGACTCATTCGTTCTTTATGCTGTTTTTCTATTCTTTGAGCCTCTTTCAGGGCCCTCATTCCTTCCTCGCGTTTTAATATCGCTGACTGTACGTGTGAAAAGTTGAAAATAACAGTTGCTAAATTTTACTCTGGAGGTTTGAAGTTCAGAAGAAATTTACCTGAGTAAGGTCCTCTAATTCTTTAGCTCTTTCTGTTAAATGTCTCTCCTTAACTAGAATTCTCTCCCGATCAGTTTCATACGCCTTAATTCGCTCTTGCCATTTTTTTCTCTCGAGATTTGCTGAATGAGCTGCATCGTGGGCTGCTTTTATAGCCGCCTCCAACTATATCCAAATCAGTAAAAAATAGTAATGAATTTAAAGATGAAAATGTGATGTGTAGGGAGGGAAAATTACCTCTCCTTTCGTAACATCATCAGAATTAGTCTTCAGATAATTCAAAACTTCGAGTTTAGCTTTTTCCGCAGCTGCGGCTTCTCTGTCAGCAGCCAATTGTTGCATTTGTCTCTTTTGCTCTGTCATCCATGCTTCTTTCAAATACTGCAAAAGGAAGTTTCAAGAATACTAGTGTCGTTGAAAATAATTACGGTTCCATGACTTTTCTTCCCCGACACTTTTTCCCCGATATTTTTTCCCCCGACATTTTTTCCCAGACATTTCTTCCTTGTCCCTTTCTTCCCCGGCAGATTTTCCTAAAACAAACTGTCTCCCCTTTTTCCCAGCGATACCTGAGCAAATAATAATCCCTACGAGCAGTAAAGTGAATGAAAAAAAAATTGATACAAGTCATAATCACGTTTATAAAAATTAAATATTACAAGAACAGTCCGCAGAATATTACATGCAATTCAATCAGTCAAAATAGACAAACAAACAGTTTCAATTACGAATTCAATTATGAATGATTATCCACAAGTAACATTTTCTTCCCTTTCGACGATAAAATGAACTACAAAGGCATTGTGGCGACTATCTGCGCAAATAACTTATTGAAACTGTCATAGTTGAATGCTTTCGGTCATCACTCAGGTCCGATAGCCGAAGATTATCTCCTCTCATTAAAAAAATCAATACACACTCGAAAATCAATAAACGACTGGGTTATCATAATTCGGTCGAGGCTTACAAAAGAAGGATAATCCCCACTTATCATTACAATCAACAACTGTTTTGACCAAATGTACGTCAAAATATACAAATTGAATCAGAAATTTAAAAAGGGAAAAGTAGCATAGGAAAAATTGACGCGAGGAAAATTTGGGGAGGAACAAATCGGAGATTTCTCGGGGAAGAAAAATCGGCGGAAAAATGTCGAGGAAAATAAGACGGGCCACCATAATTAATTGTTGATTAATTTTCACCTGTAGGTGATCGCGTTCCCATTTATTCTGCTCTTGGAACAACTCCCTCTCCTTAATGAGCGCCTGTTCCCTGATCCTCAGTCGCGTTTCAGTTTCATTATACAATTCAGTATTCCTCTGGAATTGAAGTGACAATTCAGATTTTTCAGACTTTAAATTATGAGCTGCAATCGCTAATCCCTTTCTTTCAGTTTCCAACAACTCTTGTTGGGAGTTCAACTGTTCTCTGAGTCCTGCAATAAGTACAACCTTTCAGGGGGATCCAAACACATTCAGAGCAACAGCTGGATGATGAATTAATTACCTTGTAATTGCTCCTCTAGCTTCATTAGATCCCTCTCTTTTTTAGTGATTAGATCAGTCTCTTTGGATTTTAATTGATCCGAGATATTTTGAAAATTATCGAAAATCTCTTTGGAATTATTTAGTATTAATTCTAGACTAGTTTTGTTCGACTCCATGAAGTCGACAGCCTTTCGCTCTAATTGTTTGGCACGTGATATGTTCTCTATTGTCTCTGAATGCTCGTTCTGGAGCAGTGTTAATTGGTCTTTATGTCTTGCATGCATTTCGTTGATTATTTCTTTATATTCTTCCTAGGGAAAAAAAATCTTCCTTTCCTTCAAATACTCGATGCTTACATGCACGAAAAAATTCAATAGAAAAACCTGTCGAATTCGTTAGAAAATTCTATTGAATTTCTATCAAACTTTCTACTAGTTTTTGGCTGATTCTATTGACATGTTCAGTAGAAAACGTATAATAGAAAAAGTCAACAGAATTCGATTTTTCTATATCACTCATTCTTTTCATATATTTTCTATAGAATTTGCTCGACTCAAATTTTCTAAGTTTTTTTCACTCTATTTTTCTGTTCTTCTCATCAAGAAAATCAAACGAAAAAACTTGGAAAATTTGAGCTAAGGAAATTCTATAGAAAATATCTCAAAAGAACAAGTTATATAGAAAAATTGAATTCTATTGACTTTTTCTACTGAATATTTTCTATTGAACATTTCAATAGAATCGGTCAAAAACTAATAGAACAGTTCAATAGAAATTCAATAGAATTTTCTAACGAATTCGATAGGTTTTTCTCTTAAATTTTTTCGTCTGTGTAATTCAGTAGCGAAGTGGTAAAACGGTTTAAGTCGACTCATCTCCCAGTTTCGTTTTTGAGGAATATTTCCGAATCTAAGGGAGATAGCGAAATTCTCGTGATTACATTTGTTGTAGCACTCAATCGTCTCTACAAAAAAGGTTATAACAAGAATTTTACTATCTTCCTTAGATTTTGAGGTATTCATTGAAAACTGGTCGATAGTCAAAATTGACTTGTATTGTTTTACCACTTCGCTACTGAATTGAATAGTCTAGCATGTATTCACCTTGAGATTGCGAATCTGTTCTCTGAATAATGCCTCCATTTGATTCTTCTCATCCCCCAATTTTTCAATTTTCTTCTCATAATCTTTCTCCAATGTTTCAGTATCCTCTCGCAATTTTGTCTCGAGCCTCTCCATTGACGAGCGCATGAAATGCATCTGTGTTCTGCCACCAAAAAAACAATAAACAGAATAAATAATTGAAGTAATGGTACCCAGACATTAATTAATGCATTAAATACTCGTGTGACTCCTCGAGAATCTTAATCTCTCTCTCATGTTTCTCCTTCAAAATATCCACTATGTTCTCCAAGTTCTGCTTTTCCAATTCTAGTTTATTGATTAAACCCTCAGACTCTATTGGAATGCTTTCCCTCAATTTATCTTCCTTCGTCATACCAAATTCTTCGTTTTCTGAGTGGAAATTTGGTAATGAGTCCACTGGTTCCTTTGCAAGTGCCTTAGCAAAAAAATTAATTTAATTTTTTTAGTGACTTTCAGTGAATTTTATAATTAGAGAAATTATTATAATTGAGGATAATACTATCGCAGAAATTCTTCAGCTTAAAACCTCCAAGTTTTCTGTTTGATTTTTTTAATGAAGAAAGAAGAAAAGGAGAGCGAAAAAAAAACAAAATTCAAGAGCTGAAAATTGGAAAATTCAGAAACATGAAATTCTATTGATTTTCTCTATTGTACTAGTCTGTTCACCTGAATGTAGTGATCGATTTTCGCCTGCTGCATTTTAATTTCCATGTCGAGGGCAGCCTGTCTGTCCATCTGTTTCCTCACGAGCATATTAAACATCCTCTCCTGTTCGTTGAACTGACCCTTCTGACGATTTATGATAGTCTGCAAGTGTTCAGATTGCTGGGACAGAACTGCGGCAGCTCGGAGCTCGTGCTCTTGTTGCTGGAGGGTAATTAGTGCTGCCTGCTGCTCAAACTGCACTGCAGTTAATTGAGAGATTTCAGTATGGGGAAATGTTCTTTTATCAGATTGAAGTACCAAACTTTGTTGGGGAGTTTCTGCTCCTTGGGGCTTTATTTCAGACTTATCAGACCTCTTGGAACCCCCCAACCACTCCGGTAAGTCGTCTTGGGGGTCAGGAGGCTGAGTTTTTCTCTCCACAGGTTCTAATTTTTTCTGTAAACAAGTGAGAAATTGCTCTTGTATATGAGGTATTCCATGCCAAATGAGTCAACGGCTCACCCTCACCCTCTTGAAAATTGATGGCGATTTTTTCTACGATTAGGGGGCCTCAAAAACTATCTCTCAAATTTTTTCAAATTTTTTTGACAGCCCAGTTCGGAAATATGATTTTTTTCAAATTGTTCCATTTTTTTACAATAACTCGAGTTCTACTCATCCGATTTCGATTTATTAGGGGGCAAAATTTTCCATTTTTCAGCACCTCTAGGATTTTTTTTTATTTTTTCCAATCTTTAAATGTTCAAAATAACGAATTTTCGAGAAAAAAAGTTGCAAAACTTGAATTTTGCTAATTACGTCACGGTCGATTGTTTTATTTATTTTTTTCACTAATTCTTAAATTTTTGTTTTGATTATAGGAATTACTGAAAAAAAATAATTAATTAAATACTAAAAAAATTAAGTAATTAGCCAAATTCAAGTCAATAGAATTCAAATTGAATTCTATTGACTTTTTCTACTAGATATTTACCATTGAACATTTCAATAGAATCGGCCAAAAACTAATAGAACAGTTCACTAGAAATTCAATAGAATTTTCTAGCGAATTCGATAAGTTTTTCTATTAAATTTTTTCGTCCGTGTAATCTTCAATATCTCGACATCGGCAGAGTGAAATGAGAGCTCACTAGTTCAAATCGCATTGCTGAGTGAGAAGACATTGAAGATTTATTAAAGTGTACTTCGCTTCCCCGTAAATTAAAAAAAACAGGGAGAGATGATTGAATGTTACATTAATTACCTCAGGTATTTGAGGCTCCTGAGGTGTGTTAGACGATGCCAGGAGCCCCAGAGGGTCATCAACAGGCGTGGACTTGCCTCTCCCCCTCCTAGGCTCTCTGGAACTAGAAGAAGTTAGAGTAAATCCCCCGGAACTTGATTTGCCCAGTTGATCCCTCTCCAGGAGATTCGGCATTGATTCAGAGAATTTCTCCGCAGTTTCGTTGGTCTTCTTTGTGGAATTTTTGGAAATGTCCTTCAGGGAGCTTGCTCGAGACCTCGAGCCGAACAGATCCTCCATCAGTGACGATTTTTTAGTCCTGTCAGGCATTTTTACCTCTGGAATTTCAGCCTTGGGGGGCTCGAAGGGCTCTAAAGACCTCGGAGGATCATTCGTACTCAATTTCTCTGAATGTTTTTCGAGGAAAATATCCTTTTGCGGAGGCTTCGCTGACACTGATGACTCAGAAAACGCCGGAGCATTGGTTGACAGCCCTCTGGACTCAGCTGACTCGATTTTGAATAAATCGGCGACTTTAGTCGACTTTGAATCACGCAAAAGGGGTTTGGAATTTTTTGCTGAGTCCATTCCCTCGCTGAGGAGGTCATCCAATAGCGATTCATCCTCGAAATCTGCGTGAATCATACGAAGGAATTTCGATACTTTTAATTTACAAGGGGAAAATTGAACTGATAATTAATTTAATAATTGAAGGAAGTGATTTTGACGACCGAAATTTTTCCATTTCAAAAGAAATTATTTGTAAAAGTAACTTGATGTTTAAATTATTCCATTATTTCATGTATGAAAAAATTCAATAGAAAACCTGAGGAATTCGCTAGAAAATTCTATTGGAATTCTATTGAAAAATTCTTTTTGTTTTTTTGCGTTGATTCTGTTAGATATTCGATAAGAAAAAGTCAATGGGTTTCGAATTTCTGTTGGAATTTTTCTCGTGAGATTTTTTCTATTAGAATTATTGGGCACAAATTTTCCAAATTTTTTCTGCTGGATTTTGTTTTATTTTGCATTGCAGAATCCGAGTGGAAAAAAGTTGGAAAATTGATGCCCAAGCATTCTTATAGAAAAAAAATTCAAGAGAAAAATTCAAACAGCAATTTGAAATCTAGGGGAGGTTGGGGTAAAACGGACACTTTTGACTTTTTTAAAAATGTTAATAAGGGGTTGAAATGTTGATAAAATTCAATAATTTTCTTTCAATAGAAAGAACAATTCTTTCCCTTTGTGACAAGCCTAAACTGAGCTCAATTGATAAATTTGTTTCTGAGTTATGAATAATTTTAAAAAAGTTCAAAGTGTCCGTTTTACCCCGCCCTCCCCTACTGACTTTTTCTTATCGAATATCCAATAAAATCAGCGCAAAAAACAAACAGAATTTTTCAATAGAATTCCAATAGAATTTTCTAGCGAATTCGCCATGTTTTCTATTGAAGTTGTTCACGCGTGTTCTTTTAATGTCCTGATAAAAAAAATAATTCATTGATATTTGATCTAAATAATTAACTAAAGTTGTCATTTTCAATGAAATGTCATTTTTAATTATTTATTCAATATTAACTTATTATTTCTATTAATTAGTTGTCATTTTTAATTCTAATAAATAATCCATAATTATTCTTAATAAAATAAACAGATACCTTGGAAAGCAACTTTTTTCTGAGTTTCCCTCCCTCGACTTTTAGCTTCAGCCGAATTTTTATTCCTCGTTGAGCCACCGAATAAATCACTCTCCAAATCATCGAAATCCTCGACCATTCTCGCCACTTCGTCGATACCAACGTCGGACCCTTTATCCGAATCATCTGCCATCTCCAATTTCTCAGAAAAAAATCCCTAATCGATCAAAAACAACTCTTCATTTGATTTACTCCAAAAAGCATTCGTATTAAGGATGTACCACACCCTTTTCGCCAAAATTCACGTTTTTTGAATTTTTTTGATAAATTATTGATCGGATTGACGTGAAAAAATATATCGTTTTTGCGTTTTATCATTATTGACTGACTCACGAAGTTTCTTGGTAGTGCAATAATTTTCCTGCGTTTTTTCTAAAACTTTTCAGAAATTCTAAAACTTCATAAAAAATGCAGGAAAATTATTGCACGAACATGAAATTTCGTGAGTCATTAAGTAATGATAAAACGCAAAGACGGTATATTTTTTCACGTCAATGCGATCAATAATTTACCAAAAAAATTCAAAAACCGTGAATTTTGGCGAAAAGGGTGTAATACATCTTTAAAGGTCCCAGAGCCAATGAAGTTGTATACGGAAATCAGCTGGTCAGTTCCCATGGCAACCCCCTCCCCCATCGCTCCAGTTCTCCATATGACGTGTTAAACTCATGTCGAGAGTGTTTTAAAAAGCTGCAAAAAATCGATAAAAAATGGCAAAAATATCGTTTTCGCCCAGAGCCCACTGCAAAATTATCCTTCACGCTGCGAAATACCCACATTGCGCCATAAACGGATTACTATTAGCGAAAGAGAAGAAGGGGGAGGGTAAATCCGGTGATTTACATGTCGAGGATGCTATTCCCCTCTTTCATCAGTGTCTGCATGTCTCGCCCATGTCCGAAATAGCATTGGGACTAGTGAGTATTGAAAAGTGTCTCCTTAATTATTGTCGATTTGCATCATAACTCTGGAGTCATTCGTTTTGGAGTGGATTCATAACCTCAAAGTTTTGATTAATTGTTTGTGAATAGGTCGATCAGTTCGCCACGCAGAATGGAATGGTCATCGCTGGGTATTACTTGGCTAATGAGCTTCTGAACGATCTGAGGTAATTTTTAATTGATTGTATTTGGAGCTGATTTTGGCAGTAGAAGGCTTCGGACTTTTGATGAAGTGTAGGGGAGGGTAGGGTAAAACGGACACTTTTGACTTTTTTTGAAATGTTTGTGACGTGTTGAATTGTTCATGAAATGGAATAATTTTATTTTTTAATTGAAAAACAATGATTCCTCTTTGTGATGAGCTTGGACAGAGTTCAATTGATAAATCTGTTTCTGAGTTATGAATATTTTTAAAAAAGTCAAAAGTGTCCATTTTACCCTACCCTCCCCTACAGACAAATTTTTATTATTATTTATTTATCCATATATAGCGGATTGGGCTTTTTGCAAATGTTCTCATAGGGGAGGGTGGGGTAAAATGAACACTTCACTTTTTTAAAAATATTCATAACTCATAAATATATTTATCAATTGAGCTCAGTCTAGGCTCACCACAAGGGGGAAGAATTGCCCTTTTTATTGAAATTTTTTTATTGAGAAAAATGATACAATTTCATTAACAATTCCGTAAGGCATTAGCATTTGAAAAAAAGTAAAAAATGTCCATTTTACCCCATTGTCCCCTAATTATAATAATGAAAAAATCGTATAGAAATTTTCTATACGGATGTTTTTTATGCAAATTATTTCGATACGATTTCTACAGGTTTGATCCTATACGACCCACTGCCACATGTATAGAAACATTTCGTATGGAGTTGCGACATTTCTCTACATTGAGAGAAAGACAGACATATTGTCAAACAAGTCTTGTTTGGGCCAACAAAATCGCTAGTTGAAAATTGCCAAAAAAGAATTTGTTTGGTTCGAATTTGAAAGTCTCAAACATGAATAATTGCTCTGCTTTCGACAGCAACGAAATATTTGGCTCAAGAGGCGGATAATTCACACCAGACGGTGCCTTTTCAGGATGAAAATATCTCATATAGAGGAAAATTTATCAACAAAAATTTTATCCCTAAGTTACAAGATTGCTATCATATCATTATTATTGTTTCATTTAAGGGTTCATTTGTTGTCTGTGATTATTAGACAGCCGACACGAAAAACTACTATCCCTTGTTTCGCATAAAACAAAGATTTTTAGAAATGACATTTTTTGCGTGTACAAAGAATGCAATTTTTTTTGAACTACTAAATCTATTTTGGCGACAAAAATTTTTCATTCCGGCGCACTCTCTGCATGTTTGGCATAAAAAAACCTTTTTTGATAATTTTCAAAAACTATTTTCTTGGCACAAGTAAGACTTGTTTGACGACTTGTCGTTTTTCTCTCAGTGTACGGTTTTCTCTGGAGCGTTTAGACATCTTTCGTATGAAAACAAAAATGTATGTAAACATTTATGCATGGAAATAATTTTTACAGAAAATATTCGTATGGAAATATCCGAATAACATATACAGAAAGCCTATAGAATTTCTATACGATTTTTTCATACGTGTAATAGCTCAAGGACGTTGAAATCATTTGTAGGAGCCAGTGTCCGACACAATACACCTCGAAATACTTTAAGATCACATATAAAAACTTTATATTTACCTATCAGTATCCCGGGAAAATTGGAGTTGCTATATTAGCTAATTACCAAAAATTTTATTGGAGAGTCACTTCGGAGTTAATTAATGAGTGTGAAACTTTGGGAATTTCAGTACAGACAAACCTGCCCACAGAATAGCTGATAAAATAGCTGACCACTTCGGGAATGCAGTGATAGCTGTGGTAAATATTCTTGTTCATCCCTATTGATAGAAAATAACACTCCAATCTTGGGATAATCAACAATTAATGACGTTATTTACATAAAAATAGAAATATTCTCCATTCAAAAACAGGATCAATCTCAAAATTCATGAATTCATCGTTCTCATCTTTTATTTTCAACAGATAGACAACCGAGAGTTCAGCCATAATATGAGCACGAATCTCCTGCGAGTCTCTCAGTTCCAGGATGGAAAGTGGAAACTCCAGGATAAAGCAGAGTAAATAATCATTCTCACTGTTCCATCTGAATAAAATTCTCTCTTCTCATCTGGAATTAACCTTGTGCAACGAATAAATGTTTCAGCATTATTTACGAGGGTGGGGAAGCAATAGTAGGAGCACTGGAGTCCCTCCTGCGAGAAGAGCGATATCAACAGCTAATCGACTTCGACAATCACCTGGACAATATATCTCTAGACTGGCACAACAGCGAGCTCAACAAAATAATTAAAAAAACAGTTTCAGTCCAATGATAGATAAATCACCACAACAGACATTCCAAAGGAAAACTCTACGGTTCGTTAGTCCAAATCAATTGAATTCTATGTACATAAAATTAAAAGCATTTTTAACACTCAAAAATTACATTAACAGCATTTCACCATTGCAATATCTATTCTTCAGGATTAATTCGGGATAAGAAACATTCAAAGTCATGAAAAAAAGGAAAAACCCATTTTTATTCTTTCCACGCATTTAAGAGTCCCCTCGTATTTACGAAAATACATGATTCAGCATGAATACAAACAGAACAATGGAACAATTTCACACAATTTTCTTTTTCCTTGTTAGAACATAAGCTTCATTGATAAATACATGGTTCCGTGGAAAAATATGACATATTGTTCGTTAACATTTCTCAGTATGCACCGAGACATTGAAAAATATTCATCTCTCCTTTCAATACTTGTCAATAAACCCTCACGACACATTTCATCGTGTTCCTCCAACATTTCAGGGAAAAATAAATAGATTGACTTGTTTTTACAAGCAATTGCTCGATGCAGGGCATAAAAAAACCACGGCATATTCACTATTAATTTATAACAATTGCAATTGTTCCTTCGATGAATAAATAACACTGTTAAAATATTCTCTTGAGTCGTTATTTTCACTAGCAAAAGTGAATAAATCTGTTCATTAATTTTTTTTTATTTGACATGAACATTTAATTGGTTTAAGAAAAATTAGAACAGTGTCATCTTCATCTCAACTATTTTCGTAAGCATTTGCTTCATAAGTATTGACTCACGATCAACAACAGCCTGATATTAATTCTCTTATGTTTCCGAAGATCTAAATCGCGATATCTGATATGCAATGAGAATTTTTCGCACTGATATACGTGAAAATATCTAGTGAATGATTTGACATGATCACTGCACGTCGCAGGACACTTCAGATGTATCAAAAATATCAATCACATCTGGTCCAGCCAACCATAAATTAACATCGCGTTTTTAAATTTATTTATTATCTCGAAACAGGTACTCCAATCAAATTGGAACCACTGGAACTCGAGAATCTTACGTTACACAGCCTTTATGATATTGCACAGTGGTTTTATGGTAATGGATGATCCCAATATCATTGAACACGTTTTGAATCCACGAATAATATTAATTTTTGTGGAAATAATTGATTTTTAAGGGCGAATGAGTCTAGATGGCCAAAGTAAATTACGAATAATGCTTGGTGATAGTGGGACTGGATCTTTAGGCGCATATGGAGAACATCATCGATAATTTAATAATGGAAAAGACAAAATGACGAGGAATATGATCAAGAATTCATTCCTCAGTGTTTTTTAATTTTGAGGAGATGATGAGTCACAAATAAAAAAGTTCTGGTAAAAAAATATGTTCTGAAAAATTGGAATTTCATGAAGAAATTGGAGACATTGGAGTTGCTGAAAGAATTTACGTAAATTAGAATAGTTTCAATTAGAAATGTGTGATGAAAAATTCACAATTCCCTTGAATTTTTAATTAATAATGAATTATGAAATTCAGTAGCAAAACTAACTCATTTGTCAAAGAATTTAAACTTCAAAAGTGCCTTCCCTTCAATTTCCACTGAATAATTGACCTGAAATGACAATTAGTAAACATTCACACAAAAAAACCTAAACGTAAATTACGTTTAAGAAGTCGTCTTTTACGCTTGAAGCTGAAGCGTAAATTACGCTCAAAATCGCACGTAAATTACGATTACATAAACGTAATTAGCGACGATTAAATTACGACGATTATAAATCGTAATTTACGACAATTATAAACGTAAATTACGCTTTCATAAACGTAATTTACGATTTCGCAATCGTAAATTACGCTCAAAATCGTCGTAAATTACGATGATTTTTTCGTATTTTTGATAAACGTAATTGACGTTTTAATAAACGTAAAATACGCTTTGTTGAGGCGTAATTAACGTTTTTATTTTGACCGTAGAATACGCTTTTTAAAGCCTAAATTGCGATTTTCGTGACGGAAAAAAAGCGACTAGACATCATATTGACGTTAAGTGTAAATGACGTTTATCAAAACGCAATTTACGTTTAGGTTTTTCTGTGCGTGGGAATTATAGTTGAATGAATTTTCCATGTGCGCCAAAATCGTACCACAACAATGACGATGATATGCCCTTCTCCATCCACATAATCATGTCCCTCCAATTACTCAATAGCACCCTAATCCCTAATCGACTCAATCAACGAATTACCCCTTAACAATCGGGCCCTCCACTCCCCTTTCCACGAATAAAAAACCCCCGATAATGTCTCCGCATTCCCGTAAATTAATCAAATACTATGACTACGCTCAACAATTTTCCTAATGTCATTACGTGGGAAACAACCACCGCCTGCACATCAAATGTGACTCAAATATGTTAATAACATTATAATAATTAATACGTTCTGTTTCGAGGCGAAGAAACTATTCGCCAAGCTTGACACGACTTACTATCGATTTATGCATCTATATAAATAGAATGTCTATCCAGTATCCCCTGAGGAGGGGTCACAAACAGTCATACTAACACAATTGAAATGATAACACGGACGAAAAAATTTAATAGAAAAACCTATCGAATTCGTTAGAAAATTCTATTGAATTTCTATTGAACCATTCTATTAGTTTTTGGCCTATTCTATTAAAATGTTCAAAAGAAAATAATCAATAGCAAAAGTCAATAGAATTCAATTTTTCTATATAACTTATTCTTTTGAGATATTTTCTATAGAATTTCCTCGGCTCAAATTTTCCAAGTTTTTTCGTTTAATTTTCTTGATGAGAAGAAAAGAAAAATAGAGTGAAAAAAACTTGGAAAATTTGAGTCGAGCAAATTCTATAGAAAATATATGAAGAGAATAAGTTATACAGAAAAATCGAATTCTGTTGACTTTCTCTATTGAATGTTTTCTGTCGAACATGTCAGTAGAATCAGCCAAAAACTAATAGAAAGTTTAATAGAAATTCAATAGAATTTTCCAACGAACTCGATAGGTTTTTCTATTAAATTTTTTCGTGCGTGAAATGATGGTAATTAAGGGTGCTTGAGATTATAATCGTGTCGCAGATACGTAATTCTCTTTCATTTCGATGAATGCACCCGGAAAAATGATTTATTCAAATGAAATAAATTTATTTGGAGTGAATGGATCATTCGTAATTATATTTTCGAAATAAATACGAGTTTATTGCTTTCCAGTTGAAATTTTGCTGAAGCAAATTGAAAAAAATTCGAATAGCTATGTTTAATTCATTCAAATCCACCATTTCTCCGAGTAAATGCCCATTTTTAATGGCAATAACCATCGATTTCTTCGCGATTTGTTCAACGCATTGTGCCGAGTGCTATAGCGCAATAATAGTCTAGCGGGGAACTTAGTCATTAGTCGTATGTACAGTTTCTTCTTCTTCAACAGTTATAAAATTTCTACAAACCCTCTTTATGTTTAGTTTATCTGGTATTCGGGCATAACAACTTGGCGGTATTGCTTCTAATGCTGTCATTCAATGAACCAACAATCATTTGGACGGTCTTATATTAAAAAGCAATTTTTTCGGTTTTTTTTACAAATTAATTCGTCGATTATTATTCTTATGGCTGTAGTTATGCTAGTGGTAACGCTGGTAGCGGGCTTTGTTTAGTTTCTGCATCTTTTGTGAGATAAGAGATGAGAAGGCGCGTGCGTAGCACGCGCGACCGATCTCGTATAACGCAAAAAACAAAACAAAATTCAAATTTGTTTTTACAAATTTTAGAAAGTTTCTATTCTGCGGCAAAAAACAGCAAAAGTCCTTGGATATCCCCAAATAGCATGGAATTAAGGGGAGAATACTATGAGTTTTAAAAGTCGCGAACGATTTCTCATACATTGAAGATCGATTATATATCTCTAAAAGTGAATAATTAGTGCGAAGAAATAAATTTTGTACCATTATTGATTGATAAATTATTTGTTTCTGCTTTCACTTTCATTTCTCATTACTATCGCAATGAAAACTACATTTGGTATTATTATTCATTACGAAAAAAATCATAATTCAATTTTTTAAATTAACCATTGACATGGTAATGAAATATTAATAATGGAAATTATTTTCCTGCCGATCTCTGTTCTAGCCATTTATAATCGATCTTATGAGAACGTCTGAGAAATCTCTCGCGACTTTTGAAATTTATAGTAGTCTCCCCTTAAAGAAAAATCAATTGACTTGAATTTGATGTTTCATCGATTGTCGATAAATCTTTGAGAAATTAAAGCGAACCTGAAGGAAAATCTACGAAAAATAATTTCCGAAGCTGTCATAGTGCTATGACATCGAGGAGCTGGATTCAGGTTGCGCCGGTAGCTGGGGGGTCTGTCGGGAGGTGCGTCGTGGCCAGTGCTGGGGTGACGCTGGTGGAGTTGTCCTGGGGGTTGCCGGTGCCGAGCCGGCCATGACCCGCCAGGTACTTCCCACTGCTCCAGATCGTCCTACTGTGTTGAGACTCATACTGCTACTGCTACTGCAAGCAACTGCCGCGGATAAATCCACCCTCGACACCGCTCTGGAAACAATAGTGCATTGAATTTTTTTTTTAGTCCATTGTCAGGTGTCATTGTTGGTTTCCTCGTTCTCAGGGACATTGTGTTTAGATTTTTCTTTTTTATATTTTTTTCACTGTTATTTGGGTTGAAAGAGGGCATTCTCTCAGCGGTTTATAGACATCTTTAAGATATTGAGATTTAATTACGTATTATAAATATTTCGATTTAATTGAGTCAACTGAATAATTAATTATTGATTATTAATTCAGTAGTGAAGTAAACGAAGATAAGTCGACTCATCTCCCAGTTGAGTTTTTGCGGAATATTTCCAAATCTAAGGGAGATAGCGAAATTTTCGTAATCACATTTGTTGTAGCAGTCAATCGGCTTCACAAAAAAGGTTTTAACAAAAATTTTGCCATCTCCCTTAGATTCCGAGATATTGTTTGAAAACTGGTCAATAGTCACAATTGACTTAACTCCTTTTACCATTTCGCGACTGAATTAAAGTGAATGAGAGGAAAAGAGCGATGAATACAAGATGGTGTGATTTAAAAACTATACAAACACACTGGGGTGGTTTATCACCCCGCCATTTTGTCTGAATCAAATTCACTTAGTTAATAACTAATTGATTAAAATTCAGAAAAGACTTTTCAGTTTCATTCAATCAATTTTGACTGGCAAACTAGATGGTGAGGGCATATATACATTTGGGAACAATCCCGCAATCATTTATATCTTGACAATTGATCAATGTTTCCCCTAGAAGATATTTTCGCAATAATCTACAATTCCTTGTTAAATTTGATCCGTCAAATTTATCGACGAACGTTTATTGAAAATTTAACAAATGGTTGTCGAATGAAATCGAAAAATCTTTTTCTGAATTTCTATTAAATAGTTGTTAAATTTCACCAACTAGTAATAATTTTCTCCGTGATAATTTAATGAAAAAACTACGATTTTTTCCAATTCTGCAGGTAGAAAATAAAAAAATCGAAGAAATGTCCATAAATTGAAGAACAAATCGCACGCGATAAGTTCTGATGTTGTGATGGTTTTGGGTCACACACTGAGAGCAAAACGACAAAATTGTCAAACAAGTCTCACTTGTGCCAAGAAAATATTTTTTTTTTAATTCTCAAAAAAGGATTTTTTTGTGCCAAATATGCAGAGAGTGCGCCGGAGTGATAAATTTTTGTCGCAAAAATAGATTTAGTAGTTCAAAAAAAATTGCATTCTCTGTACACGCAAGAAATGTCATTTCCAGCACTACTCCTTCGTTATTCGATACTCCCATACGTATTTTGCTCCCGAAAAATCTTTGTTTTATGCGAAACAAGGGATAGTAGTTTTTCGTTTCGGCTGTCTAATAATCACAAACAACAAATGAACCCTTAAATGAAACAATAATAATGATATGATAGCAATCTTGTAACTTAAGGATAAAATATTTGTTGATAAATTTTCCTCGATATGAGATATTTTTATCCTGAAAAGGCACCGTCTAGTGTGAATTATCCGCCTCTCGAGCCAAATATTTCGTTGCTGTCGAAAGCAAAACAATTATTCACGTTTGAGACTTTCAAATTCAAACCAAACAAATTCTTTTTTGGCAATTTTCAGCTAGCGATTTTGTTGGCCCAAACACGACTTGTTTGACAACGTGTTTGTTTTTCCCTCAGTGTAGTCCCAAAACCATCACAACAGATATTACAAAAACGTTCGAAAAAATGAATTTTTTGATACAATTTTTTTTTATTCTGTACCGTGAGGATGGCGCAGAGCCCGTGTAACTGTTAAATCCAGCAGGTCCACTTCTCGGCCTAATAGCCGAAACAACACTAGATGACCTTGGCATTGCTGGTGAGGGTGGGGCGGACGGTAAAAGACGAGGGGTCTGCGGGGGTGTGCGACCAGAGCCCGAGCTACCCGTACTACTCGTCGATGATTTTCTCCTCAATTGTCTGCGGGGTTAAGAATTTTTTTTTCAACAAACATCGAAAAAAAAAACTTAACACGAACTGAAAAAAAAAAGTAAAAATAAAGGAGTAAAAAAAATGATGCTCTCAGGGTCTCGTCCTTTCATCTACGTAAAGCTCGGGGAGTTTCCTCCCCCATTGCGATACCTCATCAGTGCTTTTTTCATCACTCTGACATGATCCTTTACCTTTTTGAGGGCTGCCGACACAAGCCAGTGGGGCACTGCCTTCCCATTGCGCATTTTCCCTCGCAAACCTCGCGCGCAAGTGCCAGAGTCTCGTAATTCCGGAGAGTGGCTCTACAAGCTTCTGCATCGGATGCAGTTAAAGCGAGCGAGGGAAAACGTTCTTTGAGTCTCTTACGTTCCTTAAGAAGAAAAATTTCAAATATTTTTTTGCGTTTTTTCGAGTGAAATCGTTGGGTTTTAATGAATCAACATTGGGGAAGAATTTGCGGTGAAAAAACAATAGTCATCAGTAATAAATTTAAAATCTAATAAGAATATTGTCATGTATGTAATTGAAAAATCACGTATTTCATCGATTTTCTTATAATTTTATGGGAAAAAATGATGAAAACTGAAAAATTCAGTTCCAATACAGAGGAAAATATTTTTCAATAATGATTTGTTGGAAATTCCAGTGAATTGCGAAATTTACGCCTTATTTTAAATTGAAGCTACACTGTTAGAACATTGCTCTTGAATTTTCAAGTAAAAAATCTTGAAATTTTCAACAACGAATATTCATTTTTTTAATTTTTAACGTGATTTGCCGCTAGGGGTTTGCCACTGGCCGTTGGCCGAAGGTCTTCAGCCTGGTATTTACAGAGATATTTAGTTGAATGTTATGATAATGTACCGTGTGCAATAGAGATTTCTTCTACATTGTAAAGTACATGGGATGAACAACGAATAATTTATATGGAATTTCCATTGATCTTGTTATTGATAAATCAGTCAATTTTCTTAAATATTCACTGAAATTTGATTTATCAGGTTCACACGACAATGAAAATTACTGAAAATCGTGAAAATTCAGGCAACTTCTTCTGAATTTTTAATCTCTTGAAAATTCCATGATCATTCATCATAAAAAACTTAATTTTATTGAATTTCCAAGATAAATCCGAAATTCCGTGAGCAATTTAGTTTGAAATTGAATTCAAGTTCCGAATAATGGCAATTAAAATGCATCTGTTACTTAAATTTCAAAAAATTTCCAACAGTGAATTTAGCTGGCATTTTCTCCCAAAATGAATCATCATTTCAGTAGCGAAGTGGTAAAACGGTTCAAGTCGACTCATCTCCCAGTTGAGTTTTTGAGGAATATTTCCGAATCTAAGAGAGCTAGCGAAATTTTCGTAATGACACTTGTTATAGCACTCAATCGGCTCTACAAAAAAGGTCATAACAACAATTTTGCTATCTCCCTTAGATTCCGAGCTATTCATTGAAAACTGGTCAATCGTCAAAATTGACTTGTACCGTTTTACCACTTCGCTACTGATTTCTTACCCCAACCCTTGAATTCCCCAGATATTTGAATTTTTACCTCCTGCAAACGAGTAGCCTCAAAGTCCTGCAATTGCTGTTGAAATCCAACATTTGGATTAGCAACAGTCCGACCTACTCTAACTACCTTGAGTGCCTCTTTCCACGAGAGATTCGTGATGCTCATGATATAGGCCACCGCAACTGTCACGCTCCTAGACATTCCAGCCAAGCTGTAAAATCGATTCCCATTTTAAATCTCCTCCGTTCCCCCTTTCCATCCCGTAATGAAAGAAAGCCAGAAAAAAAACAAACAAACAAAAATACACCAAATGATCAGAATGATTTATGCCCTCGATTACCAGTGTATGAGGACGTTTCCACCCCGGAGTCGTGCTGCATGGATAAAGTCATTGCAGAGGGGAAAGTATTGGGTCAAATTCTGATCGGGAGTATCAGCTGCCAGAATGCACAAGTAGTGTTTATCCTAAAAATACAAATGTTAATTTATTTGGGATATTTTTGGGGAGGACTTGCCGATTGGTTTTACTCACGGAATGAAGACGACGGGCTGCATCGTGGATGGCCAATATGTGGGTTATTTCGAATTCCTTCAATTGGGCCTCGTCCTTACTGTCTCGGTAGTTGCCTACGTAGAGGCCCGGCAACACCTTCAAATACAGTGGAAAAGAAATTCTGAATGCACGAAAAACTTTCAGAAAAACCTAGCGAATTTCGCTGGAAAATTTCTGTAGATTTGTATTGTATTTTCTATTGTTTTATATAGGCGTTTTTTTTAATGGAAATATTCAATGGATAATATTCTGTAGAATAAATCAATAGAATGAGATTTTTATGTAAAATATCCCACAAAAAAAAACTTAAACGTAAATTACGCTTAAAGTCGCCGGAAATTACGATTACATAAACGTAATTCGCGACGATTATGAGCGTAATTTTCGATTGCGAAGTCGTAAATTACGATTTATAATCGTCATAATTTACGACAATTATAAACGTAAATTACGTTTTCATAAACGTAAATTACGATGATTTTTTCGTATTTTTCTAGAGCGTTCCGTAATTTTTATCTGAATCTCGTGTGAAAAATTACGATACCGTCACTTAAATTTTCTGAGTCGATTCCGTTATCGGTGAGTGAATTGAGTTCCGTAATTTTTACTGAACCTTTCTCTCCGTGTAAAAACGCGTCCTACTATTGTCATAATATGTTTTATCGATTAGTAATGCCCGATAAATACAAAAAACATTACAATGCACCCGTTAATTCTGCAAATTCAGAAGTGATGGTGCAGTGGGTAAATAGGGACTACTCAATTGAGAGGTGATTCTCTCGAATAAAAATAAACTCTCAAACACGAGTCGATCGATGGGAAATAAAATGCTGGGGTGGTGAATCCCTTTATAACTCCGATTTGCATATAAATTCATTAGACCGTTTGATCGAATCACTCCGATAGAACAACACAAGCGGACGATTGGAATTGTCGAGTCGAATGGGAGATTTCCAATCAATCAGGAATTTCTCGACGAGTGCTGGATGTCGCGTCATTCAAATGATTCGTCCTCTTTCTCTGGGATTTTATCCTACGATTTTACTATTTTATCGTGAATTTGCACAACAATTAACGGCGATGACGAATATATTGACTTGTTGCAATTCATTCGAACGCTCCCTTCGACTGACTTTAAATGTACATCAGCAAACAATTGCCAAGTGCATTCGAACCAAAATGATTTGAATGTTTCAAATATTTCTCTACCAATTTCAGTTTTCAAAAAATAAAAAAAATATTATATTTTACTGAAAAGAATTATTATTATTTCAAATAATTGATTTTTCAGTTTTATAATTATTACATTTCATTATTATTATTACTATTATTATTATTATTATTATTATTATTATTATTATTATTATTATTGTTTTGAATTTATTTATTCTCATAAATTTTTTTTACATTAAAAAATAAAAAAATAAATAGACCAATTTCAATTTCTATTCACGCTTTTACTTCATTCCTGTACAGATGATGATGTCACGAGTCTAATATTCTCATTCAATCTTGCACTCCTAAATTAGAAAAGCCGCAGACATTCATCTTTATTCGTTAAATCTGTACTTCTGCGGCGGCCAAAGGAAAGAAGGCTTTTTTTATTTTAAATCGAAGAATGGCACTTGAGAAACTTAAGATCTGACCTGGATTACCAAGTGCAGTAACCCAATTCATCAAACAATTTTTTTTCCTTTATCGATACCGGAAATCTGGAAGTTCCACGCACGATATTTGCTTTATAATAACGAGGAAATAACTCTGATAAAATTGAGATAAACTTCGGAATTTATTAAAAAACTTTGAAACTCATGAGGCTTTTTTATGGGAAAATGAGGAAACTGAAAATTCTCGTTGCCGGGAAAATCCTTTATTTGTTTGTCATCAAAAATTTTCACGAGAAAGAATGGAGGGTGGCTGAGAGCACTTGTGAATTGCTTAGAGGATTTTGCCACGTACCCGAGGAACTGTTACACTCGTTTCTCATGTATTGCTCTCTTTGACCTGATTTTTTAGCACTTTTTCGCCTCGTAAAATCCTCGGCGCTCTCTTTGTCATGACTTTCAGTCTTTCATGAGAAACACTCGGTCTTGTGCTTGGGGATTTGGGGAAGTCGTCAATAAACCGTGGTGCCTCTTCACGCACGAAAAAATTTGATAAAAAAACTTGGCAAATTCGATTGGAAACATCTATTGAAAAATCTATTGATTAGTCTCTCCAAAATCTTTTTTCTCTTTTTACAACCACACGGAGAGAAATGTTCAGTAAAAATTACGGAACTCACAATTCGCTCACCGATTGCGGAATCGACTCAGAAAATTTAAGTGACGATATCGTAATTTTTCACAGGAGATTCAGATGAAAAAAACCGAACGCGCTGGAACAATTTCGTAATTTCTCCGGAATTACGGAAAAGATACGTAATTTTTATTGAATATTTCTCTCCGTGCATGTACGCATTATCCCACTACACGAGAAAAACAAACACGTTGTCAAACAAGTCTTGTTTGGGCCAACAAAATCGCTAGTTGAAAATTCCCAAAAAAGAATTTGTTTGATTCGAATTTGAAAGTCTCAAACATGAATAATTACTCTGCTTTCGACAGCAACGAAATATTTGGCTCAAGAGGCGGATAATTCACACCAGACGGTGCCTTTTCAGGATGAAAATATCTCATATAGAGGAAAATTTATCAACAAATATTTTATCCCTAAGTTACAAGATGGCTATCATATCATTATTATTGTTTCATTTAAGGGTTCATTTGTTGTCTGTGATTATTAGACAGCCGAAACGAAAAACTACTATCCCTTGTTTCGCATAAAACAAAGATTTTTTGGGAGCAAAATACGTATGGGAGTATCGAATAACGAAGGAGTAGTGCTAGAAATGACATTTCTTGCGTGTACAGAGAATGCAATTTTTTTTTAACTACTAAATCTATTTTTGCGATAAAAATTTTTCATTCCGGCGCACTCTCTGCATGTTTGGCACAAAAAAATCCTTTTTTGATAATTTTCAAAAACTATTTTTTTGGCACAAGTAAGACATGTTTGATAACTTTGTCGTTCTTCTCTCAGTGTAGGCACCACCAGCAGTTCGACGAGGTGCCTCATTCTTCCAGGTCATGGCGATCGATTCCCCGGTGACTGGACTTTGACGTTTCATAGGAAAAACCTGAGTGTTAGAGCCCCTTTTCCATATTGATCATCACCAACTCGAGCATTTCGATAATTGATTAGTGTTCTTGCCCCTGGTCTTGCGACTCCCACTGGGCATTAAAAATAATTCATCAACCCTGGAATATCAGCACCTCTGGTGTTACGTGGAGTTGACGGCTACGGATTAGGCCGCAGAGGTGTCAGTGTCAATTTCAAGGTACATGGATGTTTGATCAGCTCTGGTACCTCTGAGGTCTTACGAACACGAAACTGTCGTTTCCGTTTTCATCAGGATTGTGTCCAGGGGAAATTCGGGAGGACCGGTTCAATTTTCAGCGAACGTTCGTAGTCATTTTTTCTTGTTACGGAGTCTCCACCGGTAATTTGATTATGTGAAGGACCGTTGGCTCACTTTTGTCAATTATTTCCGTTCATTTTGACAAGGGTTACACCATTATTTCTACACTGATGAATAAATGTGGAGAATCAAACGATCAGTATAGGGGAGGTTGGGGTAAAACGGACACTTTTGACTTTTTTTTTATGTTAATGAGAGGTTGAAATGTTGATAAAATTTAATATTTTTTTTTCAATACAAAGAACACTTCTTTCCCTTTATGACGAGCCTAAACTGAGCTCAATTGATACATTTGTTTCTGAGTTATGAATAATTTTAAAAAAGTCTAAAGTGTCCATTTTACCCCACCCTCACGATGAGTTTTGAAATTGAAGCTTCCATTGAAAAATCGATGATTGTTCAACACGAAAAACCCAATTAACGAGAATTCTTTAGAATTTCACTAGAATCCCCACAGAATCTCCCGAGAATTCCAGTAGAATTTTCTAGCGAATTTGCTAAAGTTTTCTATTGAATGTTTTTCTAGCAGTGTACGGCGAGAAGGAATAACACGCCTACAGACGCTTCACTAGGTTGTAACAATAATAATTGGAAATCTCAAAATTGAATGAATCCTGAATGAAATTTGTCACCTCAGACAACTGGAACCAATGAGGAATAAGCGTGACAGATTTGCGAGATATCGATAGTTATCGACTTTAAGTGTATGTTCTTTTCAGAATAGGATCGTGCGATCGCAGCAGGACGAAATTTGGACAAGATCGCGTTATGCAGTAAAATCACTGCAATACGCAAGACATCATTCTCCGCATAGGAACGAAATAACAGAGAAACTGAAACAGCTATAGAAGAATTGACTCAAATCATTTGATGAATTCGAATGCGCTTGACAATCATTTTTCGCCATAACTTGAAGAGATAAATTAATCTAATCTCCCAAAAATATACTACAACCCCAGGATTTGACCCAACTTTCGTGACATATGGGGACAACTAAAGAATCTTGCGGTGATAAATCATCGATGGAGCGTCAGCCTGACCCTGGCAGTCAGCCAGAAAAAAACGGCGCCAAGAGCGCGCCAATAAAAACCTCAACTTGCAAAAAATGTTCCACAGCAAGTCAACAAGTCGCGAAATTTTGATAATGACTGCACATGCACTAATGAATCGTTCAGATAGAGATCATTAACGGGGTATGATTAACATTAATCCTGCCAGAAAATCAGAAGCGAAGCGGTAAACCGGGTCAAGTCGACTTCGACTATTGCCCAGTTTTTGACGAATATCTCGGAATCTAAAAGAGATAGAAAATTTTTTGTCATAACCTTTTCTGCAGAACCAATTGAGGGCTATAAAAAAGGTCATGAGAAAAATTTCGTTATCTCTCTTAGATTCCGAGATATTCATCAAAAACTGGCCAAAAGTCAGAATCGACTTGACCCGGTTTACCGATTCGCTACTGAAATCGCGATCATGAATAATAAAAATATTATCTCACCTTGTTCATACCATTCCCCATGGCTCGCCCGGGGTTTCCTTCCAGCGCTGTTAAGAATCTGTCGCCGATGTCCACGCGGTATACCCGCGATAACAATTAATCAATATCACGCTCAATGAGCCGCGTGGTTCATCGGTCTCCCTCATCCTTGTATTACGTTAGACACTTGTGACTTCACTTCGCAGGCATCACTGAATATTTTCAACTCAATTATCATGCACATCGTTTCGATTCGCTCAGGATTGTCTGCGGATGTCTCGGTTTAACTCATCACTCGACTCGTTGATCTCTAACGTCTGAAAAAAGGAACAGTATTTCGCATGCACCGAGAGGAGAAAATAGAAAGGACGGAAAATATTGTCATCGGGTAAATTCCCATGACAATTCCGAAAATTTTGAAAAAAAAAATCTTGTAGTTCAAAAATTGGAGACCTTGAACTGTTTCTAGCATTTTAAGCGTTTTCGGGCAAACGAACAATAAAAAAATTAATTTGCACTAGTTATTCGTTTTCAGATCTATATAATCAATCTTCAACGTATGAAAAGTCTCCCTCGAATAACCCACGACGTTTAAAACTCATAGTAGTCTCCCCTTAAGTCACTTTAGTCTTTAGTTGAGTTTTCCAGAAATATTTCCGAATTTAAAGGAGATAGTGAAATTTTTATAATAACCTTTTTCGTAGAGCGGATTGAGTGCTACTAAAAAGGTCATGAGAAAAATTCTGCTATCTCCCTTTTATTTCGAGATATTCATTGAAAACTGGCCTATACCCCAAATCGGCTTAAGGATGTATTACACCCTTTTCGCCAAAATTCACGTTTTTTTAATTTTTCTGGCAAATCGTTGATCGGATTGACGTGAAAAAATATACCGTTTTTGCGTTTTATCATTACGGACACTTTTGACTTTTTTTATGTTAATGAGAGGTTGAAATGTTGATAAAATTTAATTTTTTTTTTCAATACAAAAAACAATTCTTTCCCTTTGTGACGAGCCTAAACTGAGCTCAATTGATACATTTGTTTCTGAGTTATTAATTTATTAATTTTAAAAAAGTCTGAAGTGTCCGTTTTACCCTACCCTCACGATGAGTTTGGAAATTGAAGCTTCCATTGAAAAATCGATGATTGTTCAACACGAAAAACTCAATTAACGAGAATTCCCTAGAATTTCACTAGAATCCCCACAGAATCTCCCGAGAATTCCAGTAGAATTTTCTATCGGATTGACGTGAAAAAATATACCGTTTTTGCGTTTTATCATTACTTAATGACTCACGAAATTCCATGATCATGCAATCATTTTCCTGCGTTTTTTCTAAAACTTTTCGGAAATTTACAAAACTTTAGAAAAAATGCAGGAAAATGATTACACTACCATGAAACTTCGTGAGTCAGTTAATAACGATAAAACGCTAAAACGGTATATTATTTCGCGTCAATCCAATCAATAATTTGCCAGGAAAATGAACAAAACGTGAATTTTGGCCGAAATGGTGCACATCCTTAAACCGTTCGACCACTTCGCTACTGAATTAGTCCCTTTCTAGAACTGTTTTCCCAGCATGTCATCAATCATTGTCGAGTAATTTTTGTACACATTGTTTGGAAATGACTGAAATTTTTGGATGCGCATCAAGAAATAAACCAAGTTTAGTGATTAATACAGCCTTGAAATCAATGTGACAGAAACCACAGCCGTGACTTTGTCACTGGATAAACGGTCACGGACAGTAGCTCTAACGATTGATGACAAAAAACTGTTGCCACGTGGCGCTGGAATTTCTAATAGACCGCAATTTCAACTCGCAATAATAAACTAATAAAAAGTGGAAGAACTGTAAAGTGACACGATGTCACAATAAAACGAACTATTCCCTCGTCCCTCGGATCGATTTAATTCACTCAAATGAAGGAAATTATCGATGATTTTTTTTTTCTAATCTCAACCATCTCCCGGATTAAATGGATATTCCACATGGAATAGAGTATTACCCCTCGCTGTCAATCATGCCGGCTACACGAAGAAAATGAAATTGTGTCATCGATCCCCCGAATCGACTGCAGCAATAAAATGGAAAAATTCGCGGCATATTTTTGTCAACTCAGTTGTTATTTCCGAACTTTAAATACGTGAAGTTTACATGTGCTGTTGCGCACTCGTGTCTCATCGATTTTCCCGCGGAAAAACAAATGTAAACACCTGCTGTCTAGCGTGCCAAAAATTCTTCCCCGGCCCTTTGTTTCATATTTACGGGTTTGGTGAATGGCTTTGTTTGCGGGCCATCGGACACCTGAGTCATTCGATACGGGGGGTCACCAATGCGGTCATATCTGCGGCTATTTGTTCACGGGGGATTATGTTTTATTCACGCGTAATTGAAGCATTGAGGTCACATTGAGTTGATAAACAACGGGGCTGTTTCAAGGGAACAATGGGGCTTTTTTAATTCAGTGAGAGGTAGGAATTATGTCACGAATTTTATAAATAAATAAATAAATATAGATCTGAAAACGAATAATTAGTGCAAAAAACAATTTTTTTTATTGTTTGTTTGCCCGAAAACGCTTAAAATGTTGAAAACAGTCCAGAGCCTCCAATTTTTAATCTACAAAAGATTTTTTTTTTTAATTTTCGGAAAAATGTGCAGAACAACAATTTCGAGCCAGTTTTTTGAAATTCGACTCCTACACAGTTGATTTGTTTTTTTTTCATATAAAAAATTCACTATTTGTGTAAAAAAATACAAAAAAACAAATTTAGCCATGTAAGAGGCGAATTTAAAAAAAATAGCTCGTAATTGTTATTTCACATATTTTTCCGAAAATTTTGAGAAAAAAAAATCCTTCGTAGCTCAAAAATTGGAGATCCTGGACTGTTTTTGGCATTTTAAATGTTTTCGGGCAAACGAACAATAAAACTTTTTTTTTTTGCACTAATTATTCGTTTTCAGATCTATATAATTGGTCTTCAACGTATGAAAAGTCTCCCCTTAAATTGTTTGACCACTTCACAGAGTGACAATCAGGGATAGCCAATTTTGTAATATTTTATTACGGTTAAATATTGTAGTCATCAACTAGATAACATCACTCTTGAAATTTTTTGAGTACTTAAATATCATCAATTTAAAAATTCAAATTTTGAACTATTTTATCAACCAACAATCGAGGTAGGAAGATTTATGATTACTTGTGAAATCGAAAATCCCCTTTCAAGAAATTTGAATTATTCATTCAGCAGTAAATTTACAGTTTCATATCAACTATTTTTAAATATATCATTATTCGTAAAAAATCAGATTATTAATATTGTATTATTGTTGAAAAATTGAATCAACATATTTTAAAGTAGCTATTATTTATATATTTAGATATTTAGATTATTAAGATTATTTAGATTATTTAGATATTTTCAGTTTTTTAATTTTTCAATTAAATTGCATGGAAAAAAATTGAAAAAAATTCATACTTAGTCCAGTATTATCTAAATTAAATTTCGCAAAATATTGATATTTTTTCAAACATTTCCCTCTTATAAATAAATAATAAAACTTGTTTGCAAAACGGTGGATTATTTTTTATGAGGTGTCAAAAAAATTCTTGATTTTTTCACATCTAATGAAAAAAAAATCAGATTTTAATCTTTGATTACATTGAAAATGTTGATTGTCACATAAGACACTGGGTTAAACCCTGATTTTTAAACATTTCTTCTTTGAAAAACCAAAACGATAATTAAATTGAGAAAAAAATTAGAATTCCGAATCTAATCGAGTTTTCTGCAACTTTTTCGCAGTTTTCAATAATCTTTGAATTTACCGTAAGGGTAGAGCTACTTTAAACCTTCAATAAGGGTCAAATCCTTGTAATATTACAGAAATTTAATACTGATGGGGATCCCTGGTGACAATCAAGAGAAAACGCGCTGGGGTGATGCGTAACCCCATCCATGAGATGCTCAAATTACGCTCAATATTTTCTCAAAAATTGATAGAAATCGGGAAAATTCAGATGAATGTAATTTATAATTTCCAATTAATTGAGCATTCATGGTAATTTGGTCCTCAATATTCATGCATTTCCTTTTAATTTCCATTGAATTCTGTAGCGAAGCGGTAAACCGGTTTAAGTCAATTTAGACTATTGGTCAGTTTTTAACGAATATCTCGGAATCTAAGGAAGATAGTTATGTTCGTGTAATAACCTTTTTTGTAGCTCTTAATTCGCTCTACAAAAAATGTTATAATGACAATTCCGCTATTTCTCTTAGATTCGGAGATATTCCTCGAAAAACTCAGCGAAGAGCCAAGTCGACTTGACCCGGTTTACCGCTTCGCTACTGAATTAATCCCCCGATTCACCTAAAAAAATAACATTTTTACACCTGCGGTTATTCTGCTCATATGAAACGTCGTGACCACACACAGGGTGTGGCATAACTTATTTATTTAATGGAGCGCACAAGTCAATTGTCCCCCCGGGTCTCCCACATTGTGATTTACCGCCCAGTCGCGACAATAAATCCTCCCCTTTCAATCCTTTTTTTTCCGCGAACGGGACATTGAGTAACCTCTCTCCCATTTTTACTGAAACCCCGTTCTCCTTTCAAAGATATCTAAAGTGTCCCATTGAACGTGAAATGCAGATTGCCGGAGGGTGCACAAACGAACGAAACCCAGTGGATCCTCGAACTTCTTGAGCTCATCGAATAAAACAAACTTTGTTGCTTCGCAATACTCGGAGCTAATTGGATTCCACGCTCTCAAATTTGCATCACAAAGCTGTATGATTGAGTGAATTATATATTCAAAGAAATAGTAAAAATAGCCAGTGGTAGTATTATAAAAGTAATATGAGAGGAGTGAAGTAAATCTGTTTTACGGAATCGCAGCGAAAAATTAGGCTCTATAATGGAATGAATTGTCAAATTAAATTGCATTTGATTGCATGAAACATTTACTGCATAAATTCACCCAGAGAAACGATTTATTTGAATTAAATGCCTGGGTTTATTCAAATATCTCGTAATAATGAAAAAAAACTATTATTAGGGAAGAGTGGGGTAAAATGGACACTTTAGACTTTTGTTTCAATTACTCATAACTCAGAAACAAATTTATCAATTGAGCTCAGTTTAGGATCATCACAAAGGGAAAGAATTGTTCTCTGCAATGAAAAAAAAAAAATTAAATTTTATCAACATTTCAACCCGTCATTAACATTTTAAAAAAAGTCTAAAGTGTCCATTTTACCCCGACCTCCCCTATATTTCACTGAAAAGAATTATAATTATTTCAAATAATTGATTTTTCAGTTTTATAATTAGTTTTATCATTATAAAGCTTTTATCCACATTTAAACTTAATTTGCTAGGCATTTTCATTCACGAAAAATAAATATTTTGATGATACACGGAAATTCATTTTCTGGGAATGAAATCATTCATTGAAATAGAAACATGAGTTTGTGAATTACCCCAGCCTGAAGGGGAGAGAATGAGACGTGATTGATGATTGAATCTGTGGGTCCTACCCCAAGAATCCGTTGTTGGGTCTCCAGAGGCATCAACTGATCACAAAAAACCACAAAAAAATCGACTTCTCCAGCGAAACCGGCCGATTACTCTCTTCCGTTACAAAACACTTGGAGTTAAAAATAATCTCGCGGAAAAATGGAGTTGTATCGTTTTGATATCGCGCGTGATGGCGATTGTCACGACCAGTACGGGAAATACAGTCCGGCTCGAGTCGCGGTGGTGGACTCCTCGTGCCAACTCTTGTCAGTGGCCAGTGGGTGCCTGATTGAGGGTGGGAGGGTGAAGTAATGGTTAAAGTGAGACTTGCACGGTCCAGGTTTAGTCTCGTTCCGACTGCCACCTACGCAGGCGCCGCTCGATATCACTCCCCTCCGTTCTTGGGGGGTAGTTTGGGAATCTGGCGGACTGGGTCGACTGCAACTGGGGTACACTTACGATGCAACTCGGGTGGAGTGGATCGGGTTGATTTTACCGTTGGGCTGTGGGATAGAAAAATAATTGCCACAGGATATTATTTTTCTATCCTACACTGAGAGAAAAACACGTTGTCACACAAGTCTCGTTTGGGCCAACAAAATCGCTAGTTGAAAATTGCCAAAAATAGTATATTTCGTAACGAGTGCAAAATAGCATATTTCTTCACGAGTTACGAACAATATTTTTCATCACGCTGTGCGAAGAAGTAACTTTTTAGGCACGCCTCGCGTGCCTGAAACGTCCCTTTTCCACACATTGTGATGAAAAATATCGTTCGATACTCGTGGGAAAAGTGTTTTTGGCTCGTGGGAGGTTTATAGCACGAGCCGAAGGCGAGAGATTCTACACTGAGAGAAAAACAAACACGTTGTCAAACAAGTCTCGTTTGGGCCAACAAAATCGCTAGTTGAAAATTGCCAAAAATAGTATATTTCGTAACGAGTGCAAAATAGTATATTTCTTCACGAGTTACGAACAATATTTTTCATCACGCTGTGCGAAAAAGTAACTTTTTAGGCACGCTTCGCGTGCCTGAAACGTCCCTTTGCCACACATTGTGATGAAAAATATCGTTCGATACTCGTGGGAAAAGTGTTTTTGGCTCGTGGGAGGTTTATAGCACGAGCCGAAGGCGAGTGATATAATCCCACGCGCTAAAAAACATTTTTTCACGAGTCACGAACAATATTTTTCATCACAATGTGGCGGAAATTGGACTTTTAGGCACGCGGAGCGTGTCGAAAAGTTCACTTTCCGTCACAGCGTGATGAAAAGAATTTGTTTGGTTCGAATTTGAAAGTCTCGAACATGAATAATTGCTCTACTTTCGACAGCAACGAAATATTTGGCTCAATTCCCCTTCCTTACTTAATCGTAAAATTTTCTACATATGACTATGAAAACTATTGAACATTGCGGTTTTTAATTGAATTCGAATTCAGGACACTTGAAATTCGCATGCCACTGTTTTTTTAAATTTTACCTCTGGTTCATCAGAGTAAACATAATCATATATTAATAATTTATAAAGATCAATTAATGGATGTCACACCATCGAGTTGATCGAAATGAATTCTTCAACGAAACGTTTCCTGACGATACAAAAGTTTATTACATTTCAAATACATAAAAAGAGTTCCACAAAAATTATTCAATTTTATCCTTATCGTCACTCTTAATCCCTTTATCAGCTGAGGAGTAACAGATGAGAATTAATCCAAGAAGCACCAAGGACGTTCCACACCACCACAGCATCGATGTCGTCTCACCAAATGCGAGAAACCCCACCAGTGCCTTGAACAGTTTTCCAGTGATAGGCATATCAATCAATCATAATTACCGTTAAATTGTGAAGTCAATTTTTAACATGAATCTTAAAAATTTTCAATATTAAAGTAGCCATCAATTTTAAATTTAAATTTCGAAATATTATATCAACCAATAATTTAGGTAGGAAGATTGACGATTATTTGGATAATTGAAAATCAAGTACCTAAAGTTAGAATTAGCTTGTTAACTAAAAAAATTACATTTTAGTATTATCAAATATTTTATTCATCATCAATCGAAAAACTTAGCTAATAAATTCTATAATATTTTAAATATAGTTCAACTTTGAACAATATAAGGAAATAATCCTTTTTAATATTGTCAAAATCTAATATTATCGCCTATCCCTGCAGTTTTCCATAGATCAGAGTTACGGATGTTTAGCCATTTTCGGCAAATCTTATTTTTTCATGTTCAAGGAGAATTCTATAATTTTTTTGGCTGATAGAATATACGAAACTAACTTCTTTGATCTTAAAAAAAATTAATCGCAATAGTCTCGCCGGAAATAAATAAACAAATTTTTCCTTATAGGGGAGGTTGGGGTAAAACGGACACTTGACTTTTTTTTAAATGTTAATGAGGGGTTGAAACAAAGAACAATTATTTCCCTTTGTGACGAGCCTAAATTGAGCTCAATTGATAAATTTGTTTCTGAGTTATGAATAATTTAAAAAAGTCTAAAGTGTCCATTTTACCCCACCCTCTCCCACACGGCCTCTTATGCGATTTATGTTGAAATTGTGCAAAACTACTGAATCGAATGGCCAGAAAAAAATTTGGGGTACCCGCGCAAATGAGGAAATATTTGAAAGATTCTATCCCACATAAGCGCATGTTAGCGCATGCGTTTGGTGGATTTTGTCCACTCCATATCAAAATAATAAACGTGGCTTGGTGGGTTGAAATTTTTATCAAGATGAAGGGACTCACTTCGCCTCTCAGTTGAAAAAAAATCAACGTTTCTTGATTACTTGCGATTTTGAATAAACATCCTTAAAACGTCAGTGAGAGAAATAAAACGTGTCCTGAGTCAAACAGGTTCTATCATGCATTACTTCTATTTGTTTTATGCAATAAAATGTATTGTGAGTTGACGCCTCGTTGTGCATGTGCTCGGGCCTTTCACTCGCTCTGGGTGAGTTCTCGGAATTACATCACCCGGTATCAGCGCATAAAAATAAACCCGTAGCGCGTGATAACAATCGCTGTATTTTTTTTCCAACATAACAGTATTTTGTTCCTGCGTTCTATAATTTTCTTTATTGCTGGGGAACGTGGCATTGTCTAATCGTTAGTGACGGGACAACTCTCAATATTTTCTTTTCGTAGAATGCATTCACTTGCGCAGTAGGGAAATTTTAATTGGAAAGAAAAAGTTTAAAAATCTTTCAGTTCTTCAGGATTCGTTCAAAAATTTGAATCGCACGCAATTTCGAACTAATGGGTGCGCGCGATTGCGCCTTTAGGGGACTCTGGCCCCTCCCACTTCTCACATTCGACCAATGAGGGGCTTCGACTCCGGTTTTGTGACGTCATGACGACTGAAAAATTGCGCTCCGATTTGCTAATGTATCACGTGATTCACTAACCGAGCAGAAATAGTTGGTAGCAGCGCTGACCACCGTGGAAGGCAAGGATGATCCGCAACCTTGAAGACTCCTCACAAAAAAGGTGCAACCAGCTGTGTTGAAGAGAATCATGACTCCGAATAAAGTAATCTTGAGGAGTGCTAGTCCCTACAAAGTTGAGAAATAAAATTCAACGTGACTACTGGCAATTTTGTCGTAGAAATTTCCGGTTTTCAATTGGAAATTCAAGCGGAGACTGAATTTTCAGGTTTCTGGGGGTAATTACGGTCGAATGGAGCAATATTCTTTATGGGACATGGAATATTCTCGTCGAAATATTCAGAACATCTGAAATCGCGCTGTAATTTCATGACACAATGCAGCAATTTCGTGGACAATTAAAGATTGGTAGTCTCAAGAGAATGGATTGTATAGAAATAATTTTTTTAGTTAACAAAATTTTATAAAACGTGACGTACAACATAAAAAAATGAAATAAAGTATGCAATAAACCTGAAAATTCAAAAACATTTAACATTTTCAGCTGTTTTTTCTCGAGCGTTGAAGATCGATTACATGTGGCTGAAAACGAATAATTAGGGCGAAACAATTAATTGCTTATTGTTCGTGTACCCCGCACAGGCGTAAAATGTTAAAAATAGGCCAGCGTCTCCAATTTTTGAGCTACAGAGGTTTCATTTTCTTCCAAATTTTTGAGAAAATTTGTGCAATAATAATTACGAATTAGTTTTTTGGAACTCGACTCCTACGCAGCTAATTTCGTTTGTTTAAAATAAAAATTTGCGTCATTCATGTAAAATAGGCAGAAAAATTATCCTTAAAAAATTTAAAATATATATCGATTCTTTCAGAAACATTTTTCGGACTATTTTACGGGAATGGTGCAATTTTTTTAGTAAAAAAATAACGAAATTCGCTGTGTAGGAGTTGAATTTCAAAAAACTAATTCGCAATTGTTATTGCACGTATTTTTCAAAAAATTTCGAAAAAAAGAAACCTCTGAACGAGAAAAAATTAATTTTTTTGCACTAATTATTCATTTTTAGACATATAGGGGAGGTTGGGGTAAAATGGATACTTTTGACTTTTTTAAAAATATTAGTGACGGGTTGAAATATTAATAAAAATTGATCTTTTTTTTTAATACAAAGAACAATTATTTCCCTTTGTGATGAGCCTAAACTGAGCTTTATTGATACACTTGTTTCTGAGTTATGAATAATTTTTAAAAAGTCTAAAGTGTCTATTTTACCCTGCCCTCTCCTATGATCGATCTTCAATGGATGAGAGATCGCAATTCAATAGCCCGCGACTTTTAAAACTCACAGTAGTCTCCCTTAAAATTTTATAAAAGTGAAAATTTGAATACATGAGTTTCTCCCGCCACTCACCATCGATCCCATCTCCACACTCCCAGCCAGTTTTCCAAAGAGACTTCCCGTAGTCGCGAAAATCCCAGCGACGACGGACAAATGAGCCGAGCCCCCCCTCAGCCCCTTCATTGTCGCTCAAAACCTCGAGATATAAAATCCTGTTATCCCACCGGAATAAGAAACAAACTCAACGAGATGCACCGGTTCTTCCCGGACTATCAGCTAACCTCTCCAACACGCAACACAGATGTGAATTCACCTTGACGCAGTTGCACTGACCCACCGAAACAGTCCGATTGTCGCATTATAAATTCATGAATTCAATTTTGAAATTAGCGAGGTCGTCACACCGCTAATTCTCGAATACAAAAATAGCGACAGAGGAATGAATTCAACAGGGAACACGGGTTAATCGTAAAATACAGGAGTCCTCAAGGACAGAATTATCGCACAAGAATTCAATGAAATTGAAAAATATGACGACAATTCAGTAGCAAAGTGCAAAACGGTTCAAGTCAATTTTGACTATCGGCCAGTTTTCAATGAATATCTCGGAATCTAAGGGAGATAACAAAATTTTTGTTATAAACTTTTTTATAGAGCCAATTGAAAGCTACAACAAATGTAGTTATGAAAATTTCGCTATCTCCCTTAGATTCGGAAATATTCCGCAAAAACTCAACTGGAAGATGAGTCGCACTGTTTTACCACTTCGCTACTGAATTATTCTCGCGAATTCATCTGCATTGAACCTTCAGGCGAATAAACGACCCCAGAAATACTAGATAAATCCTATTAACATCCGGATTAAATGAACAATTAACGGAATAAAAGGTCTGAATCCCTGACGGAAATGATGTTAATCATTTCATAAATTTTCTTTTGGCCAAACGAATTTAATTATTCAATCCCTTTACAAACGAATGAAATAAAATAAAAAAAAGCTAGTAAGAGAGAAAAAAGAAAAATCAAATATATAATGAACTCAATAATAAACAAAAAAAATTCCAGTTGAAAAAAAAATCAACAATTCATTGAACGAAACGTTATAATCGCTAACGGAAATGTTAATTAATTATTCGCCTCGATCCCCCACTAATTACCCCGCGTCGTGAATGTCCATTGATTTTCCCTCTCTCCCCTGCGCTGGAAAAACGACTAAAACAAATTAATAAAAATGTTTAGCAAAAACCTATCGAATTCGTTAGAAAATTCTATTGAACTTCTATTGAACTGTTCTATTAGCTTTGGCCGATTCTATTGAAATCTTCAATAGAAAATATTCAGTAGAAAAATTCAATAGAATTCAATTTTTCTACTCAACTTATTCTATTGAGATATTTTCCATAGAATTTCCTCGGCTCAAATTTTCCAAGTTTATTCGTTTGATTTTGATGAGAAGAAAAGAAGAACAGAATGAAAAAAAATTGGAAAATTTGAGTCGAGTAAATTCTATAGAAAATATATGAAAAAAATAAGTTACATAGAAAAATCGAATTCTGTTGACTTTTTCTATTGAATGTTTTCTATTGAACATGTCGATAGAATCAGCCAAAAGCTCTTAGAAAGTTTAATAGAAATTCAATAGAATTTTCCAACGAATTCGATAAGTTTTTCTATAGAATTTCCTCGGCTCAAATTTTCCAAGTTTATTCGTTTGATTTTCTTGATGAGAAGGAAAGAAGAACAGAATGAAAAAAACGTGGAAAGTTTGAGTCGAGTAAATCCTATAGAAAATATATGAAAAGAATAAGTTGTATAGAAAAATCGAATTCTGTTAACTTTTTCTATTAAATGTTCTCTATTGAACATGTCAATAGAATCAGCCAAAAGCTAATAGAAAGTTTAATAGAAATTCAATAGAATTTTCCAACGAATTCGATAGGTTTTTCTATAGAATTTCCTCGGCTCAAATTTTCCAAGGTAATTCGTTTGATTTTCTTGATGAGAAGGAAAGAAGAACAGAATGAAAAAAACGTGGAAAGTTTGAGTCGAGTAAATTCTATAGAAAATATATGAAAAAAATAAGTTATATAGAAAAATCGAATTCTGTTGACTTTTTCTATTAAATATTTTCTATTGAACATGTCAATAGAATCAGCCAAAAGCTAATAGAAAGTTTAATAGAAATTCAATAGAATTTTCCAACGAATTCGATAGGTTTTTCTATTAAATTTTTTCGTGCGTGTCGCTGTTCACCGAAGTAGCCCCGGAGAAACAAAAATTGTGAAAAATAATCAAACGCAATATTATCAACGCAAAGGTGTCCGGGGAAGGGTGGCGCACTGATCATGCTTACAGGTAGTTTAAAAATGGCCGCCGCCAGGTAAAACCTATACTCCGTGTGTGCGTTGGCATTAACAAAAGCCACCCAATGGTTATTCCCTGGGGTGAATTAACCCATTGCTCCCCTCTCCCACGATTAAAATTCGGTTAATCAGTGGTTGATAACAGAATGGGGCTCGCAGCACTGCTAAACAGACGGTAGTCCACTCTATTTCGTTTGTTTTCGTTTTTTTCGCGTTTTGTGCGGCTGTCGGCCGATAACATTCCACACGGTTGCGATCTAAAGAGGTAAACCGGAGTGAGTGAGAGGAGGCGAATAAGACGAACCCGTATAAAGATAGAACACCAAATAATCGGTGCTGGACATGGAGTTTATTTGGTGATCCCCGGAAATTTTTGTGAGTAGTTTTCACCCATTATTTTATTGTGCACCTGTATCCACGGGCCCGGGCGCATGACACAAATCAGTCTCACCTGCGGCACCTGAATATGAAATTTTTTTTTTCTCCTGCAAAATAATTGTTTGCACGAAGGCATTTCCATTCGCGAGGGGAAATTGCTTTCTTTTTGCGGTTTTTGTGGAGTTTTTTTATTGTTTTTTTTTTGAGCGAATGTAAAAAGAGCGAATTGTAAAATAGGGGAAATGAGGTAGCTCCAACTGTTTGTACAATTTTTTTCTACACGATTTAATAACGGAGAGATAAGGATTGATGATAATTCATGATAAGTTCATTGATTACACAAGACTGGAAGAGTCTATTTCCCTAGGTGCACATTTTGTTGAATTTTTATGGTGATTTAGACGCCGTAAATTATTGATGTGCATAGCTCAATGCGAGGAGAGTCCTCGGAAGTTTTTTTTTTATTTTGTAAGAAAATTTTATTAAACAACTGGGAATGAAAGCTAGGGCATTCGATGGAAAATTCTGGTGGATTTTTATTGAACTTTTATTCGAAAATCCGAGCACCTTTCTGCGCTTTCTTAAAATGGAAAATATTTTGTAGGACTTTGTGTTTTGTGGACTCATTGGGGTCCTCTTCAGGGTGAATACAATTATAAACAATCTGTGGAAAATAACAGAGAAAGAAACTAAAATTATAGAAAGCAGTTAACTACATAAATTATATATAAATAGTCAAATTGAGAGAAAGATTGCAAACATACCAAATACAATTCATTAGCCCATGACGAGCCTTGTCAATAACAGCCAGATTGTAGTATAAATTATTGCAATCGAAATTATTGGGCTAAAGTTTTTTTCATTCTATTTTTCTTTTCTTCTCATCAAGAAAATCAAACGAAAAAACTTGGAAAATTTGAGCCGAGGAAATTCTATAGAAAATATCTCGATAGAATAAGTTACATAGAAAAATTGAATTCTATTGACTTCTTCTACTGAATATTTTCTATTGAACATTTCAATAGAATCGGCCAAAAACTAATAGAACAGTTCAATAGAAATTCAATAGAATTTTCTACCGAATTCGATAGGGGAGCATGGGGCAAAATGAAACAGTGGGAAAATCTCGTCATCTAAAGGAGATAGGACATTTTTGAAGAGGACCTTTTTTGTAGCTTGTAAAATTCTCTACAAAAAAGGTTTTCATGAAAATCCTCCTATCTCCCTTAGATCACAAGATTTTCTTGCTGTTTCATTTTGCCCCACCGTCCCCTAGGTTTTTCTATTAAATTTTTTCGTCCGTGAATACTTCAAATTTCTTGAAAGGGGATTTTCGATTACACAAGTAATCGTCAATCTACCTACCTCAAATTACTGATTGATAAAATACTTGAAAATTTGAATATTTGAATTGACGATACCCAAGTACTCAAAAAATCTGAAGAGTGATGTGATCTAATTAAGAGCTACAAAAGTAACCGCAATAAAATATTACAAATTCGGCAATCCCTGGAAAAAATGTTATAAAAATGTTATTCCGTTGGAAAACGGCTCTCGGCATCGACTAAATAAAACCAAAAATATTCCTCACCGACTCGACTAAAGTATGATTGAGTCAATGTTTTTCATGAATTATCTCAGTGCCATAAAACGTGTCCTGACAGGAGAGGCTTAGAGAGTACAAATATACTCTCGAGCAGACTTGTTGATGTGGCAAGTCTCCCCAAGACATGTACTCCGTGAATACCAGGAAACTGTGACAAACTCAAGAGCACTTGGAACATTAAAGTCGTAAAAAAAATCCATAACAATACCTATTATTCATAAACTCGTGGTTATCCAACATAAACAATTACCTCAAATGCGTTGGGAGAATGAAGAGTAGATTGCACTTGGGTCCGAAGCGTCTTGCTAAACTCGCTAACAAGGCGAGTTTGCAGTCAGGTACTTGAATCACAGTATAAAAAATTCCAAAAGACCCCCGAGTCAGCGTTTATTTCCACTCAGATCCGGAAGCACATGTGCAAATATTGTCAGATCTCCAAGAGAACAATTTAAATTTGAAAACATAAAAAACCCCCACGTCCTTGGTATTTTGTGAATCAAATCGAGTTGCATAAGCATTTGTCATTCTCTGGCGTGTTCATTCACTTGGGGAAGGCATTTGGTAGAGAATGGGGTTCTGGATGTGGACGGAACGAGGTAATGCCCCCAGTCTGAAGAGTAGAATCAAAAGACGAGAATTTGTTGATGAATTTGTCTAGTGCAATAAATATTGTCCCCTTGTTTATCAGCCAAATACAGCTGCAAGAGTCACAAGCACATAGTCATGGAGCACGCTGATCTGGTATCAGAGATGGTGCACGTCGAGAGACTGACGACACAGGAGAGACTTCACCTGGCGCGTCACCGCAGGCTTCAGCAGTTGAAGGTATGGAGACAGAGGGAGAAGGAGTGGCTGAGGCACCAGACGAGGCACTCCAGCAACAAGAGGAGCATCTACTTCGACGACTCGGTGATGCTTCTGGAGGCAGCTGCCAGGAATGACATTGATGAGGTCAGGAGATTGCTGAAGAAGGGGGTCAATCCGGACTCAACGAATGAGGATGGATTGACTGCCCTGCACCAGTGCTGCATCGATGATAATGAGGAGATGATGAAACTGCTGACTGAATTTGGGGCTAATGTTAACGCTGAGGATAGTGAGAAGTGGACACCTCTGCATGCTGCTGCTACTTGTGGGCATCTCCATTTGGTGAGGTATTTAATCGCCGCTGGGGCTAATTTGCTGGCTGTCAATGCTGATGGCAATATGCCTTATGATATTTGTGAGGACGAGAAGACTTTGGACTGTATTGAAGGTAATTTTTTTATTTAACTGTTTTTAACATCCGATTTTTTCAATTAAGGCCCGGGTGGACTATCTTTCGAACGTTATCTCGATGTTTTTTTTCAACTTTCGTCGTCTGAAATTGTCAATTAAGTCCTGCATCATGCAGAAGTTTTGAAAAGTTATGAATGAATAATAAAAAAAAAGTAGAAAAAATTCATAATTTTCATGCACTCACATTCCCACATTTGAATTCAATGATTATATTGACAACATCAAAACAACAAAACTCAATTTTAATGTAAATTTTTCTGTTGGAGATTTTTTTGATTGAATTTTTTTTCTGAAAAAATTGCGGCAACAATCGCAAAAATTCAGTCAACAAAATCTGCAACAAAAGGATTTTCAGTATAAAACGCATTCAACCAAGGCAGTGTCATCCTTGTGACCCTCGTGACCCTAGTGGCTCCTTTTTTTTATGTGACCCTTGTGACTTCGTGACCTTAGTGACTCCTTTTCTGTGACCCTTGTGACCTTACCTCAAGTTGGGAGAGCACCTGATACATAATCGGAAAGTCTCGGGTTCAAATCTCAGTCTGGACTTTCGAGTTTTTTCAGTAAATTTATCTTGTCATCTAATATTGAGAATTATCCTGCGTCCCCGCATCAGTTCCCCTACTCCAGAATCCTATCCAGCAATATTCAGTGACGCCACAAGATGTAGAACGCTATATAAACCTCCGTCTTCTGTGAAGAATCTCTGTAGTTGAGAAGAAATAATGGAGATGGATTTTTTTCATTATTTTTCCCGTAATCCTGGGGAAAAATGATGCTGCAAACATCAGTTAAATCGTGGCGCCAAAGGAATCTTAATCATGCCAAAAATCCGCCCTCAATCAATCCCTGTGACTGCATTTTCTACTCAATTTTACCTGAACGTTTGCTTTGCCCGCAACCAGGGGAAATGGCTAGTCGAGGAGTGACCCAAGAGCTAATCGACGAGACCCGAGCAGCGACTGAGATGCAAATGCTCGTGGATCTCCAGAAATTAGCATCTGTCGGTGGGGATTTAGAGTACAAAGATCACCAGGGAGCAACACCCGTACGTCTATAATTATCCCTCTCGTTTATCGATTGAGGAAGTGACTGAGTAATCAGGGAAATGGTTTATTCCAGCTCCACATTGCAGCAGCCAATGGCTATCTGCGAGTCGTTGAGTTCCTTTTGGACCAGCACGTTTCCACGGACGTGGAGGACAACGATAAGTGGCAGCCGGTGCATGCTGCTGCCTGCTGGGGGCACGTGAGTCACTTTCTCTTTGAACTGAACATTTTTTTAAAAATAGCTCTACCCTTACGGTAAATTCAAAGATTATTGAGTACTGCAAAAAAATTGCAGAAAACTCGATTAGATTCGGAATTCTAATTTTTTTCTCAATTTAATTATCGTTTTGGTTTTTCAAAGAAGAAATGTGTAAAATCCAGGATTTAACCCAGCGTCTTATGTGAAAATCAACATTTCCATTGTAATCAAAGATTAAAATCTGAATTTTGTTTCATTAGATGTGAAAAAATTAAGAATTTTTTTGACACAAAAAATAATCCACCGTTTTGCAAACAAGTTTTATTATTTATTTATAAGAGGGAAATATTAAAAAAAATATCAGTATTTTGCGAAATTTAATTGAGATAATACTGACTGGGTATGAATTTTTTCAAATTTTTTTCATGCAATTTAGTTGAAAAATTTAAAAACTGAAAATATCCAAAAGTACAGCGTAGCCAGGCCGAAGGGTAGAACTACTTTAAGATTGTTCGATTAAACTTTCTCTTTGAACTGAACATTTTTTTAAAAGTAGCTCTACCCTTACGGTAAATTCAAAGATTATTGAGTACTGCAAAAAAATTGCAGAAAACTCGATTAGATTTGGAATTCTAATTTTTTTCTCAATTTAATTATCGTTTTGGTTTTTCGAAGAAGAAATGTGTAAAATCCAGGATTTAACCCAGCGTTTATGTGAAAATCAACATTTCCATTGTAATCAAAGATTAAAATCTGAATTTTGTTTCATTAGATGTGAAAAAATTAAGAATTTTTTTGACACAAAAAATAATCCACCGTTTTGCAAACAAGTTTTATTATTTATTTATAAGAGGGAAATATTAAAAAAAATATCAGTATTTTGCGAAATTTAATTGAGATAATACTGACTGGGTATGAATTTTTTCAAATTTTTTTCATGCAATTTAGTTGCAAAAATTTAAAAACTGAAAATATCCAAAAGTACAGCGTAGCCAGGCCGAAGGGTAGAGCTACTTTAAGATTGTTCGATCAAACTTTTTCCCCTCAATTTGTGTGGAATGATTTTTCCAGTTGGAGGTTCTCGAATTACTAGTACAAAACGGTGCAGATTTGAATGCTAAGAACAAACACGAAGAGACACCAGCAGGTGATGTGCGATGATAGAAACGTACCTTATTTTTGAAAAATGAAGGATACGAGAAAAAGTTTTTTACAGATATCTGTGAGGATCCGGAGATTAGGGAGCGAATCGTCGAGCTGAAGACCGAGCAGGAGAGCAAGAAACTTCGTGAAGCACAGAGCAGACGTATCCGAAGATCGCAGAGCATAAACACAAGGACGCAGAGTGTCAGGAGAACTTCGATCAGAGATAAAGTGCTGACGACCAAGAAGGATGCGCAGGAGGAGGCGAGGCTCAGGATACAGGCGCAACAGGTAATTTTCATTGAACACTAAGTAGATAAACAACATCATTCAGTCTTCGTAGAGGTATTATAATAATTTTGATCAGAGAACCGAATTACCACAATTTCTAATTAAAGAACTAAATTCTCTCTCCTCTTGATGTGATTAGTCAAACGATAACTCATGCATGCGGATGAACTAAGCTCATCCAATCTGAGGCAAGACTCACAACTTTCGCAACAAAAAAAAATCACAATTCAGTAGCGAAGTGGTCAAACTGTCAATTTTGACTATTGGCCAGTTTTCAATCAGTACCTCGAAATCTAAGGGAGATAGCAAAATTTTGCTCATGACCTTTTTTGTAGAGCGAATTGAGTGCTACTAAAAAGGTTATTACGAAAATTTCGCTATCTCCCTTAAATTCGGAAATATCTCTGGAAAACTCAACTAAAGACTAAATTGAACTTTGACTTGAACCGTTTGACCACTTCGCTACTGAATTTACGTTTCAATTTGTTCTTCATTTTTCTTCTTTCGCGTTTGACGCAAACTTACTGCTGTACGTATATTATAAAACACTTTTTGCATATAAATAGGTTATTCTAAATAAATTTGTTTTTTATGATCTGATCCCATGGATTATTTAATCCCTGAAAAATACTCTTTCAGACTTATGCAGGACCAACATCTACGGATGCACCAACATCAAACAACGCAAACACCCAAGAGGCTAAAACCGATGATCCAGACTCAGCAGCACTGACATCATCAGTACGCCGGGGACCAGAAGGAAAAGACAATGATTCATTCGTGAATGAAGACGTTGACAAAGACACAGGTACAATTGGCAGCTTTTCTTGTTTGCATTGGTTGTGGTTTTGTAGGATATTGTGGTAAGAGGTAGCTTCCGCGAGGTTTTTCGTTTATAAAATCAATCAGTTATTATTTTCCACAAGAATCAACTAAAAAAAACATTTTTATACCGCAAACGTGATAATTAATATCAACAATGTTCAGTGGAATTATTTCATTTGAGAAAGAGACATAAAGATCGATATTTTCGTACGAATAGATATTCCAATAATTTATCTGTGTAAATATCGTCAATGTTTTTTATTCAAGAGATATCCCATCACTCATTCACCTGCTCTCTTTTTTCTTTCTGTTCTGTTACCATCAAAAATGCGTGCGCCTACCCCTCTTCAATCACTCGAACAAAAAAAAATTATCTCAATTAAAAAAAAAATATTCACGAGGTTAGTTTTTTACGTAACTTTCTTATTTCTATAATAACACTGAAGACTAACTATCTATTTTGCAATTGAAATAGTGGAGGAGAGCATTGTAATGCTTGAATATCTTCAGTGCGTATTTTGATCATTGAGATTGCTCTTTTGGCATGGAAAATTCAATTTTTACGTCACTAAAATTGTTTATTTAAAATTGAATAATTCATTGTGCTTGCAAATGAAATTATAATCAATTGAAAATGTTTATTTGTCACATCATGAATACTCGAGCTTAACTGTGAAACCAACTCTAGCTTTTTATCGTTAGCATGATTAGAATTCCATTCATTAGTTTTCAAAATCAAACAGATGTGCATGTTCACTTGGAGAATGTCATTTCACGTACGAAAAAATTTATTCTGTCAAACATTTCATAGAAATATTGATGAAAAATTAATATAATTTTCAAGCGAATTCGTTAAATTTTTTCGTGCGTGTTAATTTAACATTATTTAAATCATTAAACTGTACATAGATATGTTTTCTTCAATTCCTCTCAACACCTATTTGTAATTATAATCATTTAGAAATGACATGTAATATTTATGTCTATAAAAATTGTAGATATGGTTTTTATAACTAATTTATTGAATTAGAAATAGTTATTTAATCACAATAAATAAACAAATGTATTCTGTATATCTCGGCTGGCACAACCTAGAATGGAAAAAAATTGATCAATTAGCAAGAGTCAACAATGCAAGAATGAATGAAAAATTCAGCATGAACTTTTCTGATGAAAAGAAAATTGGCAGATGAGGTTTCTAATCAAGGGATCAGGGATGAAAAGTACAATGAAAATTGGAATCAGTAGATTGATATGTTTGCCTTGGCAGTGACAGGGTCAGACTCACCTGTCGGCAGCCAACAGCCGATATACACAGCTGAGAGTGATGCTAATGGCAAGATCAACATACACGTGTCTGTAGTTTTCGTCAAATCGTTGTCCGATCTGAAGAAACAACGCGCCCAGAGCCGACACACAACGCCAACCCTTGACGCTAATGGCAATGGGGTACCTGTACCTGTATCATCGAAAGCTGATAATGAATTAACGGTCAATGATTTTCATCGGTTCTCGGGAAACACCAGTGACATCATTGGGGATAATCAGAATGAGCAGAGATGTTGCGTTTTAATGTGAGTCTGATTGTTTTTTTGTTGGGGGGGCTAGTGTTAAGGGAGTTTTTTGGGGATGGGATCGTGCGAAGATTTTTTTACACTGTTGGAGATGATTTTGGAACTGGAGGTTTTTTTGAGTTTTAGGAAATTAAGCTGTTGTGAATTAGTGAAAAGTTGAATATTGATTTTGGCTGAAATTTTCAGGGGATTTCGTCACTCGAAATTTAGTGTTTTGTAGAAAAATTAATGGAAATAGGAAATTTTAGGGAAAAATTTTTTGTTCCTCTGAAAAATGCGAGAGAAATATTCACGCCTTCTGGGAAGAAACTCTCATTTCATTCTGATGCCCTGAATAAATCTCAAAATTTATGAAGAACTCTCCCCAATAATTCCATTCGCAAATCTCCAACCCATCATTCAGAAAAAGAAATAATCAAAGAAAATAATTTACCAAATAGACTTGAAATTATTTGTACCGCTGTGCCGAATTCTGTAGCTAATCTCGTTCTCATTTGAATGTCAATTCATCGACTTTTATACACTTCAGTAGAGTAAACATGGGCTTGAATATTTTGACTTCCAACGAAATAATCGAAGATAAAAACTAATCAATGTGATTCTTGAATGGAAATTAGTTATATTTATAGAACGTTCAATTTGCCGTTTATAATTGTTGAAGTATTATTTCTTTTCGATCAGAAGGAAAGTAAGGTTTATCGTACTTAATACGTTGGCTCATTCGATTTGTAAAAATTTATTGAACTCGTTCATCCTAGCATCGTAGCATGAAGGTGCAGTTTTTAATGTTGCACGTACGAAAAAATTTCATAAAAATATTTCTATTCAATTGTTTATTAATTTTCTTACCGATTCTAGTGAAAACATTCCGCAGTTTATTTGCGCATTTTTTTTCAGTATAAATTCTCAATGGAAAATATTCTATAGAAATTGAACAGAATTTTTTTTACCGAATTCGTTAGGTTTTTCTATGAAATTTTTCGTACATGTGGGAGTAAGCATCATTCCGCAGTCTTATCCAACTTGGCACAACTAGAATAAACGTTAGATTTGTAATCAAACGTGCATGTATATAATTTCTACTTCTTATTTATTTTTATGATAAGTAGGTTATTCTATTCCAATGAATTTTCTTAGTTTTTATGAGGAGTTAGCAGCATGTCATTCGCTATATTCACGATAAATTTTGTTCTGTAAATTTTTAAATCAATCTGTGGAATTTTTAATGTTGAAACACAGTATTGAATTGTGTAAAGGTGATTGTTGTGTTGGGATCGTGAAAAATGAATGAAAATTATTGTGATAAAATGGAGGTTTCAGCGTTAGTCATGGTGTTTATCTCTAAATTATGTACAATCGCGTGTAGAAAACATTTCATAAAAAATTCTATTGAACTTTCCATTGGCCACAGACCAATTCTAGGTTTTTCTATTCGATTTTTTTTTCAAAAATTCACTGTTAAAAGCCCTGAGAACTAGTACGAAATCAATCACGTCGCCTTTACACAAGAATTTTTCTATAATTTCGATGCTTGCTACTTTAAGAAAAAAATCGTTGAGACATCCATCTAAGCCTACAGGTATTCTCTCGCCGAGAGCAAATCGCAGGTTGAAAAAAAAAATTGCTCATTCATGATTACTTTAATCGTTGATACATAGTAGTACTTAATGAATAAAAAATTCTATGATCAATTTATAGGAAAATATGTTGGCTCAGTGAGCCGGAAAAGCGTTGTGATTTATAGATGCGCGAAAGCATATTTTTTATAATTTTTATTGAACTTATATAGTATTATAGAGATAATTGTCAATATCTTGCGATCAGCGATTGTAAAACCGAGGAATCGTCGGGGTCGTTTATAGCTCGGTTCTCCTTAATTACATCCTGACACTGTCACAAAATGAACATGATTGATTACAAGATATCAACATCACTCAACTGTGGATTTTTACGAATCTCGAGTCAATGGCACATCGAGTTGATGAATTTCAGAAGTGCTTCGTTGAATATTATGTAAATGGATTACCCACCATTTACTTCTTGTGGAGATATTCCTGAAAATAAAATCTTGGGGGAGAAAACATTTTTCAATATTTATCGCATTGATCAATGTCTGATCAAAGAACAGAATTACTACAATTTCTAATTAAAAAACTGAATTCTCCCGCAGGATTATTTTGTCTAGGACATTTCTTACTAGAATTAAATAACGTGGAAAAAAATAGAAGCCAAAGTCTCTTTCACTTCACAGTTCACGGAACTTTCGAGGGCCTTCATCACCTTGAAAACTTAGTTGAATATGTAATTTAAGCGATTTTCATCAACTTCAAACTCTTCCATAAATCACTTTTCGGTAGCTGAAGGAGCAATTTGTACGAGTAGTGGATTAGCCAAATGAGTATTGATCAAACATTTCGCTGTTTTCATTTCTACTCGTCATTTCAATGTTCATTCCTTCTTAATGTGATTACTCAAACAATAACTAATGATTAAAAGCCATTCGTTTAGTCGATACAGTGTACGATTGTCAAAACATTAATCCAAGTAGTTTCTCATATTAAATGAACAAGAGGTTCAAAATACTATTTAGAAAATAGAAGACATGGAAAAAAAGGAAAAAATTTTGCAATTGCAGGGGAGTTTTTTTCCATTTGAGAGATAACTTATAAAACGTTCAACTTACCGAGTGTCAGGATTTGTGGTAATTTTTCGGGGGAGGAAACAGGCAAAAAATCATCTAGACAACAGTTTCCCAATTGTATTGGAGTCTCAGTCATCACTGTGCATCTAGTTTCCAAACTCGAGAATAATTTATTGGTTAATTACAGTTAATTGGCCCTCTAAAATTACCACTCACAACATATACCGCACGAAACTCGATTGCATCATCCAACGGATATCATTATCCATCAGTGATCAATTACTAAAAACAATAGGATGAACAGAAGCTTTTATTGACTGAGATTAGCATTCCAAATGTTTATTTATAGCGCTAAATAAGTGAACGGCAACATTCCAAGATATAAACTGAATCAAATAACCGGACAAGTCTGTTTCTGTGAATCGAAATAATTTGCCTTTTTTACAAAAAACAAAAATGTTCTTTCTTGTACTTACGAATTATTAAATATTATATTTATGTACTGTATATACCCATACTAATATATTACATATCAGAAGTATTATTTCAATTTTTTTTATTTCGTCATCAGTCGATTACCACAATTCAAATTCCTCAAAAATGATTATTGAGATGATTTTATGAATTGCGCGCATTCAATGAATTTTCTCCAACATTTGCCACTTTTTGCCATATAATAAAACTATTCCCACAGATGGTAGTGCACGATTCATGCCATTGACCTAGATATATTCATGTCACGCACAGAAAGTCTACACTGAGAGAAAAACGACAAAGTTCTCTAACAAGTCTTACTTGTGCCAAGAAAATAGTTTTTTGAAAATTATCAAAAAATAATTTTTTGGTGCCAAATATGGAGAGAGTGCGCCGGAATGAAAAATTTTTTGTCGCAAAAATAGATTTAGTAGTTGAAAAAAAATTGCATTCTCTGTGCACGCAAGAAATGTCATTTCTAGCACTACTCCTTCGTTATTCGATACTCCCATACGTATTTTGCTCCCGAAAAATCTTCGTTTTATGCGAAACAAGGGATAGTAGTTTTTCGTTTCGGCTGTCTAATAATCACAAACAACAAATGAACCCTTAAATGAAACAATAATAATGATATGATAGCAATCTTGTAACTTAGGGATAAAATATTTGTTGATAATTTTTCCTCTATATGAGATATTTTCATCCTGAAAAGGCACCGTCTGGTGTGAATTATCCGCCTCGTGAGCCAGATATTTCGTTGCTGTCGAAAGCAGAGCAATTATTCATGTTTGAGACTTTCAAATTCGAACCAAACAAATTCTTTTTTGGCAATTTTCAACTAGCGATTTTGTTGGCCCAAACAAGATTTGTTTGACAACGTGTTTGCTTTTCTCGAATAAATCATACCCTCGTTATCGTAATTAATTACTTACAATCTTGCCATCGAATCCATCGGTAGTCATTCATAAATTTCCCATCAGCAGTCGTCGCGCGAATCCGAGGGAATGAAACAAATTAATACAAATGTTGTGGCACGTGTCGCCTTGCTATCATCTTTAACAATGAACGAAATACGTTTCAGGTATTTTTGCCGATTAGATATCGCGATTTATCAAACTCTTGTGGGGTTTACACTCATCATCAAACGCATCATCAAACGCATCATCAAACCAGTTCGTTCTTCTTATCACAACTTAATTTTCCACATTTATCGGAAGCGCTGAAACAATTAAGATCAACAATAGACGTTGAGTGATTCGAAGCTAGTATGTAGATCACTTCAATCCGGCTGTGACTCCCGGAGTAGACGATGATAAGACGTGCGGTCGATGGTGCGAAGATGCTGAGTTATCGAGCGTCTCGGATTACATCAGACGAACTCATCTCAATTGTTTCGGTGATCCCTTGAACTCCTCACAATTACCCTTTTTCTGATGCAAGATTCGAGTCTGTTTGAATATTACGAGATTTCCAACACGTGTTGAGGGATATAAATATCCGATACATTTGGGGGGATTGATACGATGAAAATATTCTTATCTAGGTTTAATTCATAATGAAATTACGGGTGACAGGTGAATGGACTGCATTGTTTTATCTCCGCAGAAATATTTATGAAAATGAAATCTTGGGAAATGAAAATGATATGCAATTTTACAATATTTAGCAGAGTATTGCAAAATATTGTCTGATCGAAGAACAGAATGACCACAATTTCTACTTAAAGTAGCTCTATCCTTACGGTAAATTCAAAGATTATTGAAAATTGCAAAAAATTGCAGAAAACTCGATTGGATTCGGAATTCTACTTTTTTTCTCAATTTAATTATCGTTTTGGTTTTTCAAAAATGAATCTAGGTTTAATTCATAATGAAATTACGGGTCGCCAGGTGAATCGACTGCATTGTTTTATCTCCGCCGAAATATTCCTGAAAATGAAATCTTGCGAAATTAAAATTATATGCAATTTTACAATATTTAGCAGAGTATTGCAAAATATTGTCTGATCGAAGAACAGAATGACCACAATTTCTACTTAAAGTAGCTCTATCCTTACGGTAAATTCAAAGATTATTGAAAATTGCAAAAAATTGCAGAAAACTCGATTGGATTCGGAATTCTACTTTTTTTCTCAATTTAATTATCGTTTTGGTTTTTCAAAAATGAATCTAGGTTTAATTCATAATGAAATTACGGGTCGCCAGGTGAATCGACTGCATTGTTTTATCTCCGCAGAAATATTTATGAAAATGAAATCTTGGGAAATGAAAATTATATGCAATTTTACAATATTTAGCAAAGTATTGCAAAATATTGTCTGATCGAAAATTCAAAGATTATTGAAAACTGCAAAAAAATTGCAGAAAACTCGATTAGATTCGGAATTCTAATTTTTTTCTCAATTTAATTATGGTTTTAGTTTTTCAAAGATGAAATGTTAAAAAATCAGGATTTAATCCAGTGTCTTTGTGAAAATCAACATTTCCATTGTAATCAAAGAGTAAAATCTGAATTTTTTTTCATTAGATGTGAAAAAATCGAGAATTTTTTTGACACCTCATAAAAAATAATCCACCGTTTTGCAAACAAGTTTTATTATTTATTTATAAGAGGGAAATGTTTGAAAAAATATAAATATTTTGTTAGTTATAGTTTTTCTATTAAATTTTTTCGTCCGTGCGAATTGTGAGTTCCCGTAATTTTTACTGAACATTTCTCTCGGAGTTCAAAAAAATCAATTTTCTCTTCAATTTTCTCGTCAATTTTGGCTAAACATCCTCAACAAGAGATTCACAATAGAGTTTGAAAAATAGAATACATGGGAAAAACCAAAAGGAGAAAATATTGGGATCCGAGGGAAATAATTGGAAACCACGAATGGAAACATCAGTAATAGCTTTAATATTAATTTCACGAAGTTTACATCAATGCATGAAAGACACCAATAAAACTAAAATAATTGTTTTCAAACATCAGACAACCCTAGTTATAAAACCGATAAGATAACGATGCAGAAACGATGAAAGTCACGGTCATAAAGTTGCACCGTCTCCTCCTCAAGTGCATATTTTAATTTACAATCGTGACAGTCTATTTATACAATTGTTTATTTTTGCACATCCATCGGATTTTCAAAGACGAGGAAACGAGTGCACGAGACTGTTTCAATCCGTTTTCGCGGGGAACTTTTGTTCTTTTTATCTTTTGCGAAATGAGACAGGTGGGGGAGGGAGGGAGGGGGGCGAACCTGTTCGTAATTGGTGCGCCCAGGCGAATTTTGGTGTTACCGAGAAAAACGTTTGACGAATAATTACGCCACGAAGTTGGATCGTGAAGAGGATGATGAAGGAGGAGGATGAGGAAGACGAGTGATTGGTCTCACTCGACGACTACATTGAGAGAAGGAAGGGGAGGGCCTCGATGTGACATAAAAACTGGGGCTGAGGAGTTTGACAGTCAGTTTCGATCATCACGGAGGTCCCGAAGGTTCTCTTCAGAGGCTTCAGCCGACAGTCCAAAGTCTTCGGTGGAAATTTATTTATTTGTGAGTATCTCGAGGGCTCGACAGACTCCTGAGTATATTTATTCACTCGTTCATTGCTCGAATAAGATGGGATTAATTTGCTGCAGATTTTTCGTCGAATTTTATTGGGAGAAGAGAGATGCCGGGACAAGTGGAGGAGCAGAAAGTGAAACGCGCGACATTTGGCATGGGTTGTTTCTGGGCAGGTGATGCACTGTTCGGGGCAACACCTGGTGTTGTTAGAACGTGCGTTGGGTATGCGGGGGGCAGCAAACCTTCGCCAACTTATAAGAATATGTAAGTGTTGAATGCAAATATTCGTTTGACTAGATTATATTATTTTATATTAATTTATTTTATTGTTTTCTTTCCAATTTTTCTTCGCGGTTAGATTAAATTGAATTTAGTGGATTCTATTCCCATTGTAGTGTACAAATTGTGGGAACAGTTTTTCTCATTTTCAAATGAAGAGATATTTGTGTTAAATAATATCAGTATAATATAATAATTCCTCTCGATGAAATCAGATCATGAAAATGAAATTTTTCGTGCAGGGAGAGATGATCAGCAAGAAAATAAAAGAAAACGATTTTTTATTTTTCTGAAAAATTTCAAGACTGTTTTTTTTAATGACGAAAAAATATCAATATGTTTCCTTTTTATGATTTAATTTCAATGGAAGAAAGTGAAAAAAAGAACAGAGATACGTGATCAGCAAGAAAATAAAAATTTCGATTTTTCAACGTCTCCGGAAAGTTTTTAAATTGATATATTTTTTCAAATAATCAAAGAATACCCATCAATTCAATTTCTAAATTGAATTTAGTGGATTCTATTCCCATTGTAGTGTACAAATTGTGGGAACAGTTTTTCTCATTTTCAAATGAAGAGATATTTGTGTTAAATAATATCAGTATAATATAATAATTCCTCTCGATGAAATCAGATCATGAAAATGAAATTTTTCGTGCAGGGAGAGATGATCAGCAAGAAAATAAAAGAAAACGATTTTTTATTTTTCTGAAAAATTTCAAGACTGTTTTTTTTAATGACGAAAAAATATCAATATGTTTCCTTTTTATGATTTAATTTCAATGGAAGAAAGTGAAAAAAAGAACAGAGATACGTGATCAGCAAGAAAATAAAAATTTCGATTTTTCAACGTCTCCGGAAAGTTTTTAAATTGATATATTTTTTCAAATAATCAAAGAATACCCATCAATTCAATTTCTAAATTGAATTTAGTGGATTCTATTCCCATTGTAGTATACAAATTGTGGGAACAGTTTTTCTCATTTTCAAATGAAGAGATATTTGTGTTAAATAATATCAGTATAATATAATAATTCCTCTCGATGAAATCAGATCATGAAAATGAAATTTTTCGTGCAGGGAGAGATGATCAGCAAGAAAATAAAAGAAAACGATTTTTTATTTTTCTGAAAAATTTCAAGACTGTTTTTTTTTTTAATGACGAAAAAATATCAATATGTTCCCTTTTGTTCCCAGAAAGTGAAAAAAAGAACAGAGATACGTGATCAAAGATGAAAGCGATAGCAAGAAATAAAAATAAAGAAAATCTAAAACAATGAGTTGGAAAGAAATTGATTCAATTCAAGCAACTAAAATAGGCTATGAATAATATACAATGCAAAAAATAAGCAAAATGACCGTTCGGAAGCATATTGCTAATTTATTAGCAAAAATAACTTGGGGAGAATAGGGTAAAATGGACATTTTAGACTTTTTTTAAATTGTGCATAACTCAGAAACAAATTTATCCATTGAGTTCAGGTTAGGCTCGTCACAAAGGGAAAGAATTGTTCCTTGTATTGAAAGAAAAATTATTAAATTTCTTCGACATTTCAACCCCTCATTAACAGTTTAAAAAAAGTCAAGTGTCCGTTTTACCCCAACCTCCCCTATACTATACGCAATACAGGAGCAACTTCTCACTTGTTTTAGAGACATTGAATATTTGAATATTTCTCAGTCTTCACGAAAGAAATATTTACGAAATTTGGTGATTTTGTAGTGAAAAAATGAGAATTTAGTCTGATAATTTCAGGAGAATGAAAACTTCAATTCGTCGAGACGTGTATTTTTTTCGAACATGAACCATGAACAATATTTCATTTATAAAATCCATAAATATGAGTATCCCCACTGGTACCAAAAATTCTCTCCCATTAGTTTTCAATTTTAATCGAAAAGCCTCGTGTGAATTGAAATCTTACAAACAAAATAATCTCGTTCACAGAGGTGATCACACTGAGGTCATCGACATCGAGTACAACCCATCAGTGATCTCCTTAAATCAGTTACTTAGCTTGTTTTGGAACAACCACGAGTACGGTCTCACAACGAAGATCAAGGCCCAGGTAATTCATAACTCCACATTCCGCATGTCGTAGTTATGCTAATTATTTCCTGTTCACGTGTATGTCGACGAGAGCCATCAGCAGCGATCTCATTATATAATCGATCTATAAATAATGACGCGCACGACGTGACTCGACTGTTGTGATGAAATAGTGATTAATTCAATAGCGAAGTTGTAAAACGGTTTACGTCGACTTATCTCCGACTTGAGATTTTGATGAATATTTCCGAATCTAAGCGAGATAGCAAAATTTTCGTTATTACATTTGTTGTAGCTCTCAATCGGCTCTACAAAAAAGGTTATAACAACAATTCTGCTAGCTCCCTTAGATTCCGAGATATTCATCGAAAACTGGTCAATAGTCAGAATTGATTGGACCGTTTTACCACTTCGCTACTGAACTCGTCTGGGAATCGAGCTCAACGGTTTATGCGTAATTGTAAATATCCGGTATTTGTGCTTTCAGTATGCATCGTTGATTCTTTATCACGGTGAGGAGCAGAAGGCGATAGCCGAGAAGTCTCGCATTCATGAGCAACGAGAGCGTGGGGAACATTTGACCACTGATATCAAGGCTTTTGAGAAGTTCTATCCCGCTGAAGAGTGAGTATTTTTCAGCTATTGGGGAGGGTGGGGTAAAATGGACACTTTTGTCATTCTCCCAATGTTCATAAGTCAGAAATAATTCAGTAGCGAAGTGGTAAAACGGTAGAAGTCAATTTCACTATTGACCAGTTTTCAATGAATATCTCGGAATCTAAGGAAGATGGCAAAATTATTGTTATAACCTTTTTTGTAGACCCGATTGAGAGCTACAACAAATGTGATTACGAAAATTTCGCTATCTCCTTTAGATTTCGAGATATTGATCGAAAACTGGTCAATAGTCAAAATTGACTCATCTCCTTTTACCACTTCGCTACTCAATTGACGTGAGCATTTCGTATGTCGTAACTAATGCATGCAGATGAACTCAGCTCATCCAATCTGAGGGAAGACTCATAACTTTCGCAAAAAAAACACAATTCAGTAGCGAAGTGGTAAAACGGTAGAAGTCAATTTCACTATTGACCAGTTTTCAATGAATATCTCGGAATCTAAGGGAGATAGCAAAATTATTGTTATAACCTTTTTTGTAGACCCGATTGAGAGCTACAACAAATGTGATTACGAAAATTTCGCTATCTCCTTTAGATTTCGAGATATTGATCGAAAACTGGTCAATAGTCAAAATTGACTTATCTCCTTTTACCACTTCGCTACTCAATTGACGTGAGCATTTCGTATGTCGTAACTAATGCATGCGGATGAACTCAGCTCATCCAATCTGAGGGAAGACTCATAACTTTCGCAAAAAAAACACAATTCAGTAGCGAAGTGGTAAAACGGTAGAAGTCAATTTCACTATTGACCAGTTTTCAATGAATATCTCGGAATCTAAGGAAGATGGCAAAATTATTGTTATAACCTTTTTTGTAGACCCGATTGAGAGCTACAACAAATGTGATTACGAAAATTTCGCTATCTCCTTTAGATTTCGAGATATTGATCGAAAACTGGTCAATAGTCAAAATTGACTTATCTCCTTTTACCACTTCGCTACTCAATTGACGTGAGCATTTCGTATGTCGTAACTAATGCATGCGGATGAACTCAGCTCATCCAATCTGAGGGAAGACTCATAACTTTCGCAAAAAAAACACAATTCAGTAGCGAAGTGGTAAAACGGTAGAAGTCAATTTCACTATTGACCAGTTTTCAATGAATATCTCGGAATCTAAGGAAGATGGCAAAATTATTGTTATAACCTTTTTTGTAGACCCGATTGAGAGCTACAACAAATGTAATTACGAAAATTCCGCTATCTCCCTTAAATTCGGAAATATCCCTCAAAAACTCAACTGGGAGATAAGTCGACTTGAACCGTTTTACCACTTCGCTACTGAATTGTATTTTCCGGAGAAAAAAAATCACTCCATTCCATCGAAAATTAAATGAACTATTGAAAAAAAAAGATTGAAATAGGATATTGGGCATACCTACAGATAACTCCGATCTGAATTGTCACCTGTCCCGAGAAAACCGAAGACTCAGTATCGGATGATTTATTTGATAACTGCGGAAATGATTTGAAGTACCGCTAGCTAAATTACTCAAGCAGATTACTGTCATCGTTCACTGAGATAAAGTGTGAGTGTCTAGTTATCGAGACATTGACATTCTGTCTGGCGTCTCTTATCAGGCGCCTCAGGCACCATCTCAACTATTCTATGGAGTTGTCACTTCCGTTGACGAGGGTTTGATTTATGATGGTACTGTTAGAAATTTTGGTCCTTGAATTCTTTGGGTTCTGTGGATTCTACGATTTCATTAGTCAATTATTTTTCATTATATTCCATAACATGGCATTATACTATATTCTATTATCATTATTGTGTGGGACATCAGACGTTCGTGATCATTCACATACGAATCAATTCCACAGGAGAACCTGTCGAGAGAAATAAAATTTAGTAGAAAAAAATTATAAAATTCAGGCCGCGGAATTTCTATTAAAAAATGCTTTAATAGAATTTTTTATCAGTTTTTTGTGCGTCATTTCCTCTACAAGATAATTCTAATAATGTAATAATAATAATCATTGGAATAATCTAGTCTAACAGTCATTTAGACTAGAATAAATACCTACGAAATAAGAATTCGTCAAGCTAATGAAATGTCGAATTTAAATTTCAGTTACCATAAAAAATATCGTTTGAGATCCCACCCCTGGCAATTCAGTAGCGAAGTGGTAAAACGGTAGAAGTTAATTTTGACTATTGGCCAGTTTTCAATGAATATCTCGGAATCTAAGAGAGATAGCAAAATTTTTGTGACAACCTTTTTTGTAGACCCGATTGAAAGCTACAACAAATGTTGTTACGAAAATTTCGCTATCTCTTTTAGATTTCGAGATATTGATTGAAAACTGATCAATAGTCAAAATAGTCAAAATAATTATAGAATTCATGCTGCGGAATTTCTATTAAAAAATGCTTTAATAGAATTTTTTATCAGTTTTTTGTGCGTCATTTCCTCTACAAGATAATTCTAATAATGTAATAATAATAATCATTGGAATAATCTAGTCTAACAGTGATTTAGACTAGAATAAATACTTACGAAATAAGAATTAGTCAAGTTAATGAAATGTCGAATTTAAATTTCAATTACCACCAAAAATATCGTTTGAGATCCTACCCCTGGCAATTCAGTAGCGAAGTGGTAAAACGGTAGAAGTTAATTTTGACTATTGGCCAGTTTTCAATGAATATCTCGGAATCTAAGAGAGATAGCAAAATTTTTGTGGCAACCTTTTTTGTAGACCCGATTGAAAGCTACAACAAATGTTATTACGAAAATTTCGCTATCTCTTTTAGATTTCGAGATATTGATTGAAAACTGATCAATAGTCAAAATAGTCAAAATAATTATAGAATTCATGCTGCGGAATTTCTATTAAAAAATGCTTTAATAGAATTTTTTATCAGTTTTTTGTGCGTCATTTCCTCTACAAGATAATTCTAATAATGTAATAATAATAATCATTGGAATAATCTAGTCTAACAGTGATTTAGACTAGAATAAATACTTACGAAATAAGAATTAGTCAAGTTAATGAAATGTCGAATTTAAATTTCAATTACCACCAAAAATATCGTTTGAGATCCTACCCCTGGCAATTCAGTAGCGAAGTGGTAAAACGGTAGAAGTTAATTTTGACTATTGACCAGTTTTCAATGAATATCTCGGAATCTAAGAGAGATAGCAAAATTTTTGTGACAACCTTTTTTGTAGACCCGATTGAAAGCTACAACAAATGTTGTTACGAAAATTTCGCTATCTCTTTTAGATTTCGAGATATTGATTGAAAACTGGTCAATAGTCAAAATAGTCAAAATAATTATAGAATTCATGCTGCGGAATTTCTGTTAAAAAATGCTTTAATAGAATTTTTTATCAGTTTTTTGTGCGTCATTTCCTCTACAAGATAATTCTAATAATGTAATAATAATAATCATTGGAATAATCTAGTCTAACAGTGATTTAGACTAGAATAAATACTTACGAAATAAGAATTAGTGAAGCTAATGAAATGTCGAATTTAAATTTCAGTTACCACCAAAAATATCGTTTGAGATCCCACCCCTGGCTCCTCGAGTCCCTCGGCCTCACCTCGGACGAGCTAATCATAACATCTCCCCTAGCTGCCAAACTGAACGGTTATGTAGCTGGTGCAGCAACCCTAGAGCAATTCGAGAGTGACCCTTTGTGCAAGGGTCTCAATGAGAAACAGTATCAGTATTTGAAGAAGTGCATCATCGAGACTCAAGGGGCCGGCCTTTACTGCTAGCTCCACGAGAGAAAAAAATAAGAAGAGAAAACTGTGGACTCAACTGATGCAATCATCGACAGAGTTTAAAATGTATATTCATTATCATTCTTTTAAATCCAGTTTCACATCACTCAAAATATTCCAGGGGAGATTTATAATGTTTGAGAAAGGCTGTGAAAACAAGAATATTGAAAATTTATCAGACGCATTCTCCCTTCCTTTGCTGAAGATTAACGACTCTTTGGTTTAAACAATTACTCATTCATTAATACCCGTTCGTGTCATTATTTTTATCGTTTTGTTAACGTTGAAGTTGTTCTTAGTCTTTAGGTGAATTATCTCGGAAGAATAACAGTAATTAGGATTTAATCAAGCCTGTGTATTATTAGGTGAATTTTTACTCAACTTTGTGAATAAATTCTACAATAAAAATAATGGAGCTGTTAATTCCCTACATTACTTTATTGAAATCTTTGCTGTGTTTGCCGGAGAAACCCAATTTGCTCGTGCGATAAAGGCGGCTGTAAATTATATGTCGCACGTGACAGCGTAATTGCAGGTGTAAAGTTGTTGCAGAGGCAATTTAGAGTTTAACAGGGGGATTTGAAAAAGTGTAAAAGTTCAATCGCTGGTGATGTTTGGAGGAATACGGGAGATTAAGGGATCAGAATTTTTTGTATTGACTCAATTTACATTTGCCCTCATACGAAAATTCAATTGCTTAAGGTGAAGAGTAATAATAATTAATAATCGTGAATTTTCCTTCTAAACAATATGAATTTCTCCAGTTTCTCTCTGAATTTGTTGTTCAAAGTCATGAGAGTTGAATATTAAGGTCCGGTCTGTGCGGGTAGTAACTTTTTTTGTAACTTCCCTCCTCCCCCGTGTTTTGCGGCCGACTCCGAAGCTTCATATCAAAATTTGCACAATTTCAAAATTGCAGGTGTAAAGCAGGGATATTAAATTTCTGTAATATTACAAGGATTTGACCCTTACATTATTGAAGGTTTAAAATATGTTGATTCAATTTTTCGAATAATATAATATTAATAATCTGATTTTTTACGAATAATGATATATTTAAAATTTGTTAATATGAAACTGTAAATTTACTACTAAATGAATAATTCAAATTTCTTGAAAGGGGATTTTCAATTACACAAGTAATCATAAATTTTCCTACTTCGATTATTCGTTGATAAAATAGTTGAAAATTTGAATATTTGAATTGATGATATTTAAGTGCACAAAAAATCAGTTCCGTAAAATTTCCTACAACCACATTTCGCTCCGGAATTACGGAAAAGATACGTAATTTTTATTGAATATTTCTCTCCGTGTATTTGATTTGTGAATTTTCTATCCTATTCTAGGATAAAATTGAATTTGTCGATTTCCCCATTACCATAAATGAATAACGAACGGATCTGCTCTATCAACGATCCACGCAGAGGAAACCTGAGGTACCAACGTCACTGCGATCACAGATGGCGCAGAATGTTCCAATCGCGGAATTCATCTTCGAAATATTCGAATTTAAATTAATCTCACCACTCCGACATCTTCCGTAAAACATTCAACCACTCTATCAATTACGCCGAAACAAAGAGTATTTTACGTTTATAAAAAATACGAAAACATCATCATAATTTACGACGATTTTGAGCGTAATTTACGATTCCGAAATAGTAAATTACGTTTATGAAACCCTAATTTACGTTTATAATTGTTGTAAATTACGATTTATAATCGTCGTAATTTACGATTTCGCGATCGAAAATTAAATTCTCAAAAATACAAAAAAATCATCGTAATTTACGACAATTTTGAGCGTAATTTACGCCCCAAGTTCAAGCGTAAAAGACGACTTCTCAAACGCAATTTACGTTTAGGTTTTTTTGTGCGCCCGTATGAAAAAATCGTATAGAAATTTTCCATACGAATTATTTCGACTCATAAATGTTTCCATAAATTTTTGTTTGCATACGAAAGATGTCCAAACACTCCAGAGAAAAACGTAGAGAAATGTCGCAGGTCCATACAAAAAATTTCTCTACATGTGGCAGTGGGTCGTAGAGGATCAAACCTATGGAAATCGTCCAGATATAATTTCTATGAAAATATCCGTACAGAAATATCCGAATATCACATACGAAAATCCTATAGCAATTCTGTAGGCGATCCATGCAGAAAATTTCTATACGATTTTTTCATACGCGATCTGGCGCATGGCTAAGACACACATTTCTATTGATCGACTGCGCGATTCGCTCCTCCACCATGGAACTTCTCTCCCCTCTCACAATATCAGCGTTCTCTCTAGCACGGTGAAATCCTACTGTCAAAGGACTGTCAAGTGTGTAGAAAAACGACTCCTGCAGGTCCCACCGTCATCCTCGCCTCCTGCACTGGTGTTCTCGATAAATCATCATGATTCACTCAATCATTTCCAGAAAATTCGTCATTCTCTGTGAGTAATTAGATTTTCTTATCGTTCGAAGGATTGTCGAAGAAAAATCACGAGGGAAATCCTGGATAAAAGATTTTCTACTCTGAATTGACTCACAACTTATTAAATTTTCATTCAAGGGTGCCTCTTCTCCACTACCCTCAGCGTACCCTCATCATCGCCGAAGAAAAGTTACGACGAATTATACACGACGAGTAGACCCAGCAGGACAATCGTAGAATTGAAAATTACTCCCCGGCCAATAGTAAGTTGAATGAAAAAATACTGGAGAAATGTCACACCTAAAACCGCCACTTCTGTGCCAACTACGGAAATCGGAATCGCTTGCTCAAGACATGCAAGTGAATGAAATTGCAGTTGAATTTTCACTTTGAAAAGTAATAGAAGAAGAGGACACAGTTGTCAGACTACATAGGGACAATCGACACCCCGTGGACTCTCTCCCTATTACCTCACTCGCACGTCACGAGTTTACTCAGATGCTACTGCTCCCATTCACCTGTTCGTGAGTGGGCTATGACCACACCTACACATTCCACGAAATGTGATATGCTAAGTACCGAGCCTCCGTATTGGTTTTCTAAGGGTGCAAGTTATTCCAACAGTAAATTGAATTAAATAAACATCATGCGATGTTGTTGACTCTTGAGGTCAATTCCAGATGGGTTCGTGGATTAGTTCAAGGATTAATGATGAACTTCAGGGGTTGCCATATCCATTAAATTCAGGGGTTGCCGTATCCAATAATTCAGTAGTGAAGTGGTAAAACGGTATAAGTCAATTTTTTTTATTAACGCCTCTGGATCCAGGGATGGGTCCATTCGGCTTAAAAAAAAAATTAGTACATCATTTAGTACAACGAGTCTTGTTTTAGCATATTTTATACTTTGATTTTGCAATTTTTCAAAAACTTGGAAATACATTTGATATCTTTGTAATTCATGACATTGAGAATTTTTTGTATAAGTCAATTTTGACTATTGACCAGTTTTCAACAAATATCTCGGAATCTAAGCGAGATGGCAAAATTTTTGTTATACCCTTTTTTGTAGAGTCGATTGAGAGCTATAACAAATCAGTAGTGAAGCGGTAAACCGAGTTAAGTCGATTTTGACTATTAGCCAGTTTTTGCTGAATATCTCGGAATCTAAGAGAGATAGCAAAATTTTTCTCATGACCTTTTTTATAACGCTCTATTGGCTCTACAAAAAAGGTCATGACAAAAATCTTTCTATCTCTTTTAGATTCCGAGATATTCGTCAAAAACTAGCCAATAGTCAAAAACGACTTAACCCGGTTTACCGCTTCGCTACTGAAATGTAATTACGAAAATTTCGCTATCTCCGTTAGATTCAGAAATATTCCTCAAAAACTCAACTGGGAGATAAGCTGACTTAAACCGGTTTACCACTTCGCTACTGAATTTTACTAGAAGAAATTTCAAGAGGAAAATTCAACCAAAAAACTTGAAATCTATTGACTTTTTCCTATCGAATATCTAATAGAATCTGCGCAAAAAAAAAACGATTCCACCGAGAATTCCCTCGAATTTCAATGGAATTTTTGTTTTTATTAGGATTTCAATGGAATTCCCATAGAATTTCCAGAGAATCAATAGAATGTTCAAGCGAATTCGCAAATTCGTTCAATATCAATTCGTTTCTTTCAGCCGAAGAGTATGGGCTTATTGAAGACTACAACCGGTGAGACTTCGACTACCACAGCAGCCCCGCAAGCTCCCAAAATATTGTCGGGAGGTCCAGTCCTTTATAGGCTCAATAGCCCCGATGGACGTGCATGTATTCTGCTTCAAGTGGATGCACTTGTTTCTGCCAAGTATCGCACAACCTTTGGCGACGAGCGCACCGCAAATATTTATGTACCAGATGATGCCACTGTCACTGGAAACTGTGAGAAGGAGAACTTTGTCACTATGTCACTCAAGTGGGATGCTTATGTGTTATCCTGGAGCTTTGCTAAGGTTGGTTCATCTCCTTTCTTCCCCTGAGGGGAGGTTCACCTCGGGAAAAAATCCTTTGCATTTTTCAAGAAAAGAACTTCAAAAACACAAAATATATTCCCCACGAATATATTACAGATCGAAACGTTGGAATTGAATCTAAAAAATCATGAAAACAATAAATGCTTGAGGATTTAACGATTATGCGGCCTAATGGGTTGAAACCCCCCACGAATTTCATTATATATTCTACTTCTTCATTGAATAATTTTGTTGTTAAAAGAAAATGAACTTTAGTCGAATATCTATGCGTATTATAAAAATCCAAATTGACTTCTGATGATAAAAATTTGGTACTCGAAATTAAGACTTCAAAATTAAGAATTACAAGGGTCTTGAGGGTTTAGAATAAGGGTTATGAGGGTCAGAATAAGGGTCATAAGGGTCACGAGGGCTAGGATATGGGTCACGCGGGTCAGATTAAAGGTCACAAGGGTAGAATAAGGGTACAAATAGGGGTGACAAGGGTCAGATTAAGGCTTATATGGGTCAGGTTAAGGGTCACAAGGTTAAGGGTCATATTGAGGGTCCGAATAAGGTTAACAAGGATCAAAATAAGGATCATGGGCGTCATATGCGGATCATATGTGGGTCTAATAATCTCATATGTGGAAATAAGAATTATGAGGGTCAGAATAAGGGTCATAAGGGTCATGAGGGCTAGGATATGGGTCACACGGGTCAGATTAAAGGTCACAAGGGTAGAATAAGGGTACAAATAGGGGTGACAAGGGTCAGATTAAGGCCTATATGGGTCAGGTTAAGGGTCACAAGATTAAGGGTCAGATTGAGGGTCCGAATAAGGTCAACAAGGGTCAGAATAAGGATCATGGGCGTCATATGGGGAGCATATGCGGATAATATGTGAGTCTAATAATCTCATATGTGGGAATAAGGGTCGTGAAGGTCAGAATAAGGGTCATAAAAGTCGGAATAAGGGTCATGAGGGTCAGAATAAGGGTTACGAGGGTACAATAAGGGTCCAAATAGGAGCCACAAGGGTCAGATTAAGGCCCATTTGGTCAGGTTAATGGTCACAAGAGTAAGGGTCAGATTGAGGGTCCGAATAAGGTCAACAAGGGTCAGAATAAGGATCATGGGCGTCCTATGGGGATCATATGGGGGTTAGCGAGCGAAGCGAGCGGGGAGTGTAGCCCCCTAATCCGTAAAATAAAAAGTTAAATTTTATGAAGTCAACAATTAGAATGTTTCTGAAACGCCATCCTATTTTCATTGAAAAAAATAAATTCATCAGGCATAGAACATTTCAAACAGTTTCACTGAAGTCATAACTCAGAATATAAACGGTGTAAATAATCCTCCATTTGTTTCCAGACTCCGGGGGGTGAGAGGTGGTATGTCGATAAAATCGAGTTGACTTATAACTCCAGTGACCGCCACTTCGAGCATATCGATCAACCCAGTAAGTTGAATAGATCTCAGGCGGGATCGTATGAGTGAGCTTGAATGAAAAATTTGGGTTTCAGATCTATCGACGATTTTTAATTCAGTAGCGAAGTGGTAAAGCGGTTTAAGTCGACTCATCTCCCAGTTGAGTTTTGGAGGAATATTTCCGAATCTAAGGGAGATAGCGAAATTTTTGTAATTACATTTGTTGTAGCTCTCAATCGGCTCTACAAGAAAGGTTATAACAAAAATTTTGCTATCTCCCTTAGATTCCGAGATATTCATTGAAAACTGTTCAATAGTCAAAATTGACTTGTACTGTTTAACCACTTCGCTACTGAATTACTTTCTAAATCACCTGATTTCTTTATGATTTCTACTGATTTCCGGTGATTTCTAGAAGTCATTAGCAATCGCTACCGGAAATGGTAATCACTTGATTTTCAGTGATTTTTGGTGATTTCTTCCTTGAGTTCCAATCAAGTGATCCGTTTCCTGAGTACCCGGAGTGCTAGATTTTTCTATCATTTTTCCATGTGATAACACTACAAATATTAATGTCTGAATTTCACACACTTTTTGTGGACCTTTTTCAGGCACTACAAAACGCCTGAATGAAATGAAAATTCGTCTGAATTTCAGACATGAATTAAGATGTTTGGGCGCCTGTTCGTCTGAAATTTAGACAGTTTCATTCAGACGTTTTTGAGTGTCTGAAAAATGTCTCCAAAAGGTGTGGGAAATTTAGACATTCGTTTTTGCTGTGAATGCCAATGGTCAAATACCCCCTTTTAAAATTGCAGAAAAAACAGTTCGACTCAGTACCAATCAGAAATACAATCCAACGCTGTTTCCAACCCCCGTTGGGAAGTCCTTCACCTGCGAGGAGATTGATCTTCCCCTTTCAGATGGAAAAAATAATGCCACCCTTGAACTGAGGTAATTGATACTTGAATTGCAAAAGTTTACACTCCCAGCAATGGAACTGTAATGGAATTTTAAAGTAAATAATTACTTGCCACAGAGAAATACAACTGCAGCCATTCAAGTTCAAGACTAACGACTTTGCCGAGTCTTTTTCCTGCAAATCATTGAGCGCACGAGCCGGGAGGGATGAGACAGCACCGGTGGCTGTTGGATCGACCCTGGCCGCTGCGGTACTCTTAACTATCACTGGCTATGCTGGATGGCGATACTTCAAAATTAAAAAGGTCAAGTACGATACGATGGAGTAAATTTTTACTGTTAAAACTCAACGGAACAGACGTCAAAATGAGATACTAAATTCCTAAAATTCTTGGCCTTAGTTTTAATCGACATAGAATTCATATAGATTTTCGAATACAACTGAATATTAGGACTATGTGGACTTATGGATAAAAATCATACTTCAACTGCTCGTTGAATTCAAAATTGTCAACATTAAAATAAGAAATTACACTGAAATGAAAGAATTTTCATTATGCGAATCGTCAGTGGTTCGAGTTGAGAAAATTGGTTGTAGTTTCTACTAAGAGTTGCGTTTAAAATTCGTATCTATAAATTAATATTTATAATCCATTAATTTATATCCACGCGACGTTTCTTCCTATTTTCATTCTGATGTGAATACTTTCCACGTTTTGTGAGCATCACAATATGAATTATTATGCCAGTGTAGTTATACGTGCTGCATTAATTATCTATTGTTGTTAGTTTAAATAACTTTTATTTAATGAATTGTTTGGTGGTAATTTTTCTAAATCCCTCAGATCACACATAATGATGAGTTTTTTCTCTTTAGTTGCATTGAATCATCGAATCAATTTTCTATGACATTCTATTTTCCTTTTTTTCTCAATAGTTTTCAATTTTCATAAATAAAATAGTCAATACGATTTAGAACTGATTGGAAAAATTAGTTGCTAATCAACTCTAATTGAAAACATCACATATAATAATATGATTGAAAAGAGTTCTTTAGTTCTCTTGAATTATTGCGTCAATTTTCTATTAAATTCTATTCCTCCTTTTTTGTCAACATTTTTAAAATTTTCATAACTGCACAATAATCATCAATACAAAGTATCTGAAAATTTTTATATTTCGTGGGGCAATGATGAGTTATAAATAATTGAACAATTGAAATTTTTACTAATTACGATGAAAAAATTGGGTATTGTTCAAATTGACCTCTCATCAAACTTCCACCACTTCCGTTTACTAAAACTAGAAAATTTCTCTCATAAAATAGTCAATACGATTTAGAATTGATTGGACAATCCAATTGCCTGAAATCAATTAAATTGTAATTAATTACCAAATAATATTAATTAATGATTAATTATTTTAATTAATTAATTAATTGAAATATTAATAATATCAATTAATATTATTATTAATGACATTAATTGCCTGAAATCAATTAAATACTAATTAATTACCAAATAATATTTATTAATTATTAATTATTTTAATTAATTAATTAATTGAAATATTAATAATATCAATTAATATTATTATTAATGACATTAATTGCCTGAATTCAATTAAATTCTAATCAATTGTCCAATCAACTCTAGTTAAAAACATTGATTCGTTTGTTATAAGCGAAATACAAGAAAATCGCAAACTCCAATGGTTGTATGGATACTAAAAAATATGAAGAACAGTTGTGAACAGACAACGTGCGTACCACGTTTTTTATCATAGTGAACAATCATCAACCCTCTCATGCAAGGACGCCAAAGACAAAATCGATGTGAGTGAAGTAGAATGCGTGTGTTCACAGAGGGAAAAATTTAATAGAAAAACCTATCGAATTCGTTAGAAAATTCTACTGATTTCTATTGAACTGTTCTATTAGTTTTTGGCCGATTCCATTGAAATGTTCAATAGAAAATATTCAGTTGAAAAACTCAATAGAATTCATTTTTCTATATAACTTATTCTATTGAGATATTTTCTAAAGAATTTCCTCGGCTCAAATTTTTCAAGTTTTTTCGTTTGATTTTCTTGATGAGAAGACAAGAAAAATAGAATAAAAAAAACTTGGAAAATTTGAGTTGAGTAAATTCTATAGAAAATATATGAAAAGACTTTTTCTATTGAATGTTTTCTATTGAACATGTCAATAGAATCAGCCAAAAACTAAGAGAAAGTTCAATAGAAATTCAATAGAATTTTCTAACGAATTCGGTAGGTTTTTCTATTAAATATTTTCGCGCGTTTTAGACCGTTGTAGGAAATTCAGGGTGCGCCACAGCCTGAAGGACGAGCACTTCGTGCATGAGGGAGTTGAAGAAAAAATTATTTAGCATCGTCAATATCAGCATATCAAAACACTAATTGTGATGAAAAAAATCTCATTGCCTACGTTTCATCAGGTATGAAATAATGTATTGTACAAGTGCTTAAGTGGCAGTTTTCCATGCGCAAGTAGAGCATATCATGCCCATCACTAGTGTATAAAGTGATATTTTCTGCACTTCGTGATGAACAATGTCGTTCTATTAAATTTTCACTCGTTGGAGGTAACATCATTGAGGCAAAATATGGTTTGACACATGTGCGGCGCTCGTGCACCGATAGAAAGGATTTGTTATTGTTAACGAATGGATTTGGTTGGAGCCGAGGGTCTATCCGGTCTCACCAAATGTTCATTCATTAATAGTTAACGAAATATACTGCACCGATAGAATGCCGCATTTATTCCAAATGAGATTCGTTAACTATTAACGAGTGGTAAAGTTGAATATGACCAAATAAAAATGCAAATATAAAAAATATTCGTTAATTAATAATCAAGTAATATAGTTCAGTAATATGATCGTATTATTTTTGCTCATTTCAATATAGTTAACGAATGGTTCACTTGAAAGGTGAAAGCCGAGTCAAACAAGACTTCTCAATATGCATTCGTTAACTATTAACGAATGAACATTTGGTGAGACCAAATAGGCCCTGGCCTTCAACCAAATCCATTTGCCAACAATAACTAATCCTGTCTATCAGAGCATTCACTTTTTTGGGAGAGAGTAGCCAGATTTTTTTTCTCTTTCTGTCGGGAATGTGTGACGTTTAAAGTCGTGTGAAAGTTTAGCTTTACGCACTTGAATTTGGTTTACGTGGCCCGAAAAAACGAGGACTTTAGATCCGCTGAACATATCCAAAGGGGAGAAACGGTATCCGGTTAATTCATCCCAGGATAATTCATCCCAAACAATTTCATCCCAAGACAAATTCATCCCACGACAGTTTCATTCAATTTTTTTATTATTACTGTTTGGATGAAGAATACGCTTGGCTGAAGCGCGTGACTTATCGGATTAATTTTCAGGTTTTGTACTGATTTTGTAAATTGATGCTGTGGTCTGTTACTTGTGGCCTATCTGGCGAATGTTAGTTGAGATGGATAAGAATGATTTGACCGTTTTTTTGCAATGTTTCCTGTTAATCCGTTGATCGGTTGTGTAAACAATACTACGAGCGAATCGTGAAGTATCTGATTGATTTTGATGTTGTGTTCAGTGCCTTTTTCCTGGGAAAATGAAGTTAATATTTTTCTCTCCCTGAATTATTGTTGTGACCGTGAAAAATTCCATTGGAATTTGATGTTTGGGATGAAATTGTCGTGGGATTAATTTGTTTTGGGATGAATTTATTTGGGGTGAGTTGGCCGGGATGAATTCACCTAGAACCGGAGAAACTATTCAGGTCGATATGGAATCGGTAGAGAATCCAAGCGCTTCCGGTGCGAAAATCTATCGTTTTTTCGCCGAGTCCTATTGACGTCTATCGGAAAGTTCAATAGCGACGAAATATGTAAAAAATGTTCTATTGAGAACTTGTTGACAGAAGGTCAGGCTGGAATGATTCTTCAAAGTTACTCCTTAGATTTTACAATGTTTTTAGAGAATATATTTCCAGCATCTTATTTCACAGAATTTCCTGGCGGAAGCGCTCGCATTTACCGTTGAATTTTTCTTATGCGTGATTATCTGTACAAAAATATCTAACAAACAGTAAACGTATTCATCTCCAAGCGATGTGAATTAATCCCGGAATCAGGGATTTTTGGAGAAATAAAAACACTATGATGTAATTGTCAAGGATACGACGTTTCGCTAAATTCGTACAAGATACTCGACAAAGGTTCTAGAATAGAGTGGGAATGCAGTTGAGATATTGCAGAAATTTTTGGAAACATGCACCTACGATCTAGAACTTAATTGCACATTAATTGAATTTCAAAACGAATGGGCACTCGTTACAGTTCTTAAAAAAAATTAAACGCATTGTTCATAAAACTTGGTAAAATATATATTTTTTTACACGTATTGCACCATGTGTTAACGTCCGTCGACTCACACTTTTTATTGAATTTTACTTCGCTCGCGGATTACGTTTCGAAACGTAATTTTTACGTTTTTTTTCTGGTAATTTTTATTGAATTTTTCTCCCCGTGTGTTAAAAATTGATTTAAAATTCCTTGACAATCAGATCATAATGTTTTCATTTCTCCAAAACTCCCTGACTCCTGGATCAATATAACAAATTGAATAAAGCCCTGTGAGGCAGCTAAGCCGAATGGCTATGAGTCCCTGAAAATTTCTCCAAATATTCATTCCCACACGCATAAAAAGAAATGCCTATAGATGGTGCTTGAAATGACAGACTCGAAACTGTTTTTATCCACTCTATTGTGTTTCTAGAAATATTTATAGAGAAAAAAAGATTCTCATTATCCTATTATTCAATTAATTCAAGAAATTGCAAAAAGAAATGAAATTGCATCTTGAAATCATGTAACGTCGATTCAATTTTTCGAGAGTCAATAAATCTTTGTCAACTCTTCGTGAATGAATAAAATACTCTGTCTACTCACTAAGCTGGTTAAGAAAAACATGTTGAGATTTATTCACTTGGTTAATATCCATGAAAGCAGATGAATGTATATTATACATATGATATCCTCACTATTTTTCCCTCAATTAATTGCGGGGAAAAAACCATCGTTACATTATTCGATGCGTGCAGGTGTGATTAACACGCATAATTATATAATTTTACCTGTTTACATGTACATATTTATTGTCATGAATGAAATATATATTATATATTCGCATAATATATGCGTAAATGATAATTAAAGTATAATATAAACCTCTGTCTTCCAAACGCATAGTAAAGGAGAAGAAGCAAGATTTGAAGAAAAAAAACATTTGAAAATATAATTATTGACATTTGATGAGCGATATACAAGAGAAACATAGTTATGTAAATAATATCAATATTGTGCAGATGGATTATTTCGTGTTTGAAAACAATAAATGGATTGTGGAATGATCGGAAGAACTCATTCATATGTTGCAGGAATTTTATCAAACCCCAGAAACAGTGAAGAATGTCAGAAATACCCTCAGGTTAAAACATAATGACGTTCATGTACGCAACGTCAATTTCTATAATTTTAAAAATTCGTCAGAAAATGGAGACGCGCGGTAGCGTATCGGCCAAGGAACAGTTTTGACTCATTATTTTGTTTAATTCTTACTGAACAGTAGAAATTTTTGAAAAATCGTAAACAAATTAATGAAATGTCAACAGATTGATGACAAACACTACTAAAAATGATGGAATGTTCATAGAAAAGTGGGTATTAATTCACAGGATTATCAGAAATTCGAAATCTTCTAATATCTAAAAAAAAAAATCTGTGAATGGAACGTCTCAATTCAACTCAATATTTCTCTCCGCACGATTAGCATCTCCATTCACGCTGAGCCAAATTGCATAGTTACTACCAGATGCTTCAAGCTGATTCCAAAAAGAAGCATGAAAAAAAGTTGGCAGTAGTAGCAATGGCAAAAGGGCGTGAAAAGTACAGTCAAGCGGGTTTATACCCCTCAAGAATCCCCTCTCCATCACCGTCCCCTCACCCCACCTTCCTGCGTCGACACGTCCCTTTGCGTAACGCGTGTACATTGTCAATGGCTTATTGTCGTAATGCCCATTGTGATTCGAAAAGTACCAACAATATGAGTGAGGAGAAAGAGAGAGACAACTGCCGGTACAAATCGTATTGTTAACCCCTCTCTTGAATGAGAGATCCTGTTGCCCACCACTACTTTACTCCACCCAGTTGTCAGCAGGCCCCTTATTTTCTACCTTTTTCTTTCTCTTTCTCGTTCTTCCCCCTCCCTCTTCCCAGGTTAATCCTCGGGCCAAATCATCGATTTCCAGCGATTTGTCTAGTAACGCGAGAATGATTTTTTTCATCGATTTTTCATTATTTTCTTGAGATT